AGGTCTTGAGACTGACATCACAAGAGCATCACTCTCTTTTCCACATCTTCAGTCATTTACCAAGCTGCACAACACACCCATTCATACACACACTTTCTTACAGGATCGAAACTGAAGCCCACATTCAACCATCAGATACTGTTCCAGCATTGTTCAGGTTTCCTATATAACCATGGGCGTCTATTTGTAGGCTATATGTTTATTACTATCAGATGGTTCTGGTCAGCGCTTTCACTATGAACTCCTGGGAACAGACTGCAGTTCACTGGGAATGGGTGGATCGCTTGTCTCTGAACAACCATGGGCAAGTCAAACTAGTGTCTGAGGCAAAGATGAAAAAGAGTGTATGCGTGCATGGTCGCTGCCAGGACCCACAAAACTGGTAGGCATTTAGATTTTTTCAGGGGGACATTGTTTATTTACATTGACAAATTATTTATGTAGTTATAATGCATTGCAATGTACATTATGAAAAGCCTACCTTTATGATGCATTATGCAAGAAGGCTTCAAGTAGTGTTACAGAATATTTGACTCGGAATTAAAATGTCTGTTGTTATTATTGTTATGATGTACTCTCCTTTATGTAATTCCAATCTCTCATGTGACCTTTCTTTACTAAAACAAATGAGATATTTAGACTGTAGACCCTTTTCCATACAATTACAATGAATGAGAAGTCAGGTTTTCAAGCTTCAAAAAAAGACATATTAAGCACCAAATTCTAAACACTTTATAAATGTTAGAAATGTATTGCTAAAACATATTACAAAGACTGTGAACTGTGAAGTACTGAATTGTGGAGTTAGACCGTTAAACAGTTTTTCACCATTGCTATTTTCCGGATTTTATGGGCGGGGCTAAAACAGGGCTCGATGACGCACTGGAGCCCTTGAGCTCCTGGACACGCCCCTACTTGATGACGCACTGGAGCCCCTGAGGCTGGCCGCTCCTAACAATAGGCTTGTTCGACTTCATGCAGCTCTGCGCAGACCGATCGGCGGCAGACTTGAAGCAGTGCATGCCGGTTAGAAATGTTGTCCGACTTGATACAGCGCCGACGCCACGTGACTGTGACGTATGCCATCAAAGTACCGCGAGAGCGATTTGAGAGTAGCCGGAGAACTCAGCCAGCGCAGCTTCTGAAGAGCAGCTGCTCTGGGCTGCACGAGCTGTGATGACGACACAGCTGTTCCACGATTGGCCGGATTCACCGCATGACAACGATCACGTGCGTTTCGTGTTTATTCTCACACCTTTAGTTCCACTAAAGCTCACAAATCAGTTTTTTTAATTACAGTAAACACTCTTTTCATGTAGTCGCGATTTATTGTGTTATGTTTATCAAAATAAAACTGATTAAAAAACGTTGATTCCACTTCATTGATAGTAGGCCTAGCTGTAGGCTTATGTTGAACTTTATTCTTGTTCAAACCAACGCTGTATGAAGCAGTACATAAAGTATTGAATGAAAATGTCTCTGAAACATCTGTGTATTTGGCAAATATTGCATTTATTTCACTTCAGCTGTGGTAAAGTATACAAACACCACGTGAGCGGTCACTACGGGAACCAGAAAGTGTCCGACTTCACGTCTCCGTTTGCAGCTCCTCCCCGCCTGCACGCGGCTACTCTCGCCGATCGCTTACATCCAGCCGCAGCCGATGTCGAACACACCTATCATTATAGAGCACATTCACATCAGTGTGCCGCTCAATCGCGAGTTACTGTCAGTACTATTATTAGTAACACAGCCTACAGATTGCTAGCTAGCTACTAGCTATGCCTTCGTCACGGAAATGCGTACTACCTGGATGCGATCACCGGATCACGTACAAAACAGATCGGTGTCCTTGTTTAAATTTCCGAAAAACGATTACATCAAGAAGAAGTGGATTAATTTTGTGAAGAGCCACCTTGATGGAGAGCTGAGGATCACCGCCAAAACCCGCCTCTGTAAGTGATCATTTTACACGGGATAGTTTTATAAACTTTCGTCGGAGATAACTGTCTGGGATTCACTGATAATCCGCTGTTACTGGTGAATGGGGCCGAACCGACTATCTCCCGCCTCAGCCTTCTTCCTCCCGTCGCGCCGACAACTGGTGCCATCATCGGCAGTGCGTGCCCACCGTGCGAGCATCCATTCCGGCTGTAGAGTTGAGTGTGGTGAGTCGACGGCAGCTTTCCCGCGAGTGGGCGTGGCTTCAGCACAGCCAGTGGACACGCCCCCAGCGTTTGAGAGCAGAGATTACTGCTCAGTTTTTCAAGATTTTGATAGCTTATTTTATGTACTTGCTGACTTTTTTTATCATTCAAATTTGGCTGGGTGACTAATAACAAATTTTTCTGTGGTGTGACAAACTCAGAACACATACTTAATTTTGACTTTACAGGGACTTTAAGTCTTTTGAAGACATTGTGTGAGGAACATGAAAAACTTGTTACTGAAAAATCTGCCCTAGCTCTTTCTGATATGTTCATGAGAAAAGACTAATTTGTGAACGAATTATTCTTTTGAGTCAAATATTTTAATAAAACCAGTATGAATGATCTGTTTACTTCAAAAAACTTGAAAAATACCATTTCAGGACCACTTTTTTGATACTGTTATGGTGCTTTTATCCTTCTTGAAGCTTTAAACCATCCGTCCTCTTCAAGACTAATTGCATGAAATGAGCCATTTGTGTTCTCCAGAAGAAACAAAATTACAGTAAATCATTACAGAATTTCCTTCTTTCTTTTTGGTCAACTATCCCTTTAACCACTCCATACCTGAATACTCATATCTGCTTCTCTCTTCCCCCTCTTTCTCTCTCTGCCTCAGACAATCTGGTCTCCTGTTTCCTCTTTCTCCCTCTATTCTGTTATTGCCTTCTGCTCTAGCCTCTCTTTCTGTCTGAGGTAATGTCCCTGAGCACATGCAGTATGCAGCGCGATGACCTCAGCAGCAGATGAATGCTGGGTGGGGTACTTTTAGAGGCTAGCTGAGGGTGGAGAAAAAAAAGAGTGCGTAAGGGAAGGGGAGAATGGGTGGAGGATGGGGATTGTGCCAGATATCACTGTTTGCATGTGCCTTAACTGCTCATATGGTTATTATTAATTTCTAGATGTTTATAGAATTATTCTAATGATAAGTGTGTTAATTTAATTGATTTATCTATAGAATTATTCTAATGATAAGTGTGTTAATTTAATTGATTTATCCTTTATTTTTTGCACAATTCCACCAACAAAATGTGTAATGTATATCTTTAACTACAGCATTAGTTCTTGGTTCATGGAGTCGCACATGATAAAATGAAAGATGTGCGGTTGAGTAAGTGAGTCAGATTAATTATGAAACTGATACAGCTGATTCATAAGTGTTGGTGATTTGCTAAAAAGAACCGGCTCATAAGAGGCTCATCATTCTCATAAGAATTCACTGGTCGTGCTGTATATTTGTGACTCTCTGAAATGTAACGACTCACAGAGGCGGACTTACCATTAGGCAATGCAATGGTAGGCACCGCCTTGGGCCCCCAGAAGCCAAGGGACCCCCTAAAAATGCTTTTATGTATATGAGATGAGAGTTCAGCACGGACACGTAAACGGTTTGTTATCACTACAACCGTCTGCTTGTAGCAAATTAAAATACCATGCATCTGAAGCAATAACTAAATATTGAGCAACTGCACTGGTGTGAAAATTATGATATGGAAAGTCTAAGCCAAACCCCACCACTCAGACAGTTCCATGTGTGATTTCACCATAGCCTACTGTTGCTATTTCAGGGTCTAAAACAAGAATAAAAGCAATAATCACATGTACATGTTGGACACAACTATGGGACACTGTCGTGCAGCAGGAAGCATCACAACAGAGAAAGGAACCTCAAGGACGATCCAGGTAATTGTGTGCAAATGTTTTGGGCACCATTTCCATAATTTGCCTGGGGCCTCCAAATCACTAAATTCACCCCTGCTAAATCATAAGGGTTATTCAAACAGGAATTGGGCTTCACTTATCACACCAGTATGTTTTTGACTCACTTAGAGAAAGGGCTGAAAGAAAGGGTTCATAAAAGTAATTTGATCGAGAATCAGTCTTCACTGGTAGCAATGTATGTTTAACACTACAAAGTAGTGCAGAGAACCACTTTCAATTATTTTGTATCAGTCATTTTTTTAATTGAACCTGGTTCCTAACCTTAGTAGCGTTTTTTTTTTATTGTGTGTGAAACTGTGAATGTAAATAAAGCTGTGTGGCATATGACTACGTTAAACTGCAATAAAATGTATACAGTATCTGTATAACGTATATGTATAATGTATATATATATCGCTGTATAAAAACTCTTTCTACTTGCTGTACTGATATAGATGAGCTCCAGTTAGTGGGTGGTGTATGGTTTGAGGACACCGATTATAATCAACAGACTGTATTCATAAAAATGCACACACACCCAAGCCATCACCCGCCTTTCCTCTTAAAGGGAAAACATGCTAAAAACAGACCATCGTTGCCTCGGTTTCTGTGATTCAGACAGGCACAGGGGAGCTGCTTTACTGTGCATGACAAAATAAATGAATCAGCTTGTAACCCAGGGATCATTTCTTGTTATATCACACTGTTGAGAGAAGTGACAAAGAGAATAAAAATTATGAGTAATTAAAGGTTAGGAGAGAGGGGTGGGTTTGGTGTCCATATCTGTCCTCTTCTGGAGGAAGAATGTAGGTGTGTTGACATATTCAGTTGGAAACTTCCTGACATAAAGTATGATCTGAGAGGAGAGGAACTAGATGCAACATTATGGGGACGGACATTTCCTGTGCAGCTGAGAGCAGCTGAAGTCATGTCCTGCTGAATTCCCCCACTCCTCAGTCCACACACGTTTTATTACCAGTTCCCGTAACAAGGAATGTTATCCACACAGGCATGAATTATGATGTGATGTTAGTCAATGTAACATGCTATTTTAGTGTGATTAATGATTTATTAGACGGAGCAAAAACCTACCTGTAAAACTTCACTCAGGCTTCTCCTAACTCCATCCACCACAGCAAATGGCCTTGTCTTCACTAGAGGCTTTAGCTCTCTCTGACTTGTGACTGTAGAAAGAAATAAACTTTAGTTCATAAACTTCCTATTTTCCTAAGAAACGTCACCCACGTGTGCAAAAATGTGTCAATTTTCCAGGTTAATTTAAATAGCTTTTCGCATCTATTTAATATAAAAAAAAGTATCCAGATATCCAATCTCAAATTAATCTCTGTATAGAGCAGTCAATATTTGCACATCCATCAATGTTTTATTGTTCATCAGTTAGAAAAAGATTGTTCTGAAAGTGATTTCTAACCATATTGTCCGTTTGTTATTACCATTATCATTATAACTGGACTTTTCTATTCTCACAGCATTAGAATGATTATTAAAACTTCTTAAAACTTACAAAAGAAATCTGATTTTATATATATTTATTGTGATAGCTTAAAAATTATATGATCAATAAGTTATGACAACAAATGTTTTACATTGCTTTAACTCATCAAAATAATTTAAGCAATTTTCAACTTTGTTATACAAGATTCAACTAATTTCAGTTTAATTATGTAATTTAAGTTGAAATGACGTCCAAGTTGATTGTACTTAAAAATTTAAGGCATCTTTTTTTGTGTGTGTGACAATTTCAAAAGCTTGTTTCCCCTGCAAATTAATTTCATATTGTTTACTGATAATTAGTCAAAATGACAGGTGGTTTTTTTTTGTCAATGCAACCCAAATATTTGGGTAATTACTGGTTATTCATTTGGCTAACATTGCCAAAGATATTCCCTGCATGCCAAAACAGGTACATAAAGTTATTTTTCTTTTCATTTTTCAGACCAGTAATATTATTCCATCTGTCTTTCAGTCGTTTAACAATTCATTCATTTTAATTTTATTCTTTTGCAAAGAATTAAAGTTGTGTTGATGAGATTATTGTGGGTTTTTTTAAAAATCAGATTCAGAACAGTTTTCCTCAAATGCACACTCATATTCAGGTTTCCTAAAAGGAACACACTGAGTGAGTAAAATAGTGAGCTGTGTTGTGAGGGCAGCTGTTGTTTAGTCTGTGACTGACAGCTGTGCTGGAACACACATTTACAGCACTGGTTTGCATGGCCTCTAAACTCCATCAGAAGCATACGGTCAATCTGCCTCAGAAAAATACGAGCCAAAAATTACCAAACTTGCTGAGACAACATAATTCTAGGATTCTCAACAAACTGTTCAAATTATTTGGAAATAAGTCAGAATTGGAAATCCTGACGAGAATGAGCAAGTATTTTGGATGTGAATGGCTTTTATAGAATGAGCTTCCTCTCCAGCAGTCCAGATTGAAGTTTGCAAATATTTTCAAGAATCAACAGTCTTACATAACATTATACTCTGAGCAGTTTACAAACATTGAGCCTATGATTAGATGGGTAAATGACAGTCTGCTGAGCAGGGTCTTAAAGAACAGAGCCTGTGACTTATCTAGACTAACTAAAATAGCTGAGCTGTTTCTCTAAGTAATCTGTGATGGGTCAAACACTAGAGCATGGCACTAACAACACCAAATGAAAAATGGAATGCAAGTCTCGTATGTAAAAGCGTCTATATAGTAGGCCTATGCATAAATGTAAATCTTTCTTTGTTCATGTTTCTTCACCTGTATAGGCTACTTTTGAACAATTCTGAATAATCTGAAAGACACTAGAGTTAGTATACAACGATCTGTGTGAAGAACATCTAATAATTTAAAGATCCTTTTGTGTAGATGTTTGATCAATTATAAACAGCTAAACACATCAAAGAGCTTCATGAGACTGTTAATGTTAGTGACATAAATGACTGGACTGATTGTAATGATGACACACTCTGTGTGCAGTACTAAAATAGAGCGCAATATTTGCATCACAAAAAGCTCTAAATGAACTATTAACTGCTTTGACGAAATGTTTGATCCAACATATTTCTTCAGTGCAATATTTAAAAACCACTATTCCATACCACTGTGAGAGGAGTGAGTTATCCGTGCGTCCTGCTGCAGTGTGAAACTGCTGTCATCTCTGTTTAGGGTCAGAGTGAGGGACCCCCTAAACATCATGAGAGGGGTGCCTTCAAAAAGAAGAAGAGTTAAGAGAGTTCGCCAAAAACATCTAAACAACTGATGGTGGTGCTTCATGGTCCAGTGACGCACTGATTGGTCTCTTCTTTGAATTCAAGTGGAGAAGCGGATCGGCACAGTTCTTAAAAACAGCACGCTAATCACGTTAAGACGGCCAGCAGCCAGAGGATCCGTCACACGTGAACGAGCACCTGGCCATTCACCTGCTGGACGCCGAACTGCAGTCCGTTCTCAAAGCGTGTTCCCGGCCCAGTGTGGGTTCTGTCAGGGGCAGGCGAAATCCTGCTGAAAACATCAGTTCTGTCCTAGCAATAATAATGGCTTCTCTATTTTGCTCGTATCGTTTTGAGATCAGCGGAATCGTCTGTAACCGTGTAGAATAAGCTTTCTCTATGAGAAGGATCGCATAGTGCGCAGTCCGTCCGCTTGCCCGCCCGTGTTAAACTGAGGCAGTATAATCGCATTTCTCAGTGTGACCAACCAGATAGGATTTCCTCAGTCGCGTTAACTCTTTGCTGTCCGGGCAGGATTATACGCATAGATTCTTCAACAGCTGGTAGGCCTATGATAAAGATCCTATAAAGGGCGTAATTTAGCCTACTATTATTTAACCATAGAGATTAGAACAGGGGGTGGGGGATGTAATGAAGTCAAAACAGGATTGGGAGGGATTAAAAATATGTAAGACTATAGGCTACATTAATTTGACATTTTGATAGCCTGGTTAAAACCAGACCATTCTCAGTTGTAACTGAGTTATAGTCTGGCAAATCATTTCCAGAGGGGCGTAACGGACTTTGCGGATAGACCTAAAACCAATCAGAGCGATAGAGGCGATGACGTATGCAGAGCGGCGGAGAAACATCTCTTAGTGTTGTTCTTTGCTCGATTTTTAACAAAAAAGGAAACGTTTAAATCGCTTAAAACAGACGCGATAGCTAATTCGAACGAGTGATGTTCGACGGATGCGGCATCCATCTTTGTAATGTAGGCTAAAATCTGCTTCAAAATCCCAGCGCTGTCGTCATCGTGTAAAGCCCGCCCCAACGTTTCTGATTGGTGCCCCGATTTCGACGGATTGGAAATGGGATTGAATGGGCTTTGCCAGACTAACTTTCAGAGCAAATCTAAATTTGCCGGAAGTTGTCTGGGTTTTCCCAGGCTAACATTTTGAGTTTTCAAATTCAAAAATGACTGAGTCAAAAACAAAGTAAAAAAAAACGTTTTCTTGAGTTTGCCAAAACAACAAATTAACCGCAAAAGTTTAATTGCAAGTTGCTCATGTACAGGAAATCGTCTGAAGTAACCATAGCAACAGTATGCCGCTAGAGCTTCTGTCAAGTTAAAGGGTTATTCTTTTGGTGTAAATCGATGCGTACGGCCGTCTGCCGTAAGCTAGTTATTTTAGTCGATAAAGTTTTAAATATGGATATTTTTCTTACACAAACGCATCGCTTCGCTTCAGAAGGCTTTTATTAACCCCCGCAGATCTGTGTCAAGCACTTTAATCATGAATAGATGCGCTTTAATGGACTCCAAAGTCAAAACGGCCATTCACTCTCATTATCAAGCTTGGAAGAGCCAGGACATTTTTTAATACAACTCCGATTGTATTCGTCATTCCGTCTAACAGTCAGTCATTCCGGCTAACAGTATGTCATTCTGGCTAACAGTCAGTCATTCCGGCTAACAGTATGTCATTCCGGCTAACAGTATGTCATTCTGGCTAACAGTCAGTCATTCCGGCTAACAGTATGTCATTCTGGCTAACAGTCAGTCATTCCGGCTAACAGTCAGTCATTCTGGCTAACAGTCAGTCATTCCGGCTAACAGTATGTCATTCTGGCTAACAGTCAGTCATTCCGGCTAACAGTCAGTCATTCCGGCTAACAGTCAGTCATTCCGGCTAACAGTCAGTCATTCTGGCTAACAGTCAGTCATTCCGGCTAACAGTATGTCATTCTGGCTAACAGTATGTCATTCTGGCTAACAGTATGTCATTCTGGCTAACAGTCAGTCATTCCGGCTAACAGTATGTCATTCCGGCTAACAGTATGTCATTCTGGCTAACAGTCAGTCATTCCGGCTAACAGTATGTCATTCTGGCTAACAGTCAGTCATTCCGGCTAACAGTATGTCATTCTGGCTAACAGTCAGTCATTCCGAGTAACAGTATGTCATTCTGGCTAACAGTCAGTCATTCCGGCTAACAGTATGTCATTCTGGCTAACAGTCAGTCATTCCGGCTAATAGTATGTCATTCTGGCTAACAGTCAGTCATTCCGGCTAACAGTATGTCATTCCGGCTAACAGTCAGTCATTCCGGCTAACAGTATGTCATTCTGGCTAACAGTCAGTCATTCCGGCTAACAGTATGTCATTCTGGCTAACAGTCAGTCATTCCGGCTAACAGTATGTCATTCTGGCTAACAGTCAGTCATTCCGGCTAACAGTATGTCATTCTGGCTAACAGTCAGTCATTCCGGCTAACAGTATGTCATTCTGGCTAACAGTCAGTCATTCCGGCTAACAGTATGTCATTCCGGCTAACAGTCAGTCATTCCGGCTAACAGTATGTCATTCTGGCTAACAGTATGTCATTCTGGCTAACAGTCAGTCATTCCGGCTAACAGTATGTCATTCTGGCTAACAGTATGTCATTCCGGCTAACAGTATGTCATTCTGGCTAACAGTATGTCATTCTGGCTAACAGTCAGTCATTCCGGCTAACAGTATGTCATTCTGGCTAACAGTATGTCATTCTGGCTAACAGTCAGTCATTCCGGCTAACAGTATGTCATTCTGGCTAACAGTCAGTCATTCCGGCTAACAGTATGTCATTCCGGCTAACAATGACACAGGCAATTCATTTTACCCATATTTGTGTTAGATTACACAATTCTGTTTTTTGTTGAGTTAATGATAAAACAAGTTTTATTTACTTGATTTGAAAACATTTTTAAACATTTTCCAGCTTTTTTTATTTTTATTTGGTTCTGAATTTTGAGTTATCAGCAGCCAAAAATAAGCCCATGTCTACGGTATATGAAATCCCAAATTGATTATATTAATTGTGATTAAAATGTAGTTTTCCGAGCACTAATTGTTTGTTGAGCAATTATGTATATCAGTACATTTGTATATGCCAAACAATGGTAGAAATGTAATTAATTTAAAAATTACCCAGGAATGACATTTTCATGGGGAAAAAAGATCTGATTCACCAAAAAAATGGTTAATTACATTCTTGAAATGTGTACATGTCATTGCATTACATACACAACACTCTAATAAGTATAGAAAGTCCTAAAAGTAGAATTTTTTGCAGGTTTTTTTCTTCTTCACATTTTAAATCCTTATCCGTCATTCATGATGTGCACTCAAAAATCTAGGTAGAATTACCTTCCGGGTATTTCTCACATAGCCTACTATTTGATGAATAAAATTTGTATATCGTCACGTGTGCTGCTTTTCTTATGGTTTCCACTAATCCACTAATCTATATAAATGACCAGCGTATATATAGTGTTTCAGACATAATGTAGGGCAGGGGACACCATGAAAGTCATTTTTGGGTAAAAACCTTGCTTACATAAACTTGATTTAACCAATTCCAATTGTTTACACTTTAGCAGAGCCACTTTAATTGTCCATAGAAGACGTGTTGAAATCAAAAAAGTTTTATCAGCCATTAATGCAGTTTGAGACTATGAAAACTTTACATGTTAGTAGCTGAACTTTGAAGGTGGAGTGAAGTTCATCAGCAGCTGTAGTACACATCAGAATCAGAGCCGTTATCTTGTGGTCCACACTGGTTATGAGGGAAGCAGGCGTAGCAGATGTTGCCCAGGTCTGTCCAGCATTGCTGGCAATAGATCACTGTGCAGCCTACAGAACTGCACAGCACAGCCTGCTTCTGTTTCACAAACCTATCACACACCCAGCACCAGTGCAACCTACAGCCCACACGCCTCAGAAGGGCCAACAGAACCGACAGCACCTGGCAGAGAAGAGAGGGAGGGTTCGAAGATGAGATCATAAATATATATTTTGACACTCATTTATCAAAAGTATTAAATCTGTTGACCATTTTGGCATGTAACCCTAAGAAAGGCCATTGTTGTGCATTTACTGCTACAGCTGGAGAGGTGCGGCTGGTGAAGAATGATATGATTGTTTTAGTTTGCTTGTCAGTTTTTATAAGAAGGGAAGTACTTCCAAATGAACCTAACCAAGTTTTCAACTTATGCTGCATCTGAAATCACATACTCTTTTGAGTAAATACTTATTTTAAGCAGTAATTACTTTGCAACCTTTTAAAAAAAAAAATTCTATATAGTATGAATGTAATCTGGACATACATTTGTTATGTCAGTTGCGTCACTTCACTGCCTGCCATTCACAAATCCTCTCCTGTGGCCTCAGGATAGAATCTCGTTGGAATTAGTAGGTCATCCGGGAACATTACATTGTCAACTTGGACATATTACTCTGTTCACATACTGTTTTCAGAAATATGTGATTTCTTGGTCTCATGCTTTTTCTCTGATTTTAATGAATGTATGACCTATGGAGTGCTGAATTCTCCATTTTTAAAATTGAGATGTGAAAATTCTAAAGTTGTAAGCTGAAAATCTACAACAACAGAAAAAGTTCTGTTTTCTCTGTAGGGTCCTCCTATACCAATGTATCATACACACCGTTATAAAAGTATGTTTTTGATTTCTCAGCCGATGACGCTGTCTGTTGATGAAGGAGATGCGTTTCTGGATCTGTAGGTTGTAGAGGAAGAGGATCCGTTTCTTTTCTCTCTGAAAAAGCAGGACGGATCAGATGGGTTTCATCCAGCGAAATGCTATAGATGGATTTCAGATTATAGGAATAAAGACACTACAGTGTTCTCCTGCAGGATTATAGGGATAAAAACACTACCAGTGTGCACCTCTTCACGAATGAGGTAATACTAGTGGCACTAGCTGAATCAGGGTTCACAGGGGGTCTGTAATCCTCCTCATGCCGACACGGGGCCACAAAATGCTGCAAATCTAATGCTATTACTTTAAAACCCTCTTATCTTATTAGTGCTTTACCTGTACAAACACTAGAGAACACAGATTTCACTCAGTATGTGTGAGAAAGTATCCTCCCTGTACACTGCACACTGAGCCTCAGGCGCTTTGAACTTGCTGAATCAGGATATCGGTTACAATCGTGACCAAACCGCAGAGGGGTTTTACTTCACTCCATGGCCTAGTCGCACACGTTCTACAAAAACAGTGCAGAACTAAGCCAAGAACCCAAAGATGCATTATTCAAGTCAGAACATTTTTATTATACTACACAAGAAATTTTATTATACTACACTAATTTGTTTAAAACATGAGAAATCTGCATTTTTCTTTCTTTTTTTGCAATCTGGACCCCATTTCATATAAAATGAAAATGCAAAGTTTATTTTAATTGGAGAACTGACATTAGAGGATGTAATTTTGCCTGTTATTGTGCTTTTTGTTTGTTTCAATTATGCTAGGAGACATTTAGCATTTGTTCAAGCCTTCCTGTGCCAACTGTACAGTGACAAAACAACAGTCTGCGAAATAATAAATATTCTCCTGCTGAACGAATTCTTTTGTGAAATGTCTTTGTGAAATGCACTGGCAATAAAGGTACCAATTAATTGTTTTACTTTTAATTAAAAATTATTAATTGTTGAACATACTTTTATAAAGTGTCCTTTAATTAAAGAAATGTGTTAGTAAAAAGGAAATATTATTAAAAAACTGAACATTTAATCACACAAAATTTTATGTTTAAAAAAAGCCCATCAACAGAGCATTAGCTTGATACTTGCCACACATTACCCCAAGTCCAACAGCTATTATTCCTAAATCTGTCGCAATATTATACGTGATCAGCATTAGAAAGCAGCAGCACATGCAGAACAATGACTCTTAAGCTCCTTAGCCAAAGAAAGCATAAGGAGCTTCTGAAATTTATGACTGACCAATATTGTTAATGATAAACACGCTGCCAGGAGTACTAGCTTCTGTCTCTCGATCCAAACAAACACAATTAGTCATTCATAGGGTACTGTTCACTGTAGTGTTGCTGAACTTAATGGGACTGTTTGACCAAAAGACAAGAGTGGAAATCTGTTACCTGGGCTCACGGGGCAGGTAGTCTTACCTTTGGGAAGTAGAAGGTGGTGATGACCCGGCGCAGACGATTGGTGTATACCTGCAGGCAGCACATGAGGCACATCAGTAAAAGGGGGAGGAAGATCCGCAAGTAGTTCGACTGGCTCAGAGCATGTGGCTGGGGCAAACAATCTATACACACATAAACATACACACGAAAGAACAAAAATGATGCAAAGACGTAAGAAAGGAGACCATAACTACAGTAAAAACAGCAACATTGTGAATATTACTACAATTTAAAATAACGGTTATTTATTTTAATATATTTTAAAATGTAATTTATTGCTGTGATGGCTAAGCTGAATTTTCAGCAGCAATTACTCCAGTCTTCAGTGTCACATGATCCTTTAGAAATCCTTCTAATATGCTGATTTGGAACATTTCCTATTATGATCATGTGGAAAACAGTTGTGCTGCTTAATATTTTTGTGGAAACAGTTTTTTTTTCAAGATTCTTTGATGAATAGAAAGTTCAAGAACAGCATTTACAGTATTTGAAAACTATATAATCTTTTAAAACATAAATGTCTTTACTGTCATTTATAAATGAATAAAGGAATTCATTTCTTACAAAAAATAAAATCTTGCTGACCCCAAAATTTTGAACATATAGACACAAATAACCTATTACTGGATCAGGTTACATAGCAAGTAAACAGAATACAATGGCTGCCGTCTAACTGATGTATCATCATTATGTTGTCTAGCATGCATGCTGTCATGTTAGTGTTATAAATAGTCCTCTCATCAGCTGTCTGCATGTGTACTGCCGTGTGGCGACCGGTCTAGTTTAGACCTATCTGGATGAGACAAACAGGCAAAATCAGAGCTTTGAGTTTAACTCTGATCAGATTAAATAGACGGCCAGACCGTAGACGTCACTTGGCCTCAGAAAAGTCCGACTGTAACATTGAGCCACTCACAAGTACATTCACAATCTCTCTAATACTAAAGCTGGTGGATTTCTCCGCCAGTAAGATTACACTAAAATGAAACCAGATATTTTTGAAATTGTATTTTGAAACAAAAACTAGCAGAATAGAGAATTCATTTAATAGATTTTTCTTCTCATGAAACAGTTTATTAATTAAAACCATAGACTGTAAAAAATGATTAAAACCCACATTAGCTGAGATCAGTGTGGGAGTGCTATGGTACATGGGCTGCTACAACAAACAGAGACCTTGACTGATCTTGAGACATCAGGGACTTGGCAATACAATATTATATCAATATCTAGGCCATGATCCGATGACATAAGAGAAGTATAGTTATTCCAAACTGTGATGTATTGAGATTATTTTCTTCTAGATCTTTTTTTTCTCTTTCATCTGCACTGGGCTTTTGTCCCTGCGCAGTTATTCTTAGCTTGCTCTGAGATTCCCCCGAATTATGGTCATCTCACTCAAATAGTAGATAACCTACGCAAGTTACTTGATTGCACGTCAAGATTGGAAGAGGTGTTGAAGGCCCCAATGGTTTTCCGCAGAAGTCTGGCTAACATGGAATCTCCACCAATTACAATGTCTGCATGTTGAACACCTTCAGAAGCAGAGATAAAGAGAGAAAACATACTTTTTACATCAAATTAATGAGAGGCATTAAAGTAGAGGCACATGTTAATTCCTTTAATCTTGAAGGAAAACAATGCTCATGCATATGTACAAGTCTGTATTTGTGCTCACTAGTAACAGAGTAAGTGGTGAAAGTGTGTCTTCGGATGAGGTCAAATATGTTGTACAGGATTCCATCAACAGCCAGCAGAACACACACAAACAAAGCCAGAGATGCAACTTGCAGGAAGCCCACAATCTGCACGAGAGACACTGCATTTCAGACCAAAAAAACCCATCAACTTATTATAAAATACATAAATGCTTTCTTGTTTGCAAAGTAAGTAATAAGCCAGCCATTATTTCCCTGAAAAGCACCAACACTTTGGCTCTGTGGCACCACCAAAACATTGCTGTTTCTTTAAGGGTCCTCACCAACCCAACACAGCAGTGCTGATTCAGACAATGGCATGAATTATCTGAGTGTTTGAAAAGCCTGTTTGAAAACATTACATTAGCAATTCTGTTTGGTGCCATTAGAACAGAAATGACACACTTCACCTTTAACTCTGCTCCATTTTTAATCCACAATCTGATTATCAGAACATGAATTAAATGCTGAACACAGGGACCATAATATCATACAGCCCTAAAAAAGTACCACAGGCATGAGCTCGCTTGGGTGGATAAATAAGCTCCATGGGTTGATCAAACTCTCTTGCTCTGCTTTCTTCAGTGGTAGCAAATGCCTCTTTCCCTGAAACAGAAGCTTAAATTAGTGCAAACACGGATATGAATGTGTAAGTGTACTTTTAAGATTATAACTTACAGCTCTTATTCTTCGAGCATCAATCTGTCTGAAGTAAGTAGTTATGTAGACATTGTCAAAATGAATGTCTCTGCAAAATTGACGAACATATCCAAATGCTCTGCAAAAAAACCCAAAAAAACCTGAACATTTTGATAAAAAATAAAAAAAAGGAGAAAGATGCCCAGCTTATCCAATAACCTGCGGGAACATGCTATAGTCCTGCTGCAGGGAGGCATGAGACTGCAGATGTGGCCAGAGCAATAATTGCAATGTTCATAATGTAAGATGTCTACGACAGTGCTACAGAGAGAAAGGAAGGACAGCCATGTGTAACCATATGTCCCCCCAGACGTGTTCGAGAACTTGTAAGTGGAGGAGTGGAGTTACATCTCACAGCAAGAACTGGCAAATCTGGTTCAGTCCATGAGGATGAGATGCACTGAAGCACTTAAACCAGCTGGTGGACACTATGGCTGTGACGGTATGGGATTTTTTCTTACCGCGGTGAAGAAGCAACAAATCACGCAGTTTGGCGGTTAAACGCTCCAAGTTTCGGTTCATTTATGAGACAAGCTCCAGTTCACGTGCAATGCAAGTGATCGCTCCGGCGCCTACATGTCCTGATTATATTGTCTGCTATATTTGCTTTTTATTTATTAAATCCAGGCAATTGGTTGATGAAACATTGATTGAAAATTAAGATACAATTTATACAAAACAAAATTCACTTTAAAGAAAGGCTTTCTACAAAACAAAACTTGTGGTCAAAATCATGTCTGACCCACTCAGGTCTCCCGATTGCGCATATTCTTACTTATGCTGTTCACTTTTCATATAATCAACATAGATTAAATAAAAAAATAACTTTATATTATTTAAACATAAATATTAAACTAAATCCGTTTTCTTTAATGGCTACAACACGTATAATACAGTACAGAGAAATTTAATGTCGGAACGGGGTTTTAAGCGAACACTGTTTTACCGGTAATAATTGCTTTCGAATAATAATTTAATAATTCCCAGCGATCATCGAATATAATTTTTGTTTGAAATACCCATCCCTAGTATTCATAAGTTTTGCCCAGTTATTTACGGGATGATGCAATTCATTTAGTTTTTGCTTTGAGAAATTCTAATTATTAACATAGGCTAATAAACATATTAACAATAATAACATGAAATAATATTTATTTCTATAACTTTGTTGTTTCTTATGATATCTTTTGAGTTTAATAGGAACTATGGAATAGTTTTTGTCATCGTTTGTAACCCATTTTTTGTACAATAAATTATTCAAAGTTTCAACAAGTTGTGTAAAATCTGAAAAAAAGAAAAGAAAAAAAAGTGCGGTGATGACCTCACCACCGCGGTAGGCATCTCATTACTGCGGTATTGCGATAATGCGGTTATCGTCACAGCCCTAGTGGACACACCACATACTGACTGCTACTTTTGATATTAACCCCGTTTTGATATTAAGCTCTGTTCAGGGACTCAATATTCCATTTCTATTCATCAAATGTCTCTCTGAATATATATATATATACAGTGGTTAAAGTGGGATTTGGCAGGTGAGAGAACCCTCAAATTTTGTGTAGGTGCAACAGGGAAAAATGACTCACAGTGGGACAACATATTAAGTATCGTGGTATAGCAATACTTTTTGGGACAAGAGTGTCACTGTGGCACCAAGTATCACAATACTTATTTACTTGATATTTTAATGGTTTTATTTTGGTCCATCAACACTGATATGATGACGATATTATGTTAAAATTGCTGAACACTGGGAAAAAAGGGGGCATGCTCCCCCGAGAAAATTTAGATTTTTCTGACCTACATATGTGCAATTTAAGACTTTTGAAGGCCAAAAAATGGATACTAAATAGCTTTAAAACCATGTCAGTGGGCATTAGATAATTTGTCATTACCTGCTCTCTCCTCATCTTCATCTTTCTTTTTCTCTCAGTCTCCTTATCCTGCCCTATTTCTTCCCTTCCTAAAGCTGAACTTTGACTGATAGTCTTTTCATTTTCGTCTTTCAGTGAAGAAAGTAAACATAGGCTCAACTGATATTTATGTTTTATGAATAATTTTCTTAGATAAGTTAATTTACTCGAGGCTACCAGGTCAGTATTGCCAATAGGAACCTTCTACAAGCTTTGGAATTTAAAAAGTAATTTTAAATAATACAAATTATAGGCTACGTGTAACGCAGTTGGTGGAATTGGCAGACGTACCCTTAAGCCTAGTTCACACTACAGGATTATAAGCCCGATTTAAGCCCGATTTGCAAATCGTTGAGCTCGCCGACAGGTCAGGGTGTTATCGCGTGCAAATCGCGGGGGATTAGCGGACGATGGACGCTCGCCAATCTGTTAGTATGAAAGAGCCAACAACGCATCAAAGACGCTCGCTGACGCCTCGCAGACGCGTCGCCGAGCCCAGAAAAATATCTAGCATGCTAGATATCCAGAGCTGTCGCCCGACTCAACCTCAGTGATGTCATGAGCTACAGCCAATCAGAGCAAGGCATGGGTTGCTCCAATCAGAGCAAGGCATGGGTCTTCGTCTTCTTCGCTGGGTATTAGCGCGCGTGATGTTTCGCGTCATTTCCGGTTCGTTTTATCGCGTGATTTTTTGTGACAAAACGTGGTTTGTAGACAAGATTGAATCGTTGGGTGACAGAGTTGTTGTCAACTCGTGTAGTGCGTTACCTCCTGTTGCGGATCAATCACGTTGTGTCATGTGGTGTGAACAGCTCAACAACTTGAACACTCCTGATTTCACAGAGAGCAAGTCATGTAGTGTGAACCGGACAGTTCAGCCCGACGTTTTAAAATCATGTAGTGTGAACTAGGCTTTAGGGATCATGCGTTGTGGAAACGCATCAAAGCATTCTCAGGTATAAATATGCAGCATTAATGCACATAGGTGATTTTGAACGAATATTTAATGTCGATATACAATGGTTACATAATGTTAAAACTAATCCTGCTATTGATTTCTTTGTAAAACTGTTAACCCTATAGAACAGTGGCAAGGGAAACCAAATGTCCGGCGAAATATCGAACCTAAAACTAACTTTACCGCGCTCAACCACCGTGAGCGCATTTCACGCATTTGTAATCGCTCGCGTTCAGTGGGGAGGAAGGGAGGTTGGTCGGTCGGTCGGCCCATCTTGGGACCAGCGAGATTCGTTGAGATTAATTAATCTATTTAATTATTAATTTATCTGAGGTGCCGGAACGCAGTTCTGGACCGTTCCGGCCCACTTTAACCCCTGTATATATATACATATATATACTGAACAAAATGATAAACGCAACACTTTTGTTTTTGTCCTCATTTTTCATGAGCTGAACTCAAAGATCTAAGACTTTTTCTATGTACACAAAAGGCCTATTTCTCTCAAATATTGTTCACAATTCTGTCTAAATCTGTGTTAGTGAGCACTTCTCCTTTGCCGAGATAATCCATCCACCTCACAGGTGTGGCATATCAAGATGCTGATTAGACAGCATGATTATCGCACAGGTGTGCCTTAGGCTGGCCTGGCCACAATAAAAGGCCACTCTAAAATGTGCAGTTTTATCATACAGCACAATGCCACAGATGTCGCAAGTTTTGACGGAGCGTGCAATTGACATGCTGACTGCAGGAATGTCCACCAGAGCTGTTGCCCGTGAATTGAATGTTCATTTCTCTCCCGTAAGCCATCTCCAAAGGCGTTTCAGAGAATTTGGCAGTACATCCAACCGGCCTCACAACCGCAGACCATGTGTAACCACACCAGCCCAGGACCTCCACATCCAGCATCCTCACCTCCAAGATCGTCTGAGACCAGCCACCCGGACAGCTGCTGCAACAATCGGTTTGCATAACCAAAGAATTTCTGCACAAACTGTCAGAAACCGTCTCAGGGAAGCTCATCGGCATGCTCGTCGTCCTCATCGGGGTCTCGATCTGACTGCAGTTCGTCGTCGTAACCGATTTGAGTGGGCAAATGCTCACATTCGATGGCGTCTGGCACTTTGGAGAGGTGTTCTCTTCACGGATGAATCTGTTTTCACTGTACAGGGCAGATGGCAGACAGTGTGTATGGCGTCGTGTGGGTGAGCGGTTTGCTGATGTCAACGTTGTGGATCGAGTGGCCCATGGTGGTGGTGGGGTTATGGTATGGGCAGGCGCATGTTATGGACAACGAACACAGGTGCATTTTATTGATGGCATTTTGAATGCACAGAGATAACGTGACGAGATCCTGAGGCCCATTGTTGTGCCATTCATCCACGACCATCACCTCATGTTGCAGCATAATAATGCACGGCCCCATGTTGCTAGGATCTGTACACAATTCCTGGAATTTGAAAACATCCCAGTTCTTGCATGGCCAGCATACTCACCGGACATGTCACCCATTAAGCATGTTTGGGATGCTCTGGATCGGCGTATACGACAGCGTGTTCCAGGTCCTGCCAATATCCAGCAACTTCGCACAGCCATTGAAGAGGAGTGGAAAACATTCCACAGGCCACAATCAACAACCTTTTTTTTTCTTCTTTTTTTACGGGGGGGTCTCTAAATTGTAAAACTTAATTTATTCTTGTGATGGCAAAGCTGAATATTACTCCAGAAATTACCTTCAGAAATCATTCTATTATGCTGATTTGGAGCGCAAGAAACATTTCATATGAAAGTTGAATTAACAATTATCAACGTTGAAAACAGTTGTGCTGCTTAATTTTTTTTTTCAGGATTCTTTGATGAATAGAAAGTTCAAAATAACAGAATTTATCTGAAATAGAATTCCTTAGTATCAATGTGAAAGTCTTTACTGTCACTTTTGATCAATTTAATTCATCCATGATTTGAAGAAAAGCGGAACAAAAGTCTTAAGTTTGTCTAAGATTTTTTGGAAATAAATTATCATGAACTAACTAATAACTTGTAAAACTACATAATACACGATACACTATACAATATAAAATACAAAAATAAATGTTTTCTTGGCAGATAACTTCTAGTAAAAATAACATGCATTAATATTAGGCTATTTATATAACTACCTGTTGTTTTATTTGAATAATTCAGTAGATACACTGTACAAAGTGCACATGTATTTTTTCTGACAAAGTTGTACCTTTATTGGTAAGGTCACATGTAGCACAACAGCGCTTAAGGAAGGAGTGAGAACTTACGAGGTGAACACCGTGATGAAGGTGAATGAGAGAAGGAAGTTAATCACCCCAGCTATCTTCTCAGCAATTACAGTTTTCTCCTGAAACACACGGCTCAGCTCCATAGAGAAATTCTGGAGAACGTTTACTCCAAACACTGACTGCTGCTCCAAATTCTTAAAGACAAATCATAAGAAGTAATGTTTTTTTTTTTAATTTAAAGATTTAAACACTCTGTTATACTGGTTGTAACTGTCTTCACATCCTGATAGCAATCAAAAACAGAATATAAAAAAAATTAAAAAATGACATACTGCCGAAATGAATATGCAGCAGTCAGGTGGTACAAGTCAGAGCTCCTGTAAATGTTTACGTTCATTATTATTGTAATGTTATGTGCTTTAAGGGTGCTTTCACATCTGTAGTTCGGTTCATTTGGTCGGGACCAAGGGCGAAAAATTATACTTTGTAGCTTTTTTCAGCCGTTTTGGTTCCTTTTCACACCACACTGATTGCCCTGGTCCGAATCAGTTGATGAGTTGATGAAACGACCCAAAATGCAGTCACGTGACAACATCCACATCACTCGTTGGCCAAATGTGTCTTGAACGTATTTCCATAACTGCACTTCGATTGGTCAGAATTAACGTGCGGGAAAATTCCACAGATCTATGAAACCGTTTCATACCGAATACCGGTGTTTATTTTTGTTATGATGTGAATTTTTAATATACCGCAATATCGGTGTATGGCGCTTTAATAACTATCGTAACGCGGCGCGGTGCGACACTGTTTGAGAGGGTCCCTTTTCACTCTTGCTCTCTGTGGTGATGCATGTGTTACTTAGCGTGACTGTAAAGATGGATAGGTTAAACTTTGGTATAATTGATAGCTGTCAAATTATATTACAGTGTTTCCCATACTGGTTCACAATATCAACATAGCCTTTTGGAAAATCTATTTGTGGTTGGCATTGACATCGTTGAATAAACATGAGCACTGCACGTTTCAAAGTCAAAACGTGGCACAGGTGTTTTTATATGAATGTATCTGAAGTGAACTAACGGTCTTTAGAAAAGTTTCTTTGTTATTACGATTGAATCTTTCTTTATCTTTCCTGATAAAGCAGCGTTTATGTGCGTTGCGCTGCTTTGTGTACAGGCGTAACCGGGGAAACCGATATTTCTGCCGCTCCTAAAGCGCCTCCTGCTGGCACCTATTTGTAAACAGCCTTGCAAACCTGTATTACTACTAGTGTGGATTTTTTCTACAATATTCACTCATGACAGTAAAATAGGGCATTCTAAGTCAATCTACTGCAGTATTTCCTCTCTCACTCAGTAGAGAATGTGGTTAACCCAGTCATGCTTAGGAAAAAAAAAATACCGTCATATTACCGAGAAACCGGTATAATTTTGAAAAATACCGTGATATGGATTTTTGGTCATACCGCCCAGCACTATAGTCCTCATCCCATAATGCACAGCGCAGCAGACTACGGCAGCTGGTTTAGTCCAAAAATGCGCAGTTCTTTGGCAGTTGGGTCTGTTCGAGGTCGGATCACGTTCTCAACACAAACGAACGGCTCCAGAGTTCGTTTGAAAGCGTACCCAGACTTTTGGTAGGCGTTCCGCTTTTGGCGCGCACCCGAGTGCAATTGCTGCATTCACACCAGCCCAAACAAACCGCACCAAGGGGGACAACGAACTCTAGTGCGATTCAACCAAACTAAATGAGGCAGGTGTGAAAGCACCCTAAAACATGAGGTAATTTAAGGCCGTCTCTCTCTTGTGACGCGTTGCAGATTCTACTCTGGCTGTGTCAGTCAAGTCAAGTCAAATATATTTATATAGCGCTTTTCACAATACAGATTGTATCAAAGCTGCTTCACAGTATCAATCAAAACAACTTAACAGTGTTTGTTTATTACTGGAAAAAGACATCCAAGTTTGGTAGAGCTGATCAGTGGTATGATGGGTCATTTAATTTGAATATCCCCATGTGTTTTGGAGTGTTGTGGCAATTTTAAGATTTTTACCTTTTTATATTAAAACTCAGAGGGTTTGCTATACCTTAAGCACTACATTGGTGGTGAAGTGTTCTGCAAGCATGTTGATGGAGTCATTTAGTTTGTCGAAGGTCTGACCAAAGTTTCCCTCAACTGGGATTTTCTCTGTGCACCATGATGTCATCACTGAGAGAGAGGGAAGAAAAAAAAACTCAATAAACCTGGGATTCTGACTTCTACATGTAAAGATAAGATACAACATGCAAATATTACCTCTCATGATATCACACAGAAAGTGGAATTGCATAGGTATGCAGAGAAAGTTGTTTATAAGAGGGGCTTGAATGGTATTCATACACTCTTTCCACTTAGTACTGAACCAATCCTGACATCGGCTAATTCCCTGCTGCACCACATCTGTTACACACAACATCATTTAGACAAAGCTAAGCTTAAAACCTCGATCATACACAGTCTATAATATCTTGTTTTCTTCTCATTTACACTCACAGTCACAACGTGCTCTAGTCTTCGCTACATACTCCTCCTGAGTGCTGTTGGCCGTATGGACGGACTCCTTACCAAGAGAGTCATATCCGTATCGACCCATTACCTCATCCCGGATCTTCTGGAACTTTTTGCTCACATTTTGAGACACTTTTTGAAATTCCTCACTGTCATTCTAAGAAAAAAGATGTTTGTGGAACAGATTTCCATGACTCATATCAGCAAATTGTAGATTCACACTTAGTGTCAGGACTCACCACTATCTCCTGCACTACTTGCACGTAAGGCTCTGTCAGCATTCTCCACATCACCTTGCTGTGTGTGATCTGCAGGTCTATGTTACAGCCCATGGAGGAAGCCACATCCTGCACGTTATGCTGGATGTTTGCAATGGGGCCTGATGGGAAGAGCACAGGAGATGAGATTGAGATCTGTGCTTTGTAGTGTCATTGTCAGTCACAAAGTTGAATATTCCTGTCCCTAAGATTTTTACCGTGGTAAAGTCCATGCAGCACAAAAACCATCAGGAATGTCCGGCCTTGAGATCCAATCATACTAGGAAACATCAGGAGAACGGAGCAGCGGAACAGTGAGGAAAACATGCCTCCAAGACTACACAGACCTACACAAACACACCATACAGGACACATAACACAAGCATATGCCACCTGAAGCAGAATATTATATTTTTTTATATGACTGAATGAAACTGATTATATTAAATTATACCATTTTGAGGATCAAATGTTTACTTTCTGCAGTATACTTGCCTACGAACACACACCCAACAACAACACGTTCTATTGCTGTCATGGCAATATTTTGCATGAGTCCGAAAAATAACCCTTAAAAACAGGTTAAGTAAGATTAGCATCACATGTTAATTATATAATTCATGAAACAATCATTTATAGACTACCATTAAAAAGTTTGGGGTCAGATAGACTTAAGAAATTAAATTCACCAAGGATGCATTAAATTAATCAAAAGTAAGAGTAAAGACATTTATAATGTAAAAAAAAAGCATTTCAATTTTAAATAAATGCTGTACTTTTTTGGGACCAATTCTTTGTGCTTTCTTTAATGAACAAAGTTACCAGCATTAACATTGACAAATTTTCACTGACTTCATTCAGTGTGGAGGACATAAATGATCAATATAAAACAGATACAAGAGAAACAGATAAACATACATACAGAAGAATAAATAAAATAAAATGACTATATACATAATATCAGAGATAAATGATTTACAGGAAGAAAGTGTCTGTTTAAATAAAGGTAATAAAGGTTTATATCAAAATAAGAGGAGAAGAAAAAAGAAACAGATCAAACAAACTAAAGGACCTACATCCCTATTTGCCTTAATTTACATCTTAGTATACTCTCCTATCCTTTACCTTTAGATCACTTAAGTTTTAAGAATGTTAATCAAGCTGTCATGAGTTCGGTTCCGGTGCAGAATAGTTGTTTATAATCTTTATAAATACTGTTCTTTTGAACTTTCAGTTCATCAAATTTTAAAACATATTTAAAATAGAACACAGTAAATTAGAACAAAGACTGTTTTAAGCTGTACCGGTAATAATATTTCACAATATTAGTGTTTTATTGTATTTTCAGTTAAAGGGGTGGTTGATTGTGATTTCACTTTTTTAACTTTAGTTAGTGTGTATTGTTGCTGTTTGAGCATAAACAACATCTGCAAAGTTACAACGCTCAAAGTTCAAAGCAAAGGAAAATATTTGCTTTTAAAGAAATCGTTTTTTAAGGACTACAACACACTGGTAGGAACTACACGACATTCCTCCCGGGTTAGTGACATCACAAACCCTACAATTTACATAAACCCCACCCCAGGAACACGATTTATAGATTATCATGACAGAATATGCTAATCAATGACTAGAAGATAACTACACATAAGCTACATAAATTCATCAACTAACCATTCAGAAATGTCCTGTTACATTCTACATGTTGTCACTTCTTCTTGAGTCTCTCCATCATTGTCTGACTCCGGTTTGAACATAAAAGGCTAAAAGTTTTTGCTACATAAAAATTTATGTGCGGTATTTTGAGCTAAAACAAAGACTTATTTTACATCTTGTAAAAGGGGCGTTATACCACCCCTTTAAATAAATGCAGCCTTGGTGTGCATAGTGCATAAGAGACATCAGATGTTCAAAAACACTTAAAAAAATCTTACAGACCCAAAACTTTTGAATGGTAGTGTGTATACCAGATTTTGCAGAGTTACTTACCCACACCACTCAAAGCTCCAAACACAGCCCCTGTGAGACGTCGGACCACAGGAAACTCTGACAGGGGGCCAAACAGTAACCTATGAACTCCAGGTGGCAGAATACGCTTAAACACCCGCTCCAATGCTGCAAATTCACACACACACACACACACACAAAAAAAATCAAATCTATGCTGGACAGCTACTAATAAATTTTGATTATTATCTTAATACAAAATGTAAGATAAACACACTTGAGTGAGGTGTTTTACATCTGGTTTCCCCGAGACACTCCATTGCTGGTTTCTTCTTCACTGCTACACAAGAACACTGACTGCAAAAGAAAGCCGTTTTAAAAGATGCAACAATAGTCAGTTAGAATGAGCCGCATGGATTTGGTGTAAAAAAAAAAAGAAAAAAAAACAAACAGCCGTTTTGACATTTTTTTTACAGGACAAAGTACTAGTATGAGTATTTGAATGGGTCCTAACACCACCCCTATACCTGTCAACGTATATAAAAGTGAAACTTAGATCAAAAATTGAGTAACGTTAGCTCTATTTTGCATTGAAAAGCAGTTATTACCACAAGCTCTACAGTGGACAGGTAAGTTAGGCCCAACTCTAAAGCAGCGATGTTTTGGGGTTAACCTTAGTTCATATTTCTTTTCCTTTTTTTAAATCGCTAAACATCTAATAAAGTTGCTTACTTTTTTATCTTTGTACTTCCTTTCTCTTTAGGATGGCTCCAAATAGACCTTTTTTAAAGTCTCTCGGTAGGAAAATATCGCGTTTGCGCCGTAGCTCGGCAATACGTCAGGTGAAACGCAGCCTTGCTGGGTTTACTCTGGGTCTGTTCCTCGCTTCAGTGTACGGTATGACAGCGCTGTTCATCCAGAACAACGATCTCTGGTTCTGCGTCACCACTACCGGCATCCTCGCCGCTTTTGCGGGGTTTGGAACGGGTCTCTCCGACCGCGTGCGCACCAACGTCATGCTGATGATCCCAATGCTGTGCTCGAGTAACTAAACACTGTCAATCTCTTTCATAAACGTATTCTGTGTTGGTACATGTGAACACGTAAATTAACAATTTGCTGAATATAATTTAAAATGTAAGCCTATAATATGAGCAGATATAGGGGAGACCTGGGCTATTTGTCAGAAAGGAAAGAAAAAAAATAGAAGGAAAGAACGAATATTTCCACTTTTACTGTCCAGTGTCCATAGGGAAAAAGTTAGGCCTACAGTTTGCTGAACACCCACTTTACGTTTTGAACTATATTGTGAGACATGCTGTCACATTGTGAGAACCTACCATTAAACAGCCTATACAAGCTTTTCATCTAAATGTAAATATTAAAAACAATTATGAAAAACACAGCAAGTTCTTAAACTGTAAAAATGTAATAGGTAATGTACAACAAATATATCAAAACATGAACATGTAAAATGTATGCTACAACAATTATAACATATTCCTTTGCACAGACAACACAATTTTGAGTTTAAATTCACCTTTTGTCTGAATGTATGCCAGTGTAGTTTTAATGTTCTCTTGTTAACTCAACTATAGCAAAACAATGATGAATGGAGGACAAAAAAAACCCCTGTGTGTTTAGAGCCAACTTTTGATGTATTGGATCTATTGACTCAAAAACGTACAGATACTGAGATACAGCACATACGTGACAAGTCCTACGCTGCAAATGTACATGTAGGCTACTACTACATTTGGTTTGAAACATACTTTGCAACCGTTAAAACAGTAGCCTATGTTTTATATAGTATGAATGAAATTTGGACGTACTACACCCACCATGTTGTCACTGCCATGTGACCTACGGTGTCAGTCGCATCGGTTCACACTGCTGTTCACAAATACTTTCCTGTGGCCTCATGGGAAAGTAAAGTGTCCAGTGGATGCGCAACTGTTTTTCGAATTCTATAGGTGCATCTTAATTTGCATACTTATGCACTATTCTATGATCTTTTGTAGTAGAGCAAGTATTGTGTTCACACTTAAAATGTACACACTTTAAATACCTGGATGATGATGCACTTAATTAAATTAATTATGGAATGGTGGACACTTCATGCACTCAATGATCGCAGCTTTAATTATGTAGAGTGTCTATCAGACTCCATGCTGAATGACAAAATAACCGTATAAAATTTATTCACTACACGACTGAGTACATAGTGCATTGTACATCGTGTATAGTGTGTCATTTGGGACACAACTTATGTTTTTGGACATTTTTCTCTGTTGGCGTGGTTTTTCGTGTATTATATAGTAGGGAAGTATTCGATTTTCACAGCGCTAGTCTCCTCTAAATCTCTTTTGAATTAACTTTAAAACTACTGTTAAATCATCTGTGTGATTTATTAATTATTATTATTATCATCAATAATTTATCACCTCTCAGTTTTCCCAATTGTATTGCTCATCATAACACCTCTCACACATTTTTTTTTGCTTTTAAGTCAGGGGTAAAAATTTCCTTCTTTTCCTCATCTGTACCTTGGTTATCCATGGCCCCGTGAGCAACACGATGGAGAATGTTGAACGGGCCGCAGACAGTGTGATCTGTGGTGCAGAACTTGCCATGAATCAGACCCAACAACTCCTGCAGCGTGCCGCCAACCCACTGCTACGTGAGTCCATCTGCAAGATCATGATGTCAACAATGCACCTCTTTCAAAAACACCAACATCTGCTCAAAACTAAATAGCGAGAATATTTAGAAATTCATACCTTATTCACTTGAAAAGATAGTGTACAAGTGTAAATTCTCATCATTTATTCACCCTCACCTTTTTTTCTGCAAAACACAGTGGATGTCTCAATGTCTCAGTATTTGTTTATTTTTTTGTCCATACGATGAAACTGACATTCACTGTGTAGACAAAATCATTTCTTCTAAATGTCTTCTGTCTTGCAAAAAAAAAAGTTGTTTGATAAAAGACTGATATTTTACCATTATAATAATAAAATATAATATATTTATTTAATATATTGGATAAAATATTTCTACAACTAACCCTAACCCTGTATGTGTGTGTGTGTGTGTGTGTGTATATATATATTCTCAAAGTCTTCTGGTTTACTTAAAAATACAGTTGTATGTTGTACATATTTATGTTTTGATATTCTGAAAATGGCTTTTTTTAGCGGCCCTGAGTAAGATTAAGGAGATGGCGAGGAATGCTTACTCAATGGCAGGCCGAGCACAAAACCTCATCAGAGCTCTGACGGAATCTGTGCGGCATGTTGGTGAGTGAATCAGTCGACCAAACATCCGGTAACGCCATCATCTGGGCCTATGCTCATTCATGTTTATTGAGCTTTGAGTCTCTCTGTCTCATCTATTTCCTTTTCAGCTCGGGTTCTAAGAAAGGTACTGCACTTCTTGGCAGATATTGGTGATGTGTGTAACGACAAGCTGGGTCTGCCGTATCAGAAGTGCACTAGGCTGTTCGATGAAGGCCGTGAGAACTGCATGGAGCTGCTCTCTGTGTTCTCTTTTCTCTGCCACATCCTAGATGGATTCCAGTCTCTCTGCGGGCTCGCACGCGGTGCGTCTCTGGCATATGATTAGTCCCTTAAAAGCCCTGTCATTACCCTCTTTACAGGAAGTCATATATCCACAGCACGCTGATTCCTTACTGCATTATTTTCTGCATCACAGTGATTTGGTTTCGGTATATTTGATCTCTTCTGCCGTTGTAGAAACTGTGAAAAATGGTTCCTGTGACAGAGCCTCCTAAGTACTGTTCATCTCACATGCTCAATATATACAAAAGTTTATTTACAGTGTGTTCTTGTGGGAGCAGTTTGTCACGTTTAAGTACCCTAAATGTTACAGTATGAGTGGGGTGGTTGTGTTCCCATGTGTATGCATCTCTCACATTTCTCAACAGGCTGACTGCAAATCTGCAAATCACATCTGACAGCAAATCCAAACATAACCTCATAGCGCTAAAACGAATCCTATACAACCTTATTGAGCAAAGTTCTGCTGTTTAGTGCAATTTTTTAGTGGATAATTAACATGTTATTACTAAAATTATTTTAAAAAGAAGCTATTTTCACAGATGTTGTTTAAATTAATGCCTTTTTTTAATGGACTTTTCGCTCAGTGGGACAGCTATTCTGCATCTTACCATCATATATTGCTGACCACATGAAGACTGCTTTGGCTTATCGTAAGTAAAATTCACCTTCTGAGATTTACCTATGTTAAACAGTACTGGGTGATTTACTGGCATGCACGGAGTGATTCTTCAAAAACTCTTAAAACTTCAGTTCAGAAAAATACTTTTGTTATTTAGTTATTGCCATTTTTGTTGTTGTCACCTCTAGCAACCATTGTGGCATTCGATCGAATTAAAAAAGAATTTGAATTCAACATTTCTACCTCCATCAACTTTGATCTGCTTCTGAACAACAGTCAGTCCATGCAGGATGCTGCTCAGGAGATCATGGAGGAGGTGTCTGAGCAGATGGGCCTCCTCCTGGAGCTCAAGGTCCTACTTGCATACATGGGTTTCTTCCTGCTTCTCTTCATGTATCTCAAGTATGTACTTCCTGTTAAATACAACTTGCCATAGTCAATAAATCACACACATTTAGATATCTTCACATGTCGGTACTGTCATGGAATTATTTGATTAAAATCTGTTTGTTAACATTTTGTATAGTCAGAACTGAATAAAGCTGTTAAGATTGTAGTCCTAAAATAAAAGAATGAGGATTTTTGAGCCATGAGTTGTTGCCTCCTGTTAACATAAAAAATGAACATAATAATAATAAATTATATCAGCAACAGTGATAATTAGCCTATAGCAATAACAATTAGTATTATTATAAATACTAATAGTTAATTATTGTTGTTGTTAATAGTATAACCAATAACTATCACAGTACTTTGATACATTATGAATATGTATAATAATAATAATAACAACTAATGATAATTATTATTATTATTAAACAATAATTGTAAGCAACATTGAAAACATTTATACTAATAGTATTATTGTTATTAATAATACATTAATTTTGTTCATATTCATATAAAAATAATAATTATTGTTTCTGTTATTAAGTACATAAATATAATGCAATACAATTTATAATAAATTATAAAAAGGATTATGTATGCTAACATTTACCAAATTTGACATTGAATTGATGTTTTTATAATATCACGCTCAGATGGTCCCTCACAATGGGATCATCATATTTTGGGGTCCATCCAAAATTTGGAAGAGTATATCCATTAGTATTTGTGTAATGCTCATTGTCCTTTTATGTGTTTGTGAACAGGGCCGTTCTGTACAAAAATCGATACCTTCATAATGATAAATTTGAGAACATCTACATAACTGACCAGTTCATTGAGCTGGACAGGAAGCTCTCCAGACAGGGCAAAGCAGCAGTACTTCCCCTCAGCCACAGAGAAACTCTCACCTACATCAGGCCCTGTGAGTGTATACTTATTTAAATAAGTGTGTGTGTGTGTGTGTGTGTGTCCGTTAGCAGATAAATGGTGTAGGGTGAAGGGTCAAGAGGAAGGAAGAAAGGAAAGAATGTTCATAGACATTTAGATAAGAGAAATAGAGCTGAAAGAGGCTGAGGGGTTCAAAAATGTGGAGGAGGACCCTGAGCAGAGAGAGATTAACAAGGAAAGATGAGAAAAAGCTCACAAGGGAAAGGTCATCAACAAGTACCAGAAAACAGGGAATGTTTCACACTCAGAAAGACAGGACATGTCAAAAGGTCAAACTGCTGTAGTAAAGCAAACTGCTCTAGGACACTTCTGGTGACCCAAAAAAATGTGTTGCACATCTGTTGTAGGAAAAACAACTAACTTTTTCTGTCAAAGGTCGTACATCCAATCAAACTCTACAGTACTTTGGCGTATTAACCTATAAAACATCCCAACTGGTCAAATAGATACAGTAAAAACAATAATATTGTGAAATAGCCTACACGTTTGCTATTTTAATACATTTTAAAAATTAATTTATTCCTGTGATGGCAAAGCTAAATTTTCAGTAGTTATTACTCCAGTCTTTAGTGTCACATGATCCTTCAGAAATCATTCTAATATGCTGATTTGGTGCTCAAGAAACATTTCTTCGTATTATCAATTTTGATTCGGTTATTATCAGTTGTGCTGCTTAATATTTTAGTGGAAACTTTGATAACTTCATTCTTTGATGAATAGGAACCTAAAGATAAATAAAAGTATTAATTTTTTTTTTAAAGAGTAAAAAAAAAAACGTACTGACCCCAAACCTTTGATCGATAGTGGTGTACACAAGGTAAAAAAAGACTACATTAAAAACAAGTTCACTTTCATTGAGGATGTGGGCTCTGAAGCAAAGCCAGTTCAAAACCTAAAAAGCTCCACAGAGATACACACATCTGGCTAAGACCTAGAATGACTCTAATAATGGCTCTCATGTCTTCCTCAGGCTCTCTGTATCTGACTGCGAGAGAGAGACGGGCTATGGCAGGTCAGATGTTGTCTTTGTTCAGGTATATGGTCATGACAGTAATACTGATAGCTGTTGACCTCATGGTGTTCTGGGTGTTTGAGCTGGTACACCACCAGGCCCAGGGTGAAATCGTGACCCAAGGTACACAAGATGAAAACCATAGCATGGTTTTGATGCATGTTTTTGTTGAATTGCGCAATTTATTTCACTAATATGCCACTGCATAATAATTCAATGGTTGTAATAAGTCAATGGTTTGCTTACTTTCTATATATATCCTTCTAGCATATTCTGTTATATATTTTCAGTGTTATATTATTTTAATCACAATTTTTGTTCACCTCCAGCTCCTGTAGTGGTTGCAGTACAAGTGAATGGATCTGGTTACGCCTCAGATATCTTTAGGGACATTGCAGCCTCTTTTGACATCCTGCAGAAAGGAAACATCACTGTGCTTAGCAAGAAATGTCTCATGAATCCTTTGGAGCCAGACTACATGAGATACCTGCTCATTGGTACAACTACAAGTACAAGTACACACTGTACATGCAGTCTATTGTTTTAGAGTGACTCCTAGTGGAACAGTAGATGGAACATTTGACCAGTCAAAACAGTTTAATCTGCTTACTCACAAATGTGCTTTTGATATGTCAATTCAATACGTTTTTAGGATCATTTTACTGAAACTTGAGCTAGAAAGCAACCACAGTTGTTTTTCTGAATCTTTAAATCTCAGTAAACAGATTTTTTAACCAGACCTATTTTACAACTCAACTAATCACAGCTTTAAAATAGCAAAAACAATAGACATATGCCATTACTTGGTGTGTCTTTTTATCTTATCACTTTAAGCCAGCCCACAGGTTGAAGTTATTTAGGAATGAATGACGTAGAAGACTACCTTGTGGTTGTTCTTGTTTGAAGCTTAGTTTGTAGTAATAAGTAAAGTCTCACTGGAGGCAGTTGTAACAAAACAAAACAAAAGTATTGGTTACAATACAAAGAAGTTAATGCAAAACTAAAACTTTCATTTTAAAGCTAAAATCTATAATCAAGCTCTAAACCAGGGGTTCTCAACTATGGCTCTTGAGGTCCATTTTCCTTCAGCAATTAGCTCCAACCTTGATCAAACTCACTTGCATGTAACTTTCTAGTAATCCTAAAGATCTTGATTAGCTTTTTCAGCTGTGTTTGATGAGGGTGGGAGCAAATATGTGCAGGAAAGTAGACTTGAAGGGCCACTGCTGGTTTAGAGCTTAATTATAGAGGGCGCTTCTCAATACTCAAGTTGATGTTTCCTCGCTCCTCCGTCCTCCAGCTCGTGGCCCGGAAACCGATGGAACTCAGCCATCTTAAAGGGCATCTCAATTCTCTAATTGCACTGCAAGGAGGCGAGGAACGAGGAGTGAGCAAGCTTCCTGTGGAGTCATGAGTGTGGATACACAGGTGTATCCTTCACCCGCAACCTAAGAGGGTGGAGCTAAGACGTGAGGAAAGGAAACAAGGATGCACAAATAAGAGATGAGAAGCACCCAGAGCTTTTATTTTAGCTGATTTCCCCCCCCCCAGTTTCACGGACAAGGCTTAAGCTAGTCCCAGTCTAAATGCCAGTTTGAGCTGTTTCAACTGAAAGCAACTTGAACTGACATATCTTAAAATTTGTCAGTGCCATTGTTTTGTCTCAAGACGTACACCAGTAATGTTTTTTCTAAGGCACGTTTATGAAAGCCACTTAAACTGAACTAAGGCCTAATCCTGGCTTAATCTAAGCCCTGTCTGTGAAACTTTTATTTTTGCATTAACTGCTTTGTATTGTAACCAATAAACAGCATCCCTTGATAGGGTATCAGGTCTCCTTCAAGCTTAATCCAGCCATCATCTGAGGAGTGCCTTACTCCTTATACCAGAGGTGCCCATTCCTGTTCCTGGATATCTACCTACCTGCAGATTCAACCCTGATCAAACACACCTGAATAAATAGAAATATAATAAACACACTCCAAAATATCTTTATTAGCTGGTTCATTTGTATTTGATCAGGGTTGGAGCTGAACTTTGCAGGAAGATAGATCTCTAGGAAGAGGATTAGGCACCCCTGCATTACTTTTTGTGGAATTCCAATTCCATTTAATTCATCAAATCCACCGTCATCTATCCAGTCTTTCTTTTGTAGGAGTATCAGTCTCTGTACCTCATGATGTCTAATATGACGGATGTCCTTCCTCTGTCGCACACAGTTGTTTTCTTGCACTCTTCCCCTTGTTCACTCACTGTAGTCTTATCTCTGCTTGTGGTTTTATCATCTTCTCTTCACCCGAGTGTGTCCTCTTGGTTACCTTTGTGGCCGGTTGCACGCGCCAAATATGTGAATTTCCTTCTTTTTTTCACACCTTTTGCTCATTTTATCCTGCTCTACATCATAAACAAAGGAAGTCAAGTACATTTGTTTATACTCTACATCAAGATAATTTTAAGTATTGCAGGCACTTTCCAAGCAAATAGCATTCATGCCTTTTTATATGGCATTGATGTAAAGACAAGTAAATAACATTTTACATACTACATACAAATCCATTTCTTACAATGCAAACATTTAACTTTTATTTGGTTATATGCCTGACTTTTGTCTTCCCTCCAAACAAAGGTCTTCTTTATGGCTTCACGCTGTTTATTGTGATTGCTGGTGGCTACGTCAAACGTTTACAGAGGTTTGTGTGTGCCAGGTACCATCCTGAAAGAGAGAAAGTAAGAAAGTTTCCTAGCACAATTACCATCAAAATGGCCTTTACTAGTCACAGATATAAAGTTTTTGTCAAATATTTACTAAGCTGGTCACATTTCTAATGCTTTTAAAACTGCTTTTTATCTATAAAGAGAATTGTGTCTCATGGAGGAGAAACACAGTACTGTGCAGATGTGGCTTGTAAAAGGACAATGACTGAACTATTTTACTTTCAGTTTGCTTTTACTATGAATAGTTTATACTAAATGTTTGCATGTTGCAGAAGAGGATCCAGTACCTCCACAGGCATATTCTCACTCATCGTGGGTCTTTAGGAAAAGCCCTATTGAGGGCAGTACAACGAAACAAGGTGGACCAGCAAAATAATGGCTTTATACAAACACTGGCCAAACAGTGAGTATAAACTGCTATGAAAACCACAATAGCACACTCACTACTAGATACATTATTAGTATGGGATCAGTAATAATTTATTTTTAATTAAAACTTACTCAGCAAGGACACATTAAATTGAAAGTAACAGTAAAATCTTTTTCAATGTTACAAAAAATTCTATTTTAAATAAATGCTGTTCTTTTGAACTTTCTACTAATCAAAGATTCCAGAAAAAAAATTCACACTTTCCACAAAAATATTAAGCAGCACAACTGTTTTCAACATTGAACTGGAGTAATGGTGCTGAAAATACAGCTTTGCCATCACAGGAATAACTTGTATTTTAAAATATATTTTAAGTTGTAATATTTTACAATATAACAGCTGTTACTGTATTTTTAATCAAATAAATGCAGCTTTGGTGAGCATAAGAGACTTCTTTCAAAAACACAAATCTTACAGACCACAAGTTTTTGAATTGTAGTAATCTATTAGGTATTATCTGAAGGTTAATGTTTTAAATTACTTCCTCAGAATCTTCCATTTATCCTGCAGAAATATGGTTTTAAATGAAAATAAATTCACACACTCCTCGCCTTTTTTGCAGCCTGCCGGGGGGTGTCATCATAGCCAGGCTCCTGGATATCAATAAAGAATCATGCATGGCCTGTGGGAAAATGTTGGAGACGAGAGGTCATGATGATGAAGTGCACATATGCCCTACCACTCACTGCACAGGTTGGTTTTCTCACTCTTGAGAAATTATTGATTTAAGATAATTTACCTGTCAAGAGGAAATAGACTCTGTTAGATCAACCTGCTAGGCAAATTTATTTCCTTTCACAGGCCGTTACTGCTCGCTGTGCTTCAGACTGATGGGGAACCTCTGTGCTATCTGCATGGGACCGCTTACGTTCCAGGAGGAGCAAGAGCTGTACGTCACATGACAGAACAATGATAGACACCTTGATTTGATAATGATAGCACAATTGTGTGTGTGTGTGTGTGTGTGTGTGTGTGTGTGTGTGTGTGTGTGTGTGTGTGTGTGTGTGTGTGTGTGTGTGTGTGTGTGTGTGTGTGTGTGTGTGTGTCTCACAAATTGAAATGATATAGTTTGAGGTAATAGACAGCTTAACTTTTATTTAACCTGGAATATTTAACCAAAAGAAATCATTGTTCAGATTAGCTTTTATTTTTTCCATTTTGAAAATGGACAGGAAATTTCTATACATATAGGCTTGTGAGTTTCAGAGACTCCAGCGATGAGGAGCAAGCGGATTTATTGGAGGCCGCTGTAACATCACAGCAGACTAGCCAGGGCATAGAGATGAAAAAAGTTATGATCAGGTGTGTGTACAGAGTAATTGAGCAACATTGTCACACATTTGAGTTGTACAAAAGCAGAGGGCAAATTAGCAGTGCAGTAGTAACTTATGTCTTTTTATCTGTTTCAGTTTTTCCAATCAGGATCATTCTGTATGGCTCAATGGACAATCTAGCCATCAAAATATAGTTGTCAATAACAGAGTTTGAGGCCAAAGCTTCTTTTTTTTGTTGCGAATTTAGATGTGCAGAGCACCGTTTTCTGTGGTGTTGAATAAATGTATGTTCAACCAGGTGCTGTGTGTTTTTATTTAATTATTATCCACCTTGATCAAACTGTAACTTAGGTATACGTGATGAAACTACAAATATTTTACAAATGTTACCTCGGTCACATCTGTCACAATGCGGTTGGTCTGGTTACATGCTTACATGGTTGTCAAAGGAATGTCGAGTCGCCTATGTGCCACAGTCTCTTAACTGTAAAACGAATACTCAAGCCATTAATATCTTTATTTATTTATTTACATAAAACTGAAAAATAGGCTAGTCTCAGTCTGTATCGAAAATTAGCACGCATTCCGTACAAGACATATTCCCATATAAACTCGATACATTAAAAGCGAGGACATTGTGCACGTGGAGAGTGGGCGGGACACGGAGGTGCTCTGGTCAGGTGATGAAATGCCGTCACTTCACTTCACCTGCTCTAGTTTCCGCACAATCAGGACATGAAACAAGCCCAATGGATCCACAGGTAAGCTTTCGTTTTTGTTGTGTTTAAATAGTTTTTTTATATATATATATTTATATATATGTTTACTTATATGATCCACCAATAGCGATATTTCACATAGGCTACCTTTTCGTCATAGTTCCTTTCAATATAAGGAAATGAATTAAAGCTTGCTTTTCTATCCGTCTAACTGAATTAAATTTGATAATAAAAAGATATAACTGATGTATATACTTTAATTTATAACTTGTTCAATGTGATGTGAATTATCACTGCCGTTCAGATACATTTAGGCTACAAGTTAGGCCTACATTATTTTAAACAATATTTGAGGATTGTCACTTAAAAAAGCTAAGACTAAAATAACTGATTTTACCTTGTGTTTTGTTTCTTGTCTTTTTTTGTGGCCAACGCCCAGTAAGTAAGTAAGTAGATGTCAGTCATACTGAACCATAGATGTGTAAACATTGATGCCTAGTCCGCCATATTGCAACGGTCAAAACACCAGTCCGTGAACACTCGAGAGCAAGTTGACTGTGCGTCTGCAACCGTAGTTAGAGTTAGACGCATGTATGAATATCTCTATCTATCTATCTATCTATCTTGTAATATAGAGTTAATGCATATAAAAACACAAAACAACACATTCTCACCTGCGAAAGGTTATCCCATTTCTTCGGGAATTTAAATCTCGGCGGTTTCACAACCAGAAGCTACGCGATGTAGTAGTTTCATTGATTCTTGATTCTTACTGTGAGTGACGACAAGCTGACCATTCCAAGATGGCAGGCGCGCCAACGTGTCTGGAGCTATGTGGAATCTATGTACATAATCTATGTGCTGAACTGTCGAGAACAGGAATGTACTGTGCGAATAGAGGTCGTAACAGGTCTTTACAGCTCCTGTTCAACAGCAAACAGACGATCACTAAGAACAAAGCCTTGCCGTTATGCGATAATATATTACATCAAAACTGCACTTTTCAACCACTTTGAAATTCATAACTGATGAAGAAAACTGATACCTCATAAAATCAAGTCGCAGAAATTTATTGTGACTTGTGAATATTATTACCCTGATAGCACACGTACATCACAAAGACATCTATTTGATGTTTGCTCATCTGCTATACGTCTATAGGACGTTTCCTGCCAGATGTCAAATAGACATTTAGAAAATGTTTTTAAGATGTTTATGATTTAGAACGTCTGTAAAACTGACATTTATCAGATGTTAGTAAACAGCAGATGCTTTCCATATGAAGTGTGCTTTAACTTTCCATATGAAATGTATGCTACGTGTGCTATCGTGGAAACATGATGGTAAAAACAAGATATGATTACAATGGGTTAAACCATTTCCCCCCGGTCCCAGACTAAAATGGCAGTTTGAGCTTTTAACTGAAAGCAACTTGCACCGACATATCTTAAAATGTCAGAGACATTGTTTTGGCTTTAGATGCACACCTGTAATGTTTTTTTCTAAGGCACGTTTTATAAAAGCTATAAATGCCCAGATTGAAATAAGGCTTTATCCTGGCTTAATCTAAGCCCTTTCTGTAAAACCGTTTTACTCCTTTATGGCTCTGGAGACATTACTTTTAGCTCTACTTGAGTCTGAAACTGCTCTCTCTCTGTAGTACACAGATCTAGAATTGGCCATCAACACCCTGGTGGAAAACTTCCACTCAGCATCATCAACTAATGCCAACACGCTCACAGCCCAGGAGTTCCAGAGCATGCTCTCCAAAGAGCTGCCCACCATGGTGAAGGTATGTCTGGATCCCCAATCCAATCATCACACCACTTCACTACATATCAGTCTCTCAAAATAATTAATATCATCCATATTACATAACCAAAAGCCACATTTGCATAGGTTACAACACCTATGTGATACTATTTTGTCATAGGACAGACCAAAATAAGACTGAAAATAAATATGAGCCAAGAAGTACATAAATTGAATGAATACTGAATGAAATTTAGATTAGGCCTCAAACATTTCAAGGTTTATTTTTCAAATATTCACTGTATAGACTCACTATACGTAAAACTTTAAGGTGAGACATTTATATTCATTATAAAGCCAGTATATATTTATTCAGACTAGTGAAAGCATTTGGTCCCCTAAATACACAATAATCATGATTATATTTGATAAGTTTCCCACATCCTTTATTCTCTTCCAGACAGCAGGGGACCAGGAAGGACTCAACAAACTCCTGACAGAAATGAGCGTGGAAGAGGGGAAGGGTGTCACGTTCAAGGATTTCTGGAAATTGGTTGATTCTCTGGCCAATGCTCAGTTTGGATTGCTGAGCAAAGAGAAGCAGGTGAAATGTGTGAAATGTAGTCTTATGTGAAACCGGCCCTGAGCAAACAAGTCCGATCAACATTACTTAGGTGTCCACCACAGCCCTGAGAAAACGCGTTCAATCAGTCACTTCTATTTCCCATCACTTTCTGCAATACTGTACATGTCACTCTGCTGGTCTTTGGCATATGCGCTGAAGTAATTACTTACAACACTCATAATTAAGTGTTGTTATAGAGCTTCCTGAATAAATATCTCTCAACCTGAAGTAATCTCTAACATCAGTGTAACCTGAGCCACACCTGCCTGGCCAGATAACGTAAGATCTAGTCGCTAATTTATTTCCTCATTTCCTCTGGTGCTGCAGGTCTTTGTATTATTGTGATATTTTTAACCTGTCCAATCATTTTTACTTTCTTTTTACATATAAAATATTGGAAAATATTTATGTGTTTGTGACAACTGTGATTATATTTGAAATAATGTGGGCCACATGTCTGTTTGTGCTGACTGACAAATTGGAAAATATATAATGCGAGTAAAATGTATTGTAGAAGGAAACAAAAGATGTGACCACACATTCTGTACTGTATTTGGCTTTATGGTAACACAATGTGATTGTCTGTGTTGATGCTATTAAATGTGTGCTGAAGGTTTCTCTGTCTGAATGATCTGTTAAGTGTAATGAAAATATTCTTGAGTTTGATGGATGGTCTTTATTGATCTAGTTACAATTTAACCCTTTTGTTCTATGTTTGTCTGTCCAAGGCCATTTTAATAGCTCAAAAAATATAAAAAAGGCATCAAGGTGAAACGTAATGATTATCCTAATCTTATGATTTAATAACTAATTTAAAAAAATCTTAATAACAAACCATTCTACATCACATATGTTTCTCATGATTTCCATTACACGAGAGTAGATGTTAAAACTTCATGCTGATTTGTTTCGCCAAGATAAGCAACACTCCGGCTGCGTTCCAGACAGTCCACTTTTAGACACACACTTGCGAACTTCCCTAAGCACTTCCCCTCGGGGGAATCCCTGCCGCCGCCATTTTGAAGTGTGTTCCACTTCGTGAAGTGGACGAGGGAAGTTTATATGGACAGACACTTGTTCCCTCGATTTTGACCGAGGGAGCGAGTCTACTTCATATGTACACTTCAGGCAGCTCCATATACCACAATGCAACACAATTGTGACGTCACCGCAGATCTCGTCTAATCACCACCACCACAAACAACTCTGATATATTAATTATATATATTTTTTATTTAAAACAACCCAAACACACCTATATACATTTGGATGCTGCATTAAACAAATTCTTAAAGGAAAAAAAAAAAGTAATAATAAATCAAGTCCATGGCTGATTCCAAGTGATCAAGGGCTTAGGACGTTCCAATTCAGCCAATTGCAGTTTCCGCCAGTAGTGGGCACTCGTGCAATGTAAGCAATGACGTACATCCGAGTGAACAAGACGGAGGGAAGTTAGCGAGTGAAGGGCATGACAATTTTGGACTGGAACGCAGCCTAAGACGTAGCTTTACAGTAAACTATGCTTCACCCATTTACGCTTCTTTCCATATGGTGGTGTGACTCCCCTTCTGTCCGGCGTTAACGACTGCAGTGTACTTGGCGCGTCAGCACACACGACGGCTGCAACTACAGTGTGGTCTCCTCGACAACCGTCTGGATTGAGCCGAGTAGGGGACATCTCTAGGGTCTTCAAGTGGGCACCTTCCGTCCTCAGTGTTTCGTCGACTAGCCCACGACACCTCAAAAGGGCTCGACAGTGACTCTTGCGTCCCAGAGTCACCCCCCTCCGTCCCCCACTCAACTCAGCCCAGCTTACTGACCTCTACATCCCTCCTGCTGCTGAGACCTAACCACAATCTCACAATCTCTCCGCAACCCAACCATACGCGCCAACCCGTTTGACTAAGGCTGTCGAGCCCCACTGGTGCGTTAATATGCAGTTTCAGTGGCAACGGTTCCGTATGGCATACCACCTACCGCAAAACACAATATCTGCCCAACCACCCGTCATTCACGCAATATACACAGGAACGTAATGACTGTAAATACTATACAACCTATACAAATAAACCAACAGACTCATCAAGTTTTCAAGAATTCTACAAAACCGTAGCGTGGCGGCCTGTACACAGCCAGCTAGAATCTTTCCGTCTCAACCACAGCCAGTTGCTGCTCCTTTCTGCTGCTTCAGATAAGTTCTTTACTGTGCGACGCAACTCTTGGCCACTGAATCCGACGTCTCTGAGGAACCGGGTTATAGAGTGTGCCACAAAACCTCGACAACCCACTTCCACTGGATAAACCTGGACTCTCCAACCTCGCTGTTCTGCTTCAGCGGCCAGATGAGCATACCGCAGTTTCTTCCTCTCATATGCCTCATCTACCGCATCCTCCCATGGCACTGTTAACTCTATCAGTTGAACAATGCGTGCTGATCCAGACCACAAAACAATATCTGGTCGTAGGTTAGTGGTGGCAATCTCAGGTGGAAAAATAAGCCGTTGATCAAGATCAGCCAGCATCTTCCAGTCCCCAGCAGCTTCCAGTTGTCCTGGGCGAGAATTGGTGTTAACACCTTTTCTTGTTGGTTGCTCGCCTGGGTGGAGGAATATTGTCTTCTGCGTGTAATGTTTTGCTAGAACAGGCGGCAACTTATTGGTCATACTACGCTTGCCTTCCAAAGCCAAACATCACAATACTTGGTCATGGCGCCAAGTAAACTGACCTTGGCTAAGAGCCACCTTACATCCTTTCAAAGTTTTGCTGGGGTGAACTCAGACGACATGGAAGAGAGGATCCAAATGCAGATATATTTTTAATAATAATTTGCTTAAGTTATGACGTAATGAATAATTTTTCTGGGTCCAACCAAGACTACTAGTTTCAAATGAGAATACCATTTTTGTAAAAACTATTTATATTTATTCATATCACACATTTAAAGTCACCATGAAATCAAAATGGACCTTTTTTTAAATGTAATATTGCAATGTTTATTATTAATTATTTATCCGTGCACATTTTATCTTTTTTAATTAATATGCCCTCGTAAATTTTAATCAAATTAACTACCTCTCCCTCTGGCATCTCTTCTCTGATGTGTTTACTGGCACACGGGTGGGACAACCAGTCACTCACATGAGATCACAGCAATTGCAAACCACAACAAGCCAATCAATTCCCAATGGACAAAATCAAGTCCTTGTCTACATTTTTTTCTCATTCGCATACACGTCACAATAGGGAAGAAAAAACTATTAACTTCCATTTCACACCAACTTTAAGCTAAGCTTGTAAAAAACATTCATGGTGTGCACTACAGTCTCTGGGCTCACAACGTCCCAGACACCAATTTTTTATCGATTTTTAAGAGATGAATCAAGCAAAAGATACAAAACACAGGATCTGGACATGGAACATGGAAAACCAAACCCAACAAACCACCACAAAAGACCCGACAAATAGCCCTGCATCAAATTATCCCTACTTTCATACTATAAAGAAGGTGAAAAACAGTATGTGAGTAGTATGCCTAAGTAGTAGTACTTAGTAGTAATAGTAAGTAGTATGCCTATTTCATAGTATTCATAAAACAGTAGGTGAAACATACCCGGATGACCTACTGCTTCCAGCAAGATTCTGAAGAGCACATCCACTGGACACTTTACTATCCCATGAGGCCACGAGAGAGGATTTGTGAATAGCAGTGAAGCGACGCAACTGACACCGTAGGTTACATGACAGTGACAATATAGTGGATGTAGTACATCTGAATTTACACAAATTCATACAACATAGAACATACTTTTTTTTAACGGTCAGGAAGCAAGTTTCAAACCAAATGTATACCTACTATACACAGTATACGAATTTGCATGCAATGCAGGCCTCACAGGGATAATCAAATTAACAAGACACAGGTGGAACCGTAATTATGAGATGACAACCCGTGACATTGTTCATGTCCTTTGACTCAGAATTAAATGGCAACACTATCAATGGCAATATGAATTTGCAGTGGTCAGGTGGTACAGCTGTAAAGTTGGAGCTCTCAAAAAATTCAGAGTTTACAAGTTGTAATTACGAGGCTACAAGAATGTGAACACTTTTTACAAATTAAAATCTTGTAATTACGGTAATTCTGACATGGCGTGAATGCACCTTAACACTAAACAAGGCAAACTAAAAGACTACAAAACAAAAGCACAAGGAACAAACAGGAAATACATGTCAATAAATATATGCATTGGATTTTCACATAATATTTTATGATTGGTGAGCACTTTTTAACGGTACACTAATTCAACTTAAATTTCTTTTATTGTATTGTTTTAATATTGTATTGTGATTTTGCTGGGGTCAAATTTATAGAATAATTATTTTTTTAAAAGATAAATTATTATTATTTTTACATAAAAAGTTCATTTAAACACATCACAAGGGTTTAAGTTAATGTTCAAAGATATACATTTAAAAAAAAACTTAAGTTGCTGAAACAAAGATGCATTGTCTTCTGTGACTTCACACCTGTAAGATGCCTCAGAGTTAGAGCAATGAGCTCTAACCACAAATGCATGACATCCATTTGCTGATGCAACTTGACGGTTTGTGGTTACTCACCTTTATGCTAAGAGCACAGACAGTCCCTTACATTTGGTACACCCCATGGGTACACCTTGCCTCTCTCTTGCATTTTGCTCCTCATCCATTTCTAATATCTATTTATATCCAGTATTTAACCACTGATTTTAAAACTCTATTTAGCACTACATTAACATTTTTTGTATTATGTCAAGTCAAGTCACATTTATTTATATAGCGCTTTTTACAATACAGATTGTTTCAAAGCAGCTTTACAGGAAAATGCAACAAAGTTTGTTTCCAGAAGAAAATAGCATCACGGTCCAGCTTAAGTAAGTTCAGTGATGTTTCATTTTTGTTGTAAAAAAGTTATTAATTTAGTTAATTTATATATATAGCCGCTCTGGAGAAAACCGTGATGTCATCGTCCAGCTCAGTTTAGTTCTCATATAATAGTGTCAATGCAGGCAGATCAATATTATTGTTGAATATTAAATTTAATGTTAAATTTAATGTCTCCAACTAAGCAAGCCAAAAGCCAATGGCAACAAAGGTGAAAAAAAGGCAACAGTGGCAATGAACCAAAACTCCATCATGTGACAGAATGGAGAAAAAACATTGGGAGAAACCAGGCTGAACTGTTCTGCACTGTTGTTACTGCATGATATAGAATGAGAACCGAGAGAGACAATTGAAGATTAGTTCCTTAAAATAATACAGGTATGAAAAACAGTTCTGCTTTCACTTTTGTTTTAACTTTTTAATTCAATTCAATTTTATTTGTATAGCACTTTTCATTATACATATTGTTTCAAAGCAACTTTACAGAAAAATCCATGTTTTTACATTACTATTTAGAGTGATCTGCCATCATACTGTAGGTGACTGTGTCAAAGTAATGTCCATATGTCAAAAATGTACAGTTCTAAGATAATACAAATCATGCAGTTAGCTAATATCATGTATTCATTTAGGCAGAGACAATTATCTTGTTAAAGCTGTTATTACAAGTTGTGATTACAATATAGAATCTTTGATGAATGGAAAGACGAGGCCGCAGCCTGGCACAAATTTCGAGGTCCTTTGAAGACGTCTAGCTCAGCATCATCTTCACATCAGAATTTCTCAGAATCAGCTGTGATCTTGTGATCAGTGATCTTTTAAAGTGTGAAGATGTCACAACCTCAGGGGGTGAGAAACTCCAACAAGGAAACTTTATGATCCTTTGTCTTCTAGCAGGGTGCTGCATAAGTAATTTGATTGGGTGTCAATGGAGAAACTATGAAAGATTCGTATAATACTAATATGTTGCATAGGTATCAACGTATAATGTAAATGATCACTCAGGTCATTAAAACAGAAACTCATACCAAACATGGTACACATATGATCTTGATTAAGTAAGGCTACATTCATTCAAAGAGTTTAGATTAATACATAGTCAAAACAATATAGAGGAACATATGATTGCATAGGAAAAGTGGATACATGATTGTAAGTGATTATATATTGAGGGTATAGGATTAGAATGGACTGTATAGAAAAATGGTACATGTGTCGTCTTCAAAGTGAATTTAGATTGAAACTCTACATTCCTTTGAGTTGTAAACCTTATCTTTTGTTATACAGTCACCAGAAGCAAGGTGTTAGCTGCAATTGGGGTGTTAATTGCTCATCGGGGGAAGTATTCATTTGTATTCATAAATTTAAACATATTTAAAAATAAATAAATTTATCAATACGAATTAACTGAAATAGTCCATTCCATTGTTCCATTAAGATTTATACAAAATGTTTTATAAAGCTTTAGTTTTTTTTCCCTCATTTAAAATTCTTAATTCATAATATGAATATGCAAGGATTATTCAATTCAATTTGATGGAATTTTTCTATACAATCGGAATTCGTAAATCGTAAAAATGGGCTTAATATTTTTATATTTCTCTATATTAAACATGTATTTAAGAATCAGTTAAGTCTGGCATACTAGTAGTTCCTACAATCCATACAATCGTCCCCTGAAACCCTCCATGGAAATCCACTCCTCCCAGCACATATATCAACGAAGTTCCACTCTGTGTGCTGCAAGGTTACAAAAATGTATAAGATTCCTAAGGTATTCTGTTGCACTGGGTGGAGCCTGCTGGAATATTCAGTGATAATCAAGTCTTTCCTATTGTGGGTGTGTTCTTCTGACAAATTAAAAGCCGTGGAGCTGAAAATGTTGGTGCCAGCTACTCAGATCCTAATTTTAATGATTTGGTAACATATTAGTTGGAATTGCCATTGTATATCAAAACCATTGTTGTTTGGTTCAAGACAAACGTACAAACCTTTAAAGTAACTTTTTCATGCATACGTGCTATGGTACACCATCAATAAACTGGCAGGTTTACAACTCATAGACTGTAAAACGTACGTTAAGGCTACGTTTCATTTCATAACGCCACAAAAATGTTGACTGCCAATCTGAGGGGTAAAAGTGCTATAAAGTTGTATATACAAACTGAAAACACACGGAAATGTCTCATGTCGAAGGCTGCGTCGTCCTCCCGGAGGCTGCATATTGAGGAGGCTGCTTCATTTCAGTCTATTTTTTACAGTCTATGATTGCAGTAAACTGACTGACATTCCGCAGTCATTAAGAAACTACAACAATTTATGTTTCACTAAGATTAACGGTCAGTTTTAAAATGGTTACTGTACTGAAATAAGAGATACTTTACGAATTAAGACGCGTGCGATCTCCGGAAGATGCAGCCCTCAAGTTCAAATGAGACTTTTGTTTTGTTAAAATGAGACTACCCCCACTATAGGGGAACTGATGAATATTCCATGAGGCCCCGCCTCACGCAACAGAAAAGTGTTAGGAACGGCATAGATGTACGTATACAATAACAGGGTCAACGCGTCGAGTTTCCCGTAAGACGATATATTTCGAATGTTGTTACACGTCTTTTTTTACATTAATAATTATCAAGCAACAGATGTTTACCCCTGACCAAACAGGGCGTCTAGCGTCGCCCTTTCTGGATTTAGAAAAAACGGTTTGCGGATCCTGCGCTGTTTGCAAACTACACCTAAACTCTTCTGCAGACTCCAGACTTCTGCCCTGCCTGCATACAGTTTGTGAAACTTGCCTTACGAAGATCTGCACAGATGGAGCCGCACAAGGTAAGAACTAGCTTGTAGCGGTCACAGTTTGACTGATTTTATTAAGGCGCTCGCGAAGGTCCAACTCTGCACGTGACGTTTTTAAAATCGCGTTGAACTGCAGGCTCAAACCAGTCGCGTGAAGTTCGGTTTAGTCCCGAGTCCCGACGATTATTTATATAAGATGTCTCAAAGTTAAAAGCCAGGGTTTTGGCTTTGGCCAGGTCGTGTTCCTCATGGGGGACCAACTTCGCCCGATATGGTTTGTTATCGACATACTAGCCTAAACAAACATTTCACATAATCTGTTTTTAAATAACAGTATATTGTTTTGTTTTTTAAATTGCAACATTAAATGACATTTTATGAACACAATAATTATAATGATCTTAAAATCTCCTGAAATCGCTTGCTTCGTCACTGACACATTTCCAATACAGGAAGTATAGACGAGTCACGTTAACGTTATTGCTGTTAAGTTTGATTTAAATTTGGACATTCGTTTGACATTCGCGAAAATTGATTATATTCTATGATTCTATTTCTAATGCATGAATAGGTTTTCTTTGCTCAGAACAAAGCGGACTTTTTTCATTTCAATTTAGCCCTACAAATCCATATTTTTGAACCCTTTCTCGTTATGACATCACACAAAATGTAAAAAAAATAAATGTTGCTAAAAGTGCTTTCATGACACAAAGCTCTTTTTATTGAATTTACATTATATTTCTTTTAAATTAAGTATAGTAGTGCAAATAGAGAATATAATTGGCATTTTCGTGAATGTCAAACTACTGTGAAATATAAAACCAACTTAACTGCAGTTCAAAGGGCTCCAACGTTGACTTTATTTGTAAAAATAAATAAATAAAAATACTTTCTTTAATGTCATGATATAGTGTTGTCACTACACATGAAAAATTACTTTGCAAGCTCTTTTCATTTGGATTTCATTTTATTAATAGTATTGTACTCTAATAAACAACTTTTTTTTTGGTTTTGTCATGGCTTGCTAAACAGCAGTAACATGGGTTTAGTGTTTCTGAGACTTTTGCTTCTTTCTCTGTCTAGATTGTCCATTATGTGCTCAGGCCTTTAGTTTGTCCGAGGTCACAGAATGTTCCCTTTTTGAAGACACATCTAATAATAACAAGGACCCCAAGGTAAGAGTGCATAGATTATGGAAAACATTACGATTATGAGTAAAATGGTACATTCATCAGCTGGAAAAAAAATCATTCTGAAAGTGATTCCAAGAATATCTTTCCTCTGTGTCATTATCGTTATATTTGTGACGTGGAGTGGACTTTCCTATTCTCTTAGAAATAGAACAATTATTACAAGTTTATAGAGAATATCGTCGTTGTGAAGGGCCTTAATTGGCTCAACGAATTCCAGCACTGACATAAAGGAGGCATTTCCTTTCTGTCTTCCATTGTAAACCTTCATTCAAAATTTTAATCAATCTTTGCAGTGTGCCGGTTGCGAAGAGAGTGAGGTTAGTGGATGGTGTGTCCAGTGTGAGGAGGCCCTGTGTTTGGACTGTATGTCTGCCCATCGTAGGGTAAAAGTGACCCGTGACCATGAAGTCACACCCAAAAAACCACCCACAGGTTAGATTTGCTTTTTGTGCATGCTTTATTTATGATTCTTTATTCTTTATTCGGATCCCCATTAGCTTCCACAAAGTGGTTGCTAATCTGCCTGGGGTCCTCACAAGACAAGACAAAAACATACAGATAAAATATAACCAAGAAATAAGCACATCTTAGCAGTAGTAGCACATCAAACATACAACACACATTAACATATTTGTAAGCATATCTTTACATTGTCTTCTAAGTACCAGTACATAAGCAGGGCTCTCAAGTGTCACGCATTGAGAGTGACAGTCACTCATTTCGGTCTTTTGTTACGCTCTCCCGCCACACATTGTATTTCTCACGCAGAAAAAATATTTATAATATATTTAAAGGAACACTCCGACTTTTTGGGACTTTAGCCTATTCACCTTATCCCCCAGAGTTAGATAAGTCCATACATACCTTTTTCATCTCCGTGCGTGCTATAAGTCTGTTTGACGCACCCACCGCTAGCCTAGCTTAGCACAAAGACTGGATGTAAATGGTTGCAGCTAGCATACTAATCCAAATAAGTGACAAAATAGCGCAAACATTTTCCTATTTACATGTTGTGATTTGTATAGTCACAGAGTGTACAAAAAACTACGTCACATGAGACACAGACATATTTTAACAGTATAAATACTGGGAACTATATTCTCTGAAGGCGAAGCACTGCTACTTGGGCGGAGTAATAACCGCAGCACCTGAGACGCGCCGTGGTGAGGAGCAGAGAGTTCGTTCAGAGTTTGGGTATGGTGCGTCTCAGGTGCTGCGGTTATCACTCCGCCCAAGTAGCAGTGCTTCGCCTTCAGAGAATATAGTTCCCAGTATTTATACTGTTAAAATATGTCTGTGTCTCATGTGACGTAGTTTTTTGTACACTCTGTGACTATACAAATCACAACATGTAAATAGGAAAATGTTTGCGTTATTTTGTCACTTATTTGGATTAGTATGCTAGCTGCAACCATTTACATCCAGTCTTTGTGCTAAGCTAGGCTAGCGGTGGGTGCGTCAAACAGACTTATAGCACGCACGGAGATGAAAAAGGTATGTATGGACTTATCTAACTCTGGGGGATAAGGTGAATAGGCTAAAGTCCCAAAAAGTCGGAGTGTTCCTTTAATATGCCTGCAGCGCCCAAAATGTATCTGGCCGCGCAGCTCTCACTATGGAACCGGCAGGAAGCGCGTCTCCCCTTGAGTTCTTAGTCAAGCCTGCCCAATCAAAAAAAAGAAAGGGGCTTCATAATAGCCCATCAGAAAAGAGCACTATTGTATCTGGGTAAGATTTAACGCAACAACCAATGACAAAAAAACATATCCTGGAATTGTTCACGTGATTCTGCTACAACATCTTCTGGAAGTTTCGTTCACCAGGATGAAACCACTGGAGCTTCGAAGCATCACTTTGAGCACAGAGTAAGTCATGATCTCCTGTTTTAATGTTACAACAAATTCACAACTTGTTTGACACAAACAATGACAACTTGACTGCTGTTAGAGAATGATTCCCAAATAATTAGCATCAGTTTTTCATGAGTGTCTGTAACTTAGCCAACAGTTTTACAGCCTGTTCACTGACAACACCTGCTCTGAACAAGTAGTCTCTAGGCCTAGTCATATTTTCGTTATCACACGATGAGTGACATATTATTAATTATAATAATAATAATACATTTTATTTGTATTGCACTTTACATTTTAGCAATCTCAAAGTGCTACAGATCATGTAGTAATATAATTAAAAACTCAAAATCAATAATAAGTTTAAAGGAGTGGTGCAGGGTGGGGGGGTTGGTCCCTATAAAATACATTTATTTAAAAGCTTTTTTAAAAAGATACGTTTTTAGGTTTTGTTTAAAAACATCTGTAGTCTGTGGGGCCCTCAGGTGATCAGGGAGGGCATTCCACAGCCTCGGAGCAGCCGATGAAAAGGCCCTACCACCCATGCTACAGAGTTTGGTTCTGGGGACATAAAGGGTGTTTGTGTTTGCAGACCGGAGAGTGCGTGAGGAGCTCTGGTGTTGGAGGAGTTCCTGTAGGTTAAGGGGGGCATGTCCATGAATGCACTGGTGGGTGAGGAGGGAGACCTTATATTCAATTCTGAGTGGGACAGGGAGCCAGTGAAGAGATTTTAGGATGGGCGTGATGTGATCATGCTTGCGCACCCTCATCAGGATCCTGGCAGCACTGTTCTGGATGTATTGTAGTCTCTGGATGCTTTTGCCAGAGATCCCGATGAGGAGTGCATTACAATAGTCCAGCCTGGAGGACACAAAGGCATGGACGAGCTTCTCTGCTTATCACACAATATTATCACATTATAAACATCTCTCTCTCCAAATAGGCTTAATTATTTTATTAGCACTAAATAAATTAAAGTGTATTGCATGCATAGTCTGTTATAGGTGACTTTTAAAATCATGTCATATTTTATAATTATATCCTGGCTATGGATGCATTAATCATTGCATCTTTCTTTCAAAGATGTCAGGTAAAAAGCAATTAAGCATTCTCTCATTCTCCCTGAGAGTAAAGCCCCCTAAAAAGGCCAGGTTAGAGGAAGCTGGCCCAGAGAAGGTGGCAAAAAGGGGTAGGCCCATTAGATAAAGGAGTCCAAAAAGGCAACAAACACTTACAAAAAAAAACAACACCAGTCATAATCTCTCTCTCTCACACACATACACACACACGGAAATTGAATAAATACGTTGTATTTGGTTGAATTGTCAGTGACGTGTCAAATTTTTGGGGGGGATGTCACTCTTGCCTGTCTTCAAAACTTGAGAGCCCTGCATACGTCATTTTACTTTTTCTTGTGTTTATGGGAACCATATTCCAAGCAACAGAACCTCAATAAAGTACAGTTTTTTTCATGAAAGTTGTGTGTGGACAAGCTAAAAAGAGTTGAGCCTTACTCACTTGACGCGTTCCATAGTCATGTCTAAAACCCACAAGTTTTTCAGAGAAGAAACTGGGTGTATGATACTTGATTACCGTGTAAAAATATACCAGCAGTCGTAAATGTAGTTTATCCTTCACTAATTGCCATGATAATTTTCTATGCATATCAATAACATTGGCCTGAAATGGATAATGAAGCACTAACCTAGCTGCTCTGTTCTGAGCCACCTGAAGTTTGTTTTAAGTTTTTCTCAGATGCACTTGACCATATCATTGGGCAGTACTCAAGATGTGATAAAACTAACGATTGCACCACATCTTTTAAAACTAAAGATGGAAGAAACACCGAACATTTCCTGGCCACAGCTATACCTTTTCCCATATTGCTTACTATATAATCTATTATGTTCAGAGTGACCAACACTAACACTGCTTCAGACTAACACTGCTATAAACTTCTGTGCATTTTCAGATCTGTTCTGTTGTTTCTTTTGTTCAGGTTGGGTACAGAGAAGACGCTGTCCCTCACACACTCAGGAGAGCTTGAGGTTCTTCTGTCTTGTTTGTGAAGAGCTCACCTGTAAAGACTGTCAGCTGATCACTCATAGAGGCCACAGGTATAATTCAAATCAACCCTCTCAGATCAGTGCATGTGAAGATTAAAAGATCACTATATGGATGTTTTTAGCATTTTTAAGTAATTAAACCCTATTATTTATTTATATATATATATTTTTTTTTCTTTATTCCTGTTCCATGTTTTTACATGTCTATATGTCAGTTTTGTGCAGCAGGAGGAAGCTGTGGGATCTCAGAGACAGCTACTGCAGAGTTTGTTGGACTCCATCAGACATCAGAAAGTGACAGTCAGCAGCAGCCTGTTACTCCTAGAGGCGAGGTAAGTGAATAGGACCATGCGAGCTGACATCTTATAACGGAAAAACGTTATGCTTTTTATCGAAATCTGTCAACAGTACCCCAGTTGAAGGAACAATCTGTCATTAACAAACTGGACTTACTTTGTCTTATTCAATTGTCACATCTTGTCTCAACCATATTTCTTAAAGGGATTGCTCACCCAAAAATGATAAAGGCGTACAGTTTTTAAATGACATACTGACAGAGTTTTCATTTTAGGATGAACTATCACATTAAAGGCTGGAGTACACTACATGCATTACACAGGCATTACACACTTGCAGACTTTGTAAATGGTTATATAAAAAGCTGGGCATCTTACACTTTACAACTAAAAGCCAATTCACACTGCACCGACCGACGCAGAACAACGCGCACAATCGCCAGATTACAGTATGTCCCTTCTTAGACATTTCACATCCCGACAAACGCTGATTCAACATGTTCGGCGAAAACAATCAATGGAAACGGACACCAACGGGGTAACCCACTGATCCATCAAAACCCACCGAGTGTGTCTGTCGGTATCTGTTCCCGAACACAACAAACCCTTGCAGAAACATGCTCCTCATTGCTTGGAGATGCATGACAAATTAAAACAACATGCATTCTAAAACCGGCTCAAAATATAAAATTTTTGATATCCACCAACTGGATTGATTCAGAGTCTGAAGCAAAAAAAAAGTCTGTGCCTGCCTATCATAAACTAAAGGCTTTTTTTTGTGAAAACTCTGACTGGCCAAAATCTGCAGACTGGCTCTGACTTTCGGCAACTAGTGTCGACTCCTCCAGAGTGTAAATCGGTGCAATAATTTTGGCAAATGTTGTATAGTGTATTCCAACCTTAAGGTCCGTGCATCAAACCATCTTCTATAACAAATATACTATAGTGACTTCTTATCTCCAAAGATAAGTCCAATAAAGTAAATTTATAATGCGTCAAAATTATTTTCTTTACATTAACTTTAATTTTCTTAAAATCTTTAATTTGAACTTCCTTAAAAGTAAAAAAAGACTCCGCTTACACCTGGTATCAGTATCCATTTTCAGAAACCTGATCAGAAATTGACAATACTAAATACAGATTTAAACAGACCCTGCCCATTAAAATGCAATAAAAAGTGGTCACAGGAGACGCATTTGAGTTGTTAGTACGGTGCCAGATGTAAATGGTGATCTGTCTAGCCTGACATTGTTTAACTGGTACTCTTGAGATACCAGGTGTAAACGGGGCCTTTTATTCAAAAGGACAGTGGTAAGGAGAAACAGAAAAAAGAGAGTGTGAGCACCAGGAGAGGTGTTAAAGGCACATCAAAGCGGACCCAACAGTGAATGGAATAAATCACTTTACATCCTTGTAACGTATAGTCACTAGAAACATTACTGAAATGGTAGTATTCTACAAAAACTATAGTATAACACATCAAAGCTGTTTTTGAGAAACATGTATGGTGGAAATTCACTTGTAATATACAGTCAGGCCTATGGAAGTAAAATAATGACAAATGTTTTTGAAACAAAAAGCCTAATTGTACTACTTGAAAAAAATATGCATTGCATTAACCCTGCTTGTATTTTAATGCATTGTATTTTTAGGGCTTGCATTTTTATGGGCTGAAAATTAGCATGGTTGAATATTTAGGCTGTGAATATTTCAATTCAAAACATTTCAAACACATTTTCATTAGTAAAATTTCAATAATCCATTTTCACCTTTCATATTTCACTTACAAAATATTCAAACTGATTAAAAATACAACCTATAATATTCAACAGGCGGGTTTCGGTCCATTTTATTTCGCTTTCAAATTCACAAATTCAGTGGTTCAAATTCGACAGTAAATTCGACGTTGACATCCAGGAGCTGCAGGAAAAGTAGTAGATTACCGAGCATAATCTCCATCTGCTGTTAGTCGACCTCACCAGCAGGAGGCGCAAGCGCGTGTTGTTGACGAAGACCAGAGCAACAGTTAGAGCAAGCCATTCATTCATTAAAAGTCATTTACAACAATGTAAGTGTATTTGTGATTATTATGACGTCTGTTTTATGTGAAATTCAGTGTCTTCACGATTACTTTTCCTGTGTAGCCTACATACATCTTTCTCTACCGTGAACGAGATTATAATGTTATTCCCCCGATGCGGATGTACAGATCCAATGTTACATTTTAGTTTGACATATATTTCTATTGGTTGTTTAGTTGCGGCGATGTGTTGCATATGCATTACTAGGGTTTCCCTCAATACTGTACGTCAGGATTCCCCTGCTCGACATATAAAACGCTTAACGTGGACTAATTTCTGCAAGCCTGCGAGTTTGGTCTTTTATATCACTGTATAATACAGTGATATAAAAGACCAAACTCGCAGGCTTGCAGAAGGATTCAGAATATGAATTTAACGTGCAAAGTTTAATGCTGAGCGTTTCTCAGTGATACTGGCATAATGTTGGCTTGACATTGGACATTCGCACATTTAGGGACCGCCTCTAAAGTTACATACGACATAGGTATACACGTTTCTAACTTCAATAGCATTTGAAGAGAACGACTTACAGTCATAAAACCAACTGTAAAGTGTTCATGTAACGTTAGGTGTCAGGCATAATGCGCAATTTATTTAAATAGATTGAAGTTTGCTATTGAAGTTAGAAACGTTTAGGCCTATAGGACTACCAATGTTACTTTAGAGATGGTCCCTAAATGTACGAATGTCAAGCCAATTTTACATTTAGTCATTTAGCAGACGCTTTTATCCAAAGCGATTTACAGTTAAACTAACAATATAGAACAACAATATGAAAGTGCTATGACCCTTCCCAGTTTAATCTAATGCAGTACATGTATGTAGGCATACTTCCCCAATAAGGTGCGAGTTTGGTCTTCTATATCACTGTAGTCCATTAAGCTACGTTAAGCGTTTTGTCCTGACGGAAGGGGAATCTTTGAGTAGGATGAGGTATTGAGGGAAACCGATTATAATCCCGTTCATGGTAGAAAAAGCTGATAACATGTAAGGCTACACAGGGAAAGTAACAATGAAGTTAATGAATGAAACATAAAAACAGATTTTGTACCTTTATAATCTTTTCCACATATACTGACCCAGATAATCGTCACAAAAAAACGTAATGCATGCTCAATTGTTGTACAGTTTTTATCTTATGAATGAATGGCTTGCTCTAACTCTTCAACAACACGCGCTTGCGCCTCCTGCTGGTGAGGTCGACTAACAGCAGATGGAGATTATGCTCGGTAATCTACTACTTTTCCTGCAGCTCCTGGATGTCAACGTTGAATTTACTGTCGAATTTGAACCACTGAATTTGTGGAAGCGAATTTGAAAAGCGAAATAAAATGAACTGAAAACCGCCTGTTGAATATTATAGGTTGCATTTTTAATCAGTTTGAATATTTTGTAAGTGAAATATGAAAGGTGAATATGGATTATTGAAATTTTACTAATGAAAATGTGTTTGAAATGTTTTGAATTGAAATATTCACAGCCTAAATATTCAACCATGCTAAATTTCAGCCAATAAAAATGCAAGCCCTAAAAATACAATGCATTAAAATACAAGCAGGGTTAATGCAATGCATATTTTTTTTCAAGTAGTACAATTCAACAGGCTTTTTGTTTCAAAAACATTTGTCATTATTTTACTTCCATACAGGCCACTCAGTGGTAAAAAGCAAGTAAAGTTTATTTACCTCTGATTGCAAGATTCTAAAGTTGAATGGGTATCACATGCATGTATATGTTAAAACAATCAGAAATCAAGGAACTTTATGTGATTATGATTGGTGAATTAATATATTTTCCACAAATCTATAAAGTAAAGAAAAACCTCTGCTTTGCCAAGGTCAAAGAGCCATAACTGGCTAATCCAGAGAGAAAACACAGAACTAATATCTCCTCTAAAGGAATTCAAGCCTTGAAGAGTGGGTAAAGAAACACACAGTGCAATATTAAAAGAGTATGGATGTGAAAGAGGATGACACAACACTCTTTTTCGACTTTGTAAGCTCCCTGACTACTGCAGGACAACAGCAGTTAGTTTGTAGCACATGTGCTCACATCCAAAGTTGTATTATAATGGGTCTGCTTTACAGACATTTCCTGTTTTATTATCTTCTTGTCTGTGTATAATTGAGAATATTTTATTCTTTATTAGATTACAGGACATTGAGGATCTAAAAGTTGCTGCAAAGAAGATGTTGAGACAGGTGGTCCACTCTCTTTATCAGGCTCTGGTACTGAAAGCTACGCAGGTCTTAAAGGAGATAGAGGTAAGAATTTATTGCGCAATTTGCTAAAACATGCTGTTCATGATTTAAATTTTTCCCTAAAAAGGTAAATGATGAATATTTGGCATACTTCACTTATTTCAAAATGTCTTTTCTATATCAACTACTACAGCATGTAGCTTTAGTACTTATAATAACTGGCCAGATTATGAATTTGTTTAGAATCAATCAGTTTGTTAATTTCATCAAAGCCCATTCATCAAACAAAAAATGCACACTCATTTATATTTTGCAGAATATATGAAAATAACATGAACTACATGGTTTTCTCCGATTTGATTGGTTACACTAGGCAGATATTTTCCCATTGTTATGCATTTCCAAAAGACTAGTGTTACGACCCCCTGGCTCAAGGAGTAGCAACATGAAGGGAGAGGCCATACAACATAATCAAATTTGCACAAATGTGTATTTAATCAAGAAAACAAACATAACTACATTAAAGTATAACATAAAATATAAAGATACAAAAACAACAACATCAAGCCTTGGACTGGAGAGGGTGAGAAAGTCAGCATGACAACCAAACAGCAAGACCAAGCTCCTAGCAGCCAACAGCTATTCTCCAGCTTCTTATGAGCAGCATGGTTAATCACCGTCAATTCTCCACACCTGTTTCACAGCAATTAACCTGAGGACACAAATAGTGTTACCCAGAGACACCTACTGGACAAAATAAAATACTACACCCCATGATCCATCATACTACATTAATTAATCGAGACAGATTTAGTTATAGCATTCATTTGTTCCTTCTATGGCTGTTTTTAGATGCACTTTTAACCTTCCTAGAACTTGCACAGTACATTTCAGCATTTCACATTTCAATGTAAGCATGTAACTGGTAAAGCTCCAGTCCGTAACTTTTTTGGGTTAATTAATTATCCAAAATAAATTTTTGAGCATGTACATAACCAGCCAGTGTTCAAAACTATCTTCTTGCCGTAGCTCGATTCAAAACGGTAAGCTTGTAATAATGTTTTTAATTCCAGTGGTACTGGTGGTTTCCGCGGGAAATTCGAGCATGTCTTTGCGTCATTACGTCACATCTGTACACATAAAGAAGGAGTCTCGGCTAGTAGGCTATATTTGTGAGGATGTTGGAGGTGGAGATTTATAGCCTTTTCTCACAGCACTTGATATAATTAAACAGCGGATCCAGAAAGGTTCAAACGACAATCACCAGTGACAACTGGAGATTCACCCGTTGTAAAATGCAAAAGACTGAGAGTTTGGAAAAAGAGGCTGCAACCGGCCCATGCGAAAACAAGGATAATTAAAGCTGCAAGCAGCATCTATCGGGGTTCAAGCATTTAAGGCCTTTAAGCACAAAAGCATCAAAAGACATTAAGTTTTATTTAGTAAGACCATTTACAGCCAATACAGGCAATTTATCATAGGAAATATATGGTTTTCAAAGCTTTTTAACAGTTATAGCGCCACCTATGGTCCGATCTCCATGAAACTTTGCATGCTTCTTCAGCATGTTATGACACATATGCTCATCAATTTTTGTGAAGTTCTGAGTTTTTCTTTAGGATTTCCTTTAGGATTTATAGGCTTTTGAGTGTATTTTGTCACGCCCTTTTCTAAATGACCCTGTTACAGCCACCCAAATGCAAAGGTTCAACTTTTTTCCGATAATTATTGATCTAGAGAGTCCAGAGAATTGCCCTAGACTGGTCTGGTTCCGATCGGGCGAAAAAACAGGGACTCGTTTGCAAAAGTAGGTTTTGGACAAAATTCGACATAGTAGAAAATTTTTGCTGCCTAAATCGAAATTGGAGATATACATTTTGCCCGTCTTGAGCCAAGGATCACAGTGGTGTAAAAACCTTGAGTCTAGGAGTTTTGACGATCTAGGAGTTATGAGTAATTTAGTACTTTTGGTTGCTGTAGCGCCACCTATGGGCCAATCGGGGTCATACTCTGATAGGTTCTCCCCAAATTGAGGCCCTACCACCTGGCCAGGTTTCAAGTCTCTAGCACTTACTGTTTGGTCTGCACGATCAGTTTTACAAATCCTTACAATTACAATAGGGTTTCAGCACTTTGTGCTTGAACCCCTAAATATCTGAAGGGCTTTAAATGTAGTCACGCAATGCTGATGTTGTTAACATTAACAATTTGAGAACAAAGTATAATTTGCACGGTTTGACATGATATGATAAACGATCGTTAGATTTAATCACCGTGATTTACTGCAATGCTTTTTTTCATTTAACGTTAGTTGGTCAGAACAAAAGTGGATGTTTCTTACTTGTTCAGATTACATTTTCCGGTGAAAATTCTTATGTTGGTCATATTTCCAAAAAGTAGAATCTGTGATTCTGAATGCCAGTATCCACACCGGTGCGGGGACTGACAGCTGCACATTCTCCTCAAAACATTGGATTCATCCGCGCTGTGCCATGCCGAGGTACAACTCACGTAAAGTTGATAATTCTGCGAATGACTGCTATTGCAGATTTCGAACAGAGGTGGCGACAAAGAGGAAAAACTGCGGACTGCAGCTTTAAGAATATAAAATGGGAATTAAACAAAACTAATAAATGAATCATAATTTCCATCTTCCTTAAAAGCACTTTCACTATACTTTCAATCAAAGAATTTCCATCACATCATAAACACTAATCGTCTTTTTCATCATTTCACTCTTTCTGTCTAAAAGATTCTGAAATACAATAAAGGCTGTATATTGGTATTAAAATAGTACCTGATATTTATGTATTTTTGAAAGAGCACATTTATCTGAGAAAGCCAAGAAAAGTTCTTACTCTTCCTGAGAAACACCCACATACCTTATTATTAACAGAAAGCACTCAGCAAAAAGAACCGGACTTTCCCAACAGAACAATGTCCCTTTTCCTTTGTGCGACTTGCGTCTTATCAGCCCCCAATCCTGTTCAGGAACCTCAAATCTGTAACCCTTACTACTTTGTGCATGTTTGATTTTAAGGCCCTGTATGCAGAGGAGGGGAAATGTTTATTGGAGCGGAAGACATCTCTGAACAGGCTGGAATGCTGTCAGGACTACATAGTAGCTTTTATTGACAAGATCCTAAGCACAGAGGGCCATTGCTTCCTAGTACACAAAAAAAGAGTAAGCCTTTTTGTTTCATGCTTATTCCTTAAATATCGTAAGATATCTAAAACTTCAAACTGATTATGTTCAAGACTTTCCACCTTAGATTTATTTATATTGTTTAGGATACTTAGCTCCATGTTTTTAGGTGAGGAACTTACATTTGTATATTCATCTGATTTATGTGACCACTTTATGACCATGTGTCATACTTGTGACCAAAACTGGCTCGCATTCAGATCCTGAGTGCAGATCCCCTTGCTATATTTTGTGTGTCTCTAACTCAGATTGAGACCCAGGTGAAAAAGCTTCTGTCCCAGGAGACATGCACCCCTGAGACCATGATTAAACTGCATGTTCAGCTTCAAAATGATATCTGTCAGCACCTCATCAAACTTGGTACATAAAACCTTCCACTTTTTTACTAATTAAAAGTATTTACATTTTTATAAAAAATCTATTAATTTAACATCTTTTCCTTTTTTCTACCCAGGATTTATGAAGATTAGAAAGATTCCTGTTCCTTTTACCTCTCTGAGAACTGGTTCTACTCAGTCAAAGTCTGTGGAAAGCTTAAATCCCAATCCTGTAGTAACTGCCACGGATGTTCATCCTATACAGGCCTCATCAAATGTTGATGCACGGGTTCAGGGTGAATGTGTTGCTAACGGTCCTGCACTGCGTTCCTGTGCTTCCTCGCAGACTGTACAAATGAACCAGGCTCTTATGAGTTTGCCTCATCCATCTCAGCCCAGCCAGCCATCTCAGTCTAACCAGGCCACAACTGCATGTAATAATGTTGCCTCATCCCAACTAAATCAATCTAAACTTCCCTCTTCAGAACTTCAGAGATCATTTTCTTCCTCACCACAGTCTGTCCAAGTCCTGTCCCAGGATCTCAATCCTGGGCAATCCATGCATGATTACAGTCCCTCATCACACTGTGTCCAATATTTTCTTCCGTCTGCTCACAAAAATCAAACAAATCCTCATCCATCTTCTAATTTTCAGCCTCGTCTTCCTCTCTCAAACTACTCCGCGTCTCAAATAAACAATATTTCCAATTTAGCCAAGAATAGGAAGACCTCGACCTTACACTATTACCCTTCCATCGCCCACCCAATGCCAGTTAACAACCAAACACCAGCATTAACTCATCCAATTCCACTCAACATCCAAACACCCGTACCAACTCATCCAACACCAGTCAACATCCAAAATCCCATCCTAACTCATCCAATACCAACCAACAACCAAACAACCCTACTAACTCATCCAATGCCAACCAACAGCCAAACACCGGTACGAACTCATCCAATACCAGCCAACAGCCAAACACCTGTACAAACTCATCCAATACCAGCCAACAGCCAAACACCGGTACGAACTCATTCAATACCAGCCAACAGCCAGACACCGGTACGAACTCATCCAATACCAGCCATCAACCAAACACCCATACTAACCCAACCAATACCAGCTAACAACCAAACACCCATACTAACCCATCCAATACTAGTCAACAACCAAACACCCGTACTAACCCACCCAGTTTCAAACATGCCAACTGACACCCAAACACTTATTCTGACCTATCCAATACAAGCCAGTTTCCTGGGACCCGTGCATTCTTTTGCAGTACAACCAAATATTCCTTTAGCTGTTCTTTCTACCATAAACGCTCATTCTTTAAATGATGTTACTGCAATCTCTAATGTCCACTCTGCTGAACCCTCCAATTGTGGGATAAATCATTGTTCCCATAACCCTTGTGCACAGAATACCACCAGTCCAACCTTTAAAGCCATCCAAAGCACAACTAGTTTGTCTTCACTTCCTGTAAACCCAATAAGTTCTCCTCCCATTAGTGGCAACGACACCTCCTGGTGTAAGAGAGACACCTACAATTATGCTAACCTCCCAGTCAAGGCTTTGGCTGACTCCGTCTGTGATCAGGACGCAGGTGTGAGCAGCACGAATTTCACTTATACTGATCATTCGGAGAGCAACTTGCCCACTTCCACTGTGTCAGAGACAGATCCCAAAGAATCTTCACCAGATCCTACCCATTCCTCTGGCCCACCCAAACCTCACCAGGACTCTCTCTCCACCAGCACAGGGAAATATTCAAGACAGGCTCAAGCCGGTCAGTCATCCACAGAGAGCAACTTTAGACTAAAACACTGGAGCGTTGGCATCCCAACAACTTTTCGTCAGCTTGTAGAAACATGCACACCTGTCAGCTCAATGGACAATCAGAACACCACACCTCCAGCGAATTCAACTCCATGTGGCACATCAGTGGACCTTGCATTGGAGGTTGGTAAATGTTTGTTTTTTTTACAAACAAGAGTATTGAATGTTAGAGATCTGACGTTTCCTTTTCATACCAGAGGGTGACATGTGACAAGACTGTCCAAAGGGATTTTGACCACACAAAGGAAAAAGAGGAAGAAAAACAATCTGCAGGTGATTTTATTTAGCTTTTGTTTGCAAAAGTACAGTGATTGTTTGGTTTCCTCACTCATTTGTATTATTATTATTATTTTTTTTGTCTTTTAGTGCTGTTGGAACAATTCAAGAAACAATTCAAGAGGTGAACTATAAATCCATATGCCATTGGTCCATATAGTATAAACCTGCTACAAAGTGGGATCTAAAGTGTTTATTTGCATCCTGTCTGCATCGCAGGAGTTATTAACCTCATTTAGGTTACATTTATTAATATGCCAAAACGTTTATTCTGCAAGAGACACAGTAAACATTATTTTGGTTGTAATAACTGTTAATAATATTATTAATAGTATTTATACTACTGATCAAATGTTTGGGATCTGCAAGATTTCTTTTTTATTTATTTGATTAAATATGTGAAATATTATTATAATTTAAATTAACGGTTTCTGTTTTTTATTCTGTAATTTGTTCCTGTAATGGCAAAGCTGAATTTTTAGTAGCCATTACTCCCATCTTTAGTGTCACATGATCTTTGAGAAATCATGTTGCTAATTAAAAAATAAAAAATAAATTTGGAAACAAATACTAAATTTGGAATGGAAACAATAACTAAAATAATGGAAACAATAACTAAATTTATTTAAATAAAAAGTTTTTAAAAAAGAACAGCATTTATTTGTAATATATATATATATATATATATATATTTGTAACATTTTAAATGTCTTTACTTTTTTTTTAAATGTAATGTGTCCTTGCTGAATGAATTTTAATTTCTTTAAAAAAAAATTCTTACTGAGCTGAAACATTGGTAGTGTATACATTTATTTCTTTGACCGGTCACTGTAATAGGTTTCCACGCGTATCTCTGGTGCGCCTGCCCATTTCTCTGCTTCCATGTGAGCAGCCACTCCCAGAGTTCCACCTTACTACAGATATCTCTAGAGACCACATCATAGTGCAGCAATCCCAGGGAGGACAGGTAAGGACTCTGTAAAGCTGGAAAAACGTGTGACTGATGTTAGCCTACAGACATGATAGTTCCAGTCCACCGCTATTCTCAATTGTGCCCTGTTCTTCCCCAGATTAAGCAGGTGTGGAGATGGCATGAAGATCCAATACCATCTAGAGCCTCTTCCTGCTCTATATTGCAAAGCAGCAACAGCTCCCCGGCCTCTGACGTACAATTCTGTGCAGTGTGTCAGTCTGCAGGAGCTGCTCTTCTGTGTGTGAAATGTGGATGTGCTTTTCACTCTGATTGTCACATCCCACCAATCCTCACAAAATCTTGGTGAGACCAGGAACTAACAGGAATTGTATAAAACTGAATTGAATTACAATTCTTGAGTAGCTATGAGTTATAAGACTTTGCAGTTTGATAAGCGTGTGCATTTAAGAACAATAACAGTGTTTTCTCTGTCCATTATTTGAGTCTTGGTGTATATCTTCTCTCTTGCAGTGAGGATTGGGTGTGTTTGCTGTGTGAGGATGTCAATGAGACCGTGTATGGCAGTGAGGAGATGAGAACGTCCAGTCTGAGTCTACAAGATCAAAGAGTGAGACACCACCAGTCTGAAAGGATCTACACTCATAGTTACACTTGAAATACTTTTAAGGATATTTAGGAGAGGATTTTTGTTTAGCATAGTGTCATGCCACAACTCCCATCTCTTGTCCTGCAGTGATATAAAGTCACACTGATGTAATGTCATCCATTCTGTTCAGAAGTGTGAGAAGCTTCTCCTTAGTCTCCTGTGTGATGAGAATAGATGCCTGCTCTACAGCGCCACCAAGGTAAATACATGGTGCATGTAATATTTAGCAGTTAATTAAATTAACAGTATTTACTGTTAATTTACTCGCCCTCAGGCCATCCAAGATGCAAGTGTCTTTTTTTTTTCTTCAGTAGAAATATAAAGAAGATTTTTAGCTGAAACTGATCCTTGGTGATTCACATAATGCAAGCCAATGACTACAGTACAGTCACTTACAGGCAAAACAAAATTAATTCCCTTGGCTCCTGGCGATACATTGAGGTCTTATGAAGCGAAATGATCAGTCTGTGCAAGAAACTGAGCATTATTTACAGCATTATTGCCTGTAATCCACAGCCTCGACAAACGGTCCTGAGCGTGTTCATGGCAGTCTGGAGCGCGAGCTTCCTGTCGCACATTTAGCTTCATAAATGTGTCGTTCTCAATGTGTCGTCAGGAGCCACGGTATTAATTTTGTTTTGCCTGTCTTTTTTTTTTTACTCTCAAAGGATGGTATCCATTGACTTGCACTACATGAATCACCAAGGATCATGGTTTCAGCTAACAGATATTAATAGACTTACTGACCTTGACACACAGTCATATCAGTCTTCATTTCCTTATTTTTCCTGCATGTTTCAGCATTTGTCACACCACATGATTTTGATTGCACCACATTAAAAAAATTATACATGTATAACAAGTTAAAAATAACAGCATTTAATCTAAATAGTAATTTATATTTTTAGAAAACATTTTTCACTTTTTATCAATTTAACACATCCTTGTTGAATTAAAGCATTCATTTCTTCCAAAAAAAGAAAGAATAAATTACTGACCAGTAGTGTATATTGTTACAAAAAATTTCTATTTTAAATAAATGCTGTTCTTTTTAAACTTTTTATTCATCAAAGAATCCTGAAAAAAGTATCACAGGTAAAACAAAAATATTAAGCAGCACAATTGTTTTCAACATTGATAATAAATCAGCACATTAGAATGATTTCTGAAGGATCATGTGACACTGAAGACTGGAGTAATTGCTGATGACAATTCAGCTTTGCATCATAGAAATAAATAATTTTTTAAAGTATATTCAAATAGAAAACCATTATTTTAAATTGTAATAATATTTCACAATATTGCTGGGTTTTTTTTACCGGTTATGCATGTATGTATGTGTGTGTGTGTGTGTGTGTGTATATATATATATATACATACATGTATGTATATATACTCTGTATATATTATACTGCTTATTTTTTCTAATACATAATAATCAAATATTTAGCCAAACTACATATTATGGGTTTCTTTGAAATTATGTAATTAATATTTATTTAATATGTATATATTCTTTCTTCATGCTCATCATAGTAAAGGTGTAATACAAAGTCATTGTATGTACGAATTGTATTTGGATGTGTTTTTGAATAAATTAATAGATCCGGGCAAAAAATGGTCTTATGAGCTGTGCTTTGTTTTTAAAGAATCACTCAAAAACCGCAGAATTCAATATAATACTCGGCCGAATCCTGGGGACAAGGAAGCCGCCTTATCGGACTGCTGCTGAACTGGTGTCAGATGTTTGGACTCTTTTTGACATCTTGATGATGAACTCAGAGGTAAACCGCTGCCATTCAACTTATCACAAACTGGCAAGCTTCTTCTTTGTAGTTCAAAACTTTAGCTGAAATACTACAGATGTATACCTTTTAATTATTGAATTGATTGTTATAAAATAGTGATGTGCTATTTTGGTTATTTATACAGAGGAAAAACATGATTGTCAAACTTCAAGAATCTTTCCAGCAACAGCTGAATGAAACTTTTGGAAAGAGCCTTCATGCTTCTCTCCTGAAATACTCCAGCAGTGAGGATCCAAGCAGTGAGGATCCAAGAAGTACTTCAGAGACAGAGACTCAAAGAGAGAAGCACAGAAACACTTTGAAACGCATGCGAGAGTTTTTCATCGAAAACTGTGGTACAACAGCAAAGAAATCCTGCACTGATAAAGGCATGGAGAGAGATGGCTGTGGGAACACTACAGCTGGTGAACATTGAAGTGTCTACGGCATTGCTTTTGAAACCACACATTTATATAACTCTCTATTTATTGTAGTACTGTAGTTTGTTTATTTACCTTTGCCTTGAAGTAAAAATTTTATTAAACAGATTTTTTATTTAATTTAAGGTCACATTCTTTCACTGCTCATCGGGGTTGCTATTATAAACATTATAGTTCAATGTTGTTGCGCAGCTGTGATGCCAGCAGAGGGCGCGAGGACCCTTTGCTTGGTCGATTGCAGAGACAGGGTCGGCTCTATTTTCAAAAAATTACTAGGATTTTTGAAAAACAGAAATAAAACCCAGGTATAATTAGGAAGCATTCCATTATCACAGATAGACACTCAAAACAACCCTCTATCAAACACTGCAGAACAATTCAACAGCTGCAATAATGTAAAATCATCATGTGAGATCAGAGAACATATTGAATTATCACATTGAAATTGTTGGTTTAATTTAACTCTTTGTTTAGATTATCATATTAATATGCAATATTTTTATAATGGAATTTCATATTTTAAGATTGAAAGTGTAGATCTGGGACATCACATGAGTAAGCAAAAGTTTAAAATTTTGTTCAAAATAAATAAAATACATTTTTACCTTCATATAACAAAAGTCTAAAACTGTCACATTTAATATAAAAAAAAAGTCTGTGATATAGTAAACAATTTTATCCTAAAGGGTTTGTCGAAAAGGATTTAAAATCTTGTGTTTTGCTCTGTGCGAGTGCGAACAAAACAATCAGATGGCTCTCTTTAGGGAAATGTTCGAGGGCAGTATTTGAGTTGGGTGAAAGAGTAAACACTTGTTGTAAATATCTAATTGTCCTGGCGCTACTTGGTATGACAATCTTTGGAGGTTTGCTAATGCGAACAGATGCACTGTTCTCGGATTGGTTTAAAATCGACTCAACTTCCATAAGCCCCACCCATTGTTTTATGTATGTATGTAGAAGTTGAAGTGGCTTGCTTGCAAAGCTCACACTCAACACTCAAGACGTTCATTGGTGAAATGGTTGTTCTGGTCAAACCGAGTCCTCAGTTGGGTAACATTAGTAAAGCGATGGATGGAAATCACCACAAAGTAGAGGCGAATGTTCTGCTCCTTGGAGCAGAAAATGTTGGGAAGTCAGGTGAGCACAAAATTGAACTTGGCTGTTTGCAGACATACATTTCTGTCATGTTTATATGGTCTGGTCTGTTTTGTTAAGCCTACGAATAATCATTTATTACAACTACTCGTTTGCAGCCCTCACAGTGCGATTTCTCACCAGAAGATTCATCGGAGAATATGGCGATATTGGTACGTCAAATAAGATTTATTATAATGCCATTGATAATGAACAAATAAACTATGTTGTTTATAAAATAGCAGTCTTTAATTTCACTATGCTCTCTTTCAGAATCAATATACAATCATATTGACAAAACAGATGGGCGAGAAATATCCTTAAATATTTGGGACTCTCTGTATCCACAGGTAACGGTTATGATGTATATTTTGTTTGAGATTTTTGCTTTTGAATCCATATAAAATGCATTGTTGGGAATACATAAAGGGGTCAAATAGTGCGTTTTTAATATATTATCAAAGGATAAGTCAACAATAAAATTTAAATCCTTATCTCACTATAGTTTGTCAAAAATATGGCAAAACATTTTATTCTGTGGATAAGATAAAAAAAAAAAAAAGATAGCCCAAATTTAATTTGAGATTTTAAGAATAATAGGTCTTATTTAGTTTCTATATCTTATATTTCTATAGTTTCTAAGTATGTTTTTCATATACATATATTGTGACTGTCAATTTCATAGTCTGTGTTTGGAAAGAAATTAGTGTTTGTAAAATGGTAAGTTTATCTACTTAGTTTACTTTTGTGGTGGGCTCTTTATTATCATAATTATCATATTCAAAATATAATATCATAAATATGAAAATCTGAAATTATTCATACTGTACAAGTAAAGTTTATGACTAAATGAATATTTCTCATTAACTTTTTAAGGTGCTTAAATGCTTGAAATTCATTTGATCAACTATTCAAATTGTACCTGTGAATTGGAGAATGATGGAAAAGTATAATAATCAATGGATTTTTTTTTACTGTATATGTATGTGGGAAGTAGACATGATTATAAATTTTTATCATATTTAATTGTGCTGTAAAAAAAAAAAAAAAAAAATCCCTGATGAAAGACCTTAAATCCAATTCAGGGCATTTTGACAACTTTTATGCATTCATGGAGGTTTTTGGGATCATGTTTTCTAGGTGAGGTTAAGTGATTTAATCTTTGAATTCTGTCTCCTCCAGAGCTGCGAAACAACTGAATCCATCAGTGACAAGCAGCTTCACTGGGCAGACGGCGTGATCCTGGTCTACAGCATCTGTGACCGCTCCAGCTTTGAGGTGGTCCGGCAACAGGTGCAGCTCATCCGCCAGACTAGGAAGCTGTCCGCATCTGCACCGATCATCATTGTAGGGAACAAGCGAGACCTGCTGCACCAGAGAGCCGTGTCGAGCGAGGAGGGCAGACTGTTCGCCCTCTCCGCAGACTGTGGCTTCTTCGAGATCTCGGCAGCTGAAACCTACCACGGCGTGCTTCTGGTCTTTCATGAAATACTGGATCTCATCAAGGAGTCCAGAGCACTGAAAAAGGGGATGGCCGGAATCAAGGGCATAGTCAGAAGTGTGTCCGCAGTGTTTGGAAAGAAATGGGAGTAAAGAACTGAGTTGGGGATGTGAAAGATGAGCATGTTGAAGATATGAAGCCCCTGGCAGCCTAGCGTCTAAACAGCTAAGAAGACCCTCGGCCAATGGGTTTTTGGAATCGAAGGGGGCCACTTTCGCCTTATTAACCTAGGCTACATGGATGGTGGAAAGATAAAGAATGAGATGATAGCATGTTAAAAGTTTAGAGCCCAGCTTTATGGTGAAGAAAGGTAGATTAAGTTTGTTGCAGCAAGATGATAAAAGAAGTTCTGATGAAAAGTGATCCTGGGCTTTGAATTAAGTTGGTCACAGCAGGGTATTGATTTGAACCCGAGAGACAGTCCGGATCGATTGTAGTCCTTGTCAGTTCTCAAAGAATGATCCTTCAGCTCTGAAAAGATGATGTAGATGAATTCAGGTGATCTTCTGCTCTGGATCTTAGATGCCTGAAATATAGAGTTGGACTTTATCCTCTCTGTATTTTCCTCTTCTGAATCTCCGCTGACATTTAGATGTGAATGATTAAATGTGGTAATTTTGAGGAGGCTATGTAAAATGTGTATATACATAGACATTTTATTTAAAATTGTAATTACATAAATTGTAATTTTCAGAACATTGTTTTCTGTGTACTTTCTTTGAGGTTGGTGGTACTATAAATGTTATTCGATGTAAGGCACGTTCACACCAAGGATAATAGTTGTAACTATGAAGTTTTAATAATCATTCTAATTCCATGAGAATAGCAAAGTCTAAAACGCAATTATAACGAAAACCACATGAACGATATAGTCGGAATCATTTTCGGAATGTTTTTTTTCTTGCTGATAAACGCTTAAAATATGGACAGCCAATCAGAATCCATCCGAAGAGCTTGAGCATTTAAAGTGGCAGAACTTTACCATGCCTTGGTGTGTACGCCAATATAGTTATTATTATTTTTCATGTTGTGAACGAGCTAAGAACTGAAGAGTGAGATATGAAGAGTGTCTGTTCATGCACTGTAAACAATGTTGCTGTAATTAGTTATAGCAACTTAAAACTTGTTGAGAACTTAAATATTCGACTAAAGTTAACTAAACTTTAGTAACACGAACACGTAATTTAAGTTGAAACGACACATTATTAAATGTTAAGTTGTGATAAATAATCACAGCAATCATTTTTACAGTGTGTTATTGCCCTGTATTTACTTGAATCTTTCATTTTTGTATAAAAAGTATATGCTGGTTTCAGTTAAAGACCTTTTTGAGATGTTTATATTGCTTGTATTTCAATGTTCGATTTCAATAAAGGAAAAACATTTACCTTTGTTGCACAATTAGCCTTTCATTCTCTGCTCAAATAGTACTCAAAACATCAATAACATTTTATAAAATGTTTTATTACATTTAGAGTCATTATTACATTTGTTACAGGAAAAAAGCACTAAAGGCTGTTAGGATTTTAGCTATAAACGTCCACTTAGTTATTTAACACCATTCCATGCCTGTCTATGTATAACACAGTTCACTTTATGTTTCTACCTTTGTAACAACACATCCTTAATGTTAAAACATAAAACAACCCATGACGAATCAAAGCAACATTAACCATGTAATTTTATCCTCTCCTCTCAATTGAACATGCATGACCTTGGGCTTTGAGTCAAATACATTTTCAAATAGTTAATTTCCAACTGACTAGAATCCTTGTGCCATCCTGTTTCACTCCATTCATCTAACTATCAGTCATTTCACTAAGACAGTCTATAGATTAAACATTGCTTATAGTGTATAAGAACTAAAAAAGGAATCTAAGGAATAAAAGTACATTTATCTAGTCTAAACAAAATGTTGTGTTACATGCTAACAATTATAATATATAGAAAAATGATCATTTCAACTAATCTGTTGAGTTGTTTCTTTGTCTTAACTACTATAATCAGGCCTTCAAAGCTACAAAGCACCACGTATCCAAATGCAAACGGCACTGCAGAGAGCAAATCCATACGGTTTTGATTACATTCTAATACGCATAGCTAAAACAATGCTTTATTTAGCTTTTAAACCGTCTGCACATACTGAATGCTGGGCTAATGATTTTATTTAAAAGTTAGCTTGTAACTGCACAAGATTTGTTTTTGCATAGGCCTACTAGAGACGTCACTGTATGGATTGTTGTTTGAAGGTATGTTTACTGTACTATCCGTAACAGCCTGTGAGCTGCAGCAATCTGTGTTTGAATGATCTGTGATTGCGAAAAGTGGAGCCTAATGTTCTGTGGTTTCCACCACAGGTATGACCTGATCTTCAGATGAAGGGTCAGAGCTCAGAAACTCAAACGCTCGTTGGCTCTGTGATACTAACTGCATAATGGGACCCAGCAGGACCTCGGTGGCAGAGGAACGGCGGCGGATCATATCGGTAGTGGGCACAGCCAGTGTGTCAAGTTCTGGAGGGCCCGAGGGCTGGGAATCTAGCTTCAAACTGCCTTTTCTGCCATTTGCTGGGACTGGGGTAGGAGTCGGAGAGGGAGCTGGGCTTGTTGGAAGCCCGCTGGTGGACCCACAACGGGAACGGGCATAAAGGCTTCTGCGGCGACGTGGACGACCGTCCATGGCTTTGAGGAAGAGGCTGTTTGCAAAGGCACGGCTGGAGGGACTCTCAGGAAGTTCATCTGGAGTTGGGTTGTTTTCTGCATCGAGATCAGAAACCTGTTTCATCTGAGAGAAAAGAGAGGGCAGAGTCGGAAGCTAAGACTCTGATACTTTTGATTCTTTTCAAATCTTTATTCAACAATTTAATTCAGCCAAGGCTTATTGGAAAAAGGCACTTTTAGTGCCTCTCACTGAAAATAACATCCCACCTCTAAACCCTAATTTAAACCATGACCGATAGTGTTAACAAAAGTGCATTTGCTGAACAACCATGCCGTTTAACGTTTTGAGCTGCTTTATCGTGACTCGTTTCACAGACCAAACGAGTGACATAGGAACTGCTCAAAAATAAGTCTTTATTATTCGATAATTGCCCCTGCAATCATAATTTGTGTAAATAGGAATAAAAGTAGTTGGTGTTTTACTGCCACTAGTGGTCATTTAATGTATGTACATTTTTTGGAGAATAATTTAGTAGGTAGAAGCACGTTTTAGATATTAACATTATTAATTATCATTCAATGAATAAGAGATTATTCTAATGCCTACATAGCCTCACATATATTTTTGTGAAATACTTGATTTAAAAAAAAACTGTTTATGCTGTCTTTGTTTAAAATTAAAATGCCATTTTGCTAACCTTAGAAGATACAAGGGTTTATAGACCACAAAATCCAGATATTACCAATTTGGTCTGAGCATCAAGCCCATTTAAATTAACTCTGCAAATGAATAGAAGTGATTTTAGACCATAACAGTTCTTATATGTGATTGAAGTTTAATTAAGCTGTATAATGGCCTGAAAACATTATGTACCTGATTTTCAATTGGATACTGTGCTAAAAAAAAAACATTTGAAAAGAAGCACAGTAACATAAGAGAGAAAATAAACCAGGCCATGGACTGTTTCATGGGCCAGCACGGACTATAAAACACAGATTTACTCATTTAGTTTTTATGGGAACATAGAGTGACATATCTTGCTTGGTTCATCCTATCAGTAGTACCCTAGTGAAATAAAACCTATACCAAAATGTATTTAAAATACCTGTATTTCGTACTATGCTACAAATCCATTAATATGTTTATTGACATATCGCTTGAGACTTACTGTATAAATATTATAATTAATTTTTATTTTGAGTACTTCTTTATTGCACAATGCACATTTCTTAATATTAAGCTTAAAATGTGTTTAATATCACTATTAGTAATGATAATATGATCACTGTGTAAGATCAATGTAAGATATTTAAAGTATACCTAAAGTATACTTGCAATAGTTCCACTTTAGCACAATCAAATATACTTTGATTGTGTATAGTATATCAAGTATATCTTTAGTTGACCTATTTCCTAGCACTATTTCCAGATAACTAAAGTGCATTTAGTACAAAATTAGTTCTTCCAAGTATATCAGTTTAGTATACTAAAAGTGAAATTGCAGGGTATTTATAAGTACATAAATATGTATCTGTAGTATACTTAACATAAAATAAACGTATTTCAGATACATTTTGGTATATTTATTTTTCACTAGGGTAAACAGATGTGTTTGGCCAAGAAAAATAATAAGAATTTGATCTTCAGACTGATTATTCTGCCTTTGAATTAGCTTCATAACTTGATTCTAGAGTGTTCTTTATCACTCGAACATCTTCTTGTATGTTTTATTAACAGAATTTGTCCATTAGAACTGGTTCCAGAATGTTGCATTTGTGTGTGTGTGTGTGTGTGTGTGTGTGTTCTCACCAGGTCATAGAGCGGGGTGGTGTTGATGAGCAGCTGTATGAGAATCTGACCCAGTTCCAGTAGGTCGTTCATGATAGTGCGTACCTGAGTAGGTAAAGCCAGTATCTGTTGTACAGGGGGCAAAACCTTCAGTGCCTGTATACCTGATGTGAGCTGAGCTACAAGCAGAGAACGCAGCTCCTCCCCACGATGCACCTGAGACGCGTAAAAAGACAGAAGCAGCTGCAGCAGGGACTCCAACATCTGCATCAACTGCGTTAGACCCACCTGAGCATGACAAATTACAGACAATACCTAATTAGGAAACCAGTGACAATGATAGACCTGAAACTGACACCATTAGGCATTAAAAAGCAAATGTGGCAGAACAACTGGCCACATGGGCTGAGGAATACGCAGAACTTTAATTCAGTCACGTTTTTATTGCTGAACCTAGTGGCCTGGAAACGGGGCCTAATAGTTTGATCAAGTGGCAGTAATGACTCTATTCACAGACCAACATAATGCCTGCAGGAACGTGAATGGGCTTTTGCAAGATACACTCCCTGCTCTGTGCAAATAAATCAACAAACAACAGAAACTGCAATTGCAATTGCTGTGAAAACTGGTATTGTCAGTCACAGTTGGGGTTAATTAAACTTTATCAGACTAACAAAAGAAACAGTCCAACATTCTTTTAGACCAGTTATCCTAAATAATTTCATTTCATCATGTCCTATTTTTAAATGTCCTTTTTTGCTTTTTATTCTTCTTGTCTCGTTTCATTTGACCTTGTTTAACTGTTCCCATGGTCACTCAATCATATATCCACTACAGTTTAGTGCTTTAGTATAGAATTGCTGTTTAGTTTGTGAACAAATCAGTGTTTTGAACAAATCTTTTAAGTGAATGAATCTTTTGAGGGCAGATCAATATTTGTTGGGCAGAAAGAATTATGAATGTGTAAAAATAATTGATGAATATATACCTAAATTGAAAAAAAAAAAACCTCTTTCTGTAATCTAGTAGAATTGTAGACATGCTAATCTTAATAAGGATGATACGACTCAGATTAATCAGTTAAGTAAATGATTCAGTGACCCACTTGTTGCTACCTACTGGTGTAACAAAGTAATTTGCAGAAAGGGTCACTTAATGAACCAATGAACAAATCTTTTGACGAATGGATTCAAAAGATTTGAATTACTAATATTAAAACCACTAGAATATCATTTAGTTTGTTCGGCAGCGTTTGTGTAAAAAACTTGGTAAAAACAAAATACATTTGAACCAGTTGTGACAAATAAACAAATTACGTTTTGAATAACAGAGATTTTGAACAGGGAAATCGTACTGAAGTCTAGTTTATTAACACAGACCACCATGCCACAAGCAGCCAAACTCTCACGTGGAGCTTCATCTGAGGCCAGCCAACGTGAGCGTGAGTACACAGTGCAAAAGAACAGGCCCAGCAGACACAGTCACAAACAGTACTGATTTGGCAGCAGGAGCCTCCAACTATTGGTGGTTAATTTAGGTGAAGGATAAAGTGGGTCAGCCAAATTAAAAGGTCCTCTCTGTGTTCTCAATTCCCATTGTCTTTGGGCCACCACCTCATCGCCGGTCCACTGCACAGCCCGTGACCAACACGTGAATTACTGTAGGAGATTATGCTGCCAAGTCTCACTGTTGCATGTGTCTCTGACAGCTCAGCATCACTACCGGTAGAACACAGACTGTCACTCACATTTCTGCAGCCCAGGCTCTCTGGGGCGTCTTTTAGAGTTTGTTAATGAAGACTCTTTTGAACACGGTGCACTGGAGCTTTCGTGCTCTCAGGTCCAATTACCCTCCACCCTACTGCTGGGAAAGCACAGAAGGACCCTGTGCAGACAATACTCCACCTTGGCCCTTTGATCCTCAGCACACAAACTCGTCAACTCATACAAAACATGTCTGAGATAGGCCATGTGTCTCTAACAGGTCAGTTGAGGTAGGGTGTATCTGGTGTCTCTATCGACATGAGAACAAATACAATTTTGCAGAGCTGTGGTGCACTCTATGCTTCAGAAATGGCACTTGTTAGATTCTTTTGATTAAAGATACAGGAAAAAAGTGTAATATTGTGAAATATTATTACAATTTTAAATAACTGTTTTATATTTTAATGTAATTCATTCCTGTGATGGCAAAGCTGAATATTCAGCAGCCATTATTGTAATCCAGTGTCACGTGATCCTTCAGAAATTATTCTAATATGCTGGTTTTCTGCTCAATAAATATTTCTTATTCTTATTAATGTTGAAAACAGTGGTGGTGCCTAATATTTTTTGTGGCAACTGTGGATAAATTCAGAATTCTTTGATGAATAGAAAGTTTAAAAATATAGCATTTATTTGAAATGAAAATTTTACAATGTAAAATTCTTTTCTGTCACTTTCGACCAATTGAATGCATTTAAAACTAGACGTATATTTGTTCCCTAATGCAATCTCCAAATCTCCTCATGGGTTAGTGGGTGTTCAAGTCATATGCAGTGACTGCCAAACGGCACGTAGCATTAGGTCCCACTGGGTTTTCAGCTCAATCATGACCATCCTCTCTCTAAACAAGCACTACCATCAAAAGCACTGCTGCTTGACTTCTTGATTTCAGCCTTGATTTGTAGGGAACAAAAAACGGCCTTCCTTTTACGCAAACAGACACGTTCCATCATTTATTTTTATAGGCATTACGACTCACTAAAAGACTCACTAATATGCTGGACTATAAAATGATGAAGTCTGATGATAAAGACTCTATCTAGCCTAAACACTAACTTTAATATGAAGAAGTGTACAAATGAGTGACTATGACAAAATCTGAGGTAATAAATCTACTCCACTACTAAGTGACTAGAAGCATAAATGTAAAATAATACATTGTAATAAATTCTATGTAATCAATTTGGTACAGTGTTGTACAGTGTAAAAAAGCTCATTTATAATGTTTCAGCTCATGTTGTAATACAGCTTCTCTCGCCTTCCCCATGTCCTTTCCAGCTTGCATGTGTCTCAGGGGTCATAATTTAGAACAAGTAATTGCTGTGATTTTATATGCGAGTGAGGGCGAGTCTGCAGACTAGACAGGAAGCCCCGAGGGTGGCAGGGCAGCGTGAATGACTGCAGCATGGTGAAGCGGCACGTAGCGTGTCTATTTTAACTTCATACTCAAAGAAGAGGGGATAGGCTATAGTTTGAGGACATTTTGATGAGGCACTCCCTGTCGATATCATCCTGTCAGTGTGTATTGTTGAGTCTCTCACCAAGGAATGTCTGCATCTATAGCCTACTTATTTTGTGAGTTACTCTTAGTCGTGACTCACATCTTGGGTCTCTTTCAGTCTTATTTTAGTATCATTGAGGTGCTATTATAGTTTTTTATTAATAATTTGAATTAGTTTTTATTTTCTGTTTTCATTTTAATTTTAGCATTTAAAAAAAGTCTAAATTTCTATTTTCTATAAATCTATTCATTAATTTTTATTTCAGTTTAGTTTTAGTTATTTCAGTACATCAAGTTAAACTAAATGTTTTCTTGGCAACTGGCTGAAATAAAATACATTTCTGTACATTTTATTTTGTTTCAGTTAATGTTTATTTTATTTCAAGAAATGAAAATGGTTTTATGGTTTTAGTTTTAGTTAACTATAATAAACCTGGTCTCTTTGAAGGGCCAAAGTCTTTTTTATTCTTCTGTGTTGGATAGCCAACTGAAAACATTTAGATTAAAGTACGAATATTGTTAAATTGGAATATGAAAACAACGAGCTTGGTTCCCCATTATCAGTGTGACATCTTTCAGAAACTGATACCTACATGAATGTTGTTCGGAGCCACTGAGAAGCAGTTAGTTTGGCGAGAGAGTATTTGTCCCATTCTCAAGAGTCACTGAACAGAACTTTTAGTTAAGATAAGGTCAAAGATTTAGTGATGAATTATTTCTGTACATGGGCCTACCGTTTCAGCAGCTGCCCCCAGCATCTGCAAAACACTGTCCACTCTTTCTCTCAGCTTCATCAGTCTGTGGTACAGCTGAAGGTACAGGCACAACAACAGGCTACGGATCCGCGTCCACATCCGAGGCTCTTCTTCTTCATCATCATCATCCTCATCTTCATAGCTTTGCACTCTTCTCTCCCACTCACGACCTGCAAGATGAGACAAAGTGCTTGTGATTTTAATACAACCACCGATATTCAGATTTCAACTAAAAGAGGCTCTGCTTAGTCTAAAACTGAACACTGAGCTTAATTTTAAAAAAGCTGATTTGATGAAATATTATGTATATTCTCTGTATCCCTCTGAAAGTGAGATGGTGCTAAAGCAGGGGTTTTCAAATTGTGGTCCAGGGAAATCAAATTGTGTGCCTCAATGGGGATAAAAGATCAGGGATTTTTTTTATATTTTATTTTTTTTATATAATAATAGATATAAATAAACAATAGAAATAAGTTACAAAATTTAACATTATTGCAGTTTTATTCTGATTTCTAACGACTGGTCTTAAATGATGAGATTAATGGCTCTTTAGTTGTGCTAAAGTACTTGCAAAACAGAAGACCAGTTGCGCCCCCTTGTGGTTACGTTTTGTGTACGCGTGAAATAAATGGTAAACCTTCTCTAAAATGTTATTTCATGATTATTTCCAGAGCCGGACAGTAACGGAGTACATTTACTTGAGTACAGTACTTAAGTACAATTTTGAAGGATCTGTACTTTACTTGAGTATCATTTTTGGGGAGTACTCATGACTTTACTCAAGTACATTTGAGAGGCAAATATTGTACTCTTTACTCCAATACATTTCTATCCATAAACGTGAGTACCCGAGTAAAAAAAAAAAAAAAATCTCGGAAACCCTCAATTTGTTGTTTCCCTCTCAAACGTGATTGGATTGTGCAGGCGCCACTGATTGGGACAGCCTATCAGCAATCACCTTCAGCTTTCCACCAAAGTCAACTCCATGGTCAGATTTTATATTACACATTAATGTAAGCCAAGCATTTGGTTTGATGTTCTTGAGTATGTGGTGTGTTTAACACAGTCAGGTTCAAATGTGGCAGTGGCGTACCCACGAGGGATTTCTGATTTCTTAAAAAAAAAACTTCAGGAGGCAAAATATTTTACTGATTGTGTGAATTACACTGCACAAACCAAAAATAGGCTACTACCCAGCGAATGAAGAAGGGTTGGCGCTCAGTCTCCACAGTACATAAAATATTAATTTTGTTTTATTTTATTTTTCGGGTTTGCATTTATGAGGAAAAAACTATGTTATGGACGTGTTCTCCGTTACGGACGTGAGCGTTCTGAAAGCGGCATAAAAAATGCTTTAAAACTTTCACAGAGACATCAAACAGAAAACACAAAACCTTTCTTTAACCTGAATTTCGTTTTGCATTAATTGTATCTTAATTTTAATCAATGTTTCATCAACCAATTGCCTGGGTTTAATAAATAAGAAGTAAATAGCAGACGATAGATAAGAAATGGAGGCGCCGGCACGTGAACTGGATCTCGTCTCATAAATGAACCGAAACTCCGTGTATAAGGTAGCCTACTTGCCTCTCACAGACATGTCTACTTTTAAACAGAAAAATTCAAAACGAAAGAAAACAGACTACAGACTGTTCTCTGCTTATGTAATCCGTATGAAATGTGCATTTCTCTCTGGCGCGTCCACTACTGAAGATCGCGAGTCAGCATCGTCAACTTCATCTAGCCGACACTGACAAAGAAAACACTTGTTTATTAACAAGTGTTTATTAATAAACAATTAAAATATCTCCTTGCTATATTTTACATATTCATAATCATTCCTTTTGCCGGTTCTTTGTGACAGCTTTTAGGTGCTTTATTGGCAGCGCCACCCTTACATGTGGTGTGTGTGTGTGTGTGTGTTGTCCCCGCATTTAAAGATGGGACCCCCCAAAATTTTAATTAAATTAAATAAAGCAACATGGTAGATGAAAATGACTTGATTTTACTTTCAATTCCTTTTACATTCTCCAAGGTATTAACATTAACATTTTTCATAACTCCATGTAGGACGTTTCTGTGCATAAATGTAAGCACTGTGGCAGTAGATTAGTAATGCAATATTTAGAAAATTTACTCTTGTACTCTTGATACTCAAGTACTTTTAAAAACAAGTACTTTAGTACTTTTACTTAAGTAGACATCTGAATGTAGTACTTTTACTTGTACTTGAGTAAAATTTAGCAAGGGGTATCTGTACTTTTACTCAAGTAACAAAGCTCTGTACTCTGTCCGCCTCTGATTATTTCAGATAAAAATGTGTCTCCCGTCTCAGTTCAGATGACTCCGTGTCACACTTTCTTACGCAGCGTGGGTGGCAGAGGTAGATAGTACGCCACTGCCGCCTCTGACTGAGTGATGAGCTCATCCAGGCCAGCGGTGATCACGCGCCCTGGTGCTGAATCCTGAGCTTCCGCCAGGAGGCGCCAGCTGAGCTCTATCACTTCATCCCACCTGTTCACGGCCCTGTCCAGCTCATCGTTTACTCGAGACTGTGCACCATCCAGCCTCGAGAAGAAAGCATCCTTTAGATTAGCAACCACCTAAGAGGAGAGAAGACAGGCAGGAGAGCACCAAGAGAGTAATGGGGTAGAAAAAACATCGAGATAACAGGTTCGGTTAGATAAACTTATCTAACCGAACCTGTTATCTCGATGTTTTTTCTACCCCGTAAGTTAACAACACACAGAAGTCAAACAAAGACACATTAAAACAGAAATAGCCACAAATACATACCTAAAGTTACTTTTGTCCTACTTTATCTTAGTAAGTTAGGTAAGAAGTTAATATATATACAGTATATATATATAATATACTACATTTAAACCGTTTTCTTTTAACATAGTATGCCGTTTCAAATGGTATTTCAGTATCGTCGTTAACCTAAAAAAAAGTGCGCGAAAAGTCATCTGAACTAGTAGCTGCTAGCTAACCATAACAGCAGAACATTGACGAAACAAGTACGATAGGCCTACTGTCATTATTTATCTATTTTGGTTTACGGGTCAAATATATTACAAAAAAGGTTTATTTTTTATTTTTTAAATCTTTTTGACTTTTGACCCCTTAAAAAAAAACAAAGGTGCTGTCATGTGATGTGTTATAATACCACGTGACAGTGTCAAACCAAGTTCTGCATATTGTAACACTTTCTTTCAATATCAGTACAGTAGACATATTCTGATAGCTCATAATCGATTATTATAACCTTCTGTTCAAGACCTTTAATCACTTTATTTGAACGTGTGCTCGATATGTCTAATTCAGCAAGCCCAGATGTTTTGTAGAACAAACAAAAAAAGCACTAATCTGTAGTAAAACATAAACCATCAGCATCAGCCCTTAAAAACTACTCATGCACACAAACAAATAATAATTGATTAGCGAAGGCTACTAATAAGTACTTACTCTCTTAAAAGGTTAGTTAAGCCAAAAATGAAAATTCTGTCATTAATTACTCGCCATCCAAACCTGTAAGATCAAACTTACCATATTACTAAAGGACATGTTAAGCAATAAAATAATTTTAAAGTATTTACTTTTGTTTATGTGCAAAAATGTAATAATAATTTCTTATTTTAATTAAGTTAAAAAACTACAAATTATTAAAATAATGTAATAATTCTAATAATTCTAATTTAAATAATTTAAAACTCAATGAATTTTGTTATTTAAAATAAATTGGTTGGCTTTTACCAAACGGTCAAGATATGGTAACTGCCACACGGTTCTTGCACTCTCAAGCACTCACCTCATCTGTGGGCTGTTGGAGGATAGGGAAAAACTTCTCAAGTTGCTCCAAACCCACCAGTGCAAAACTGTTCACCGCCTCAACTGCAAAGGCCCACATACAATTAATTCACTTTATTATTCTTAAAGACTTGCATGTTAAATTATGTTTTAGCAGTATATCTGTTTCTTTTGTCCAATTATGTCTTTACTATGAGCATTTTGATTTCCATAAAAAAAAAGTATGCCATTTCAGTGTAGAGATACCATATATAAACATGTGGGACTCACTTTCTGGTTCTAGGTTCAGTAGCAGAGGTGCTGCTTGTTGCAGAGCTGCTGTGGATGCACTGCGGACACCCAGCTCTGCTACTCCTCCCACAAACCCGAGCAGCGGATAACGACCTTTCACGCCCATGTAGATGGAAAAGGCCTGCTGCAGCGCTGAGCTGATGAGAGGCAGTTTTGCCACACGCTTCAGCACATTCCCCTGCAGAGGCAAGTCAGTGTCTTATTGAACATGGTAGTGATGAATTACTAATTACTAACGTCACCCGAATCTGCTGCTAAAAATAAATCATCCACCCGCACCTGTGATTTTCACTGTTTTAGATATCCACACCCAACCAGCACCCAATCGACACATTACAATTATTCAAATACTCAGTGTTAAGAGTGATGATATGGTAATATCATGATATTAATGGATATTATCATATTATGGTAATGTCATCATATCATATTAACATCATATTACACTGAAGTAGGCTGCTTTTAAATTAATATGTATTTTAAGTAAAAGTTGTTTCTTTTGCAAAATTGCATTTCCGTAATAGCTGTCCTAAACATAGGCTTTACTCACTTCAAACTTAAATTTATTTAATGTCCCTGTTACCGTCACTGCAACTTCCCAATTCCACACACAAGAAAGAAATTAAAAACATTCAGCCCAAATAAAGGCTGGATATAGGCTTTATTAGTTTGTCATATACACCGCTTCACAGCCCGTTGCATATAACATACTTAACACTTGATTCGTCCTGTTTAAAGCTGCAGTCCGTAGCTTTTCCTCTTTGTCGCCATCTCTCTGTTCGAAATCTGTAACTGCAGTGATTCGCGGAATTATCATCTTTACGTGGGTTGTAAATCGGCATGAAACAGCGCGGATGAACACAGTGTTTTGAGGCGAGTGCTGCTGTCAGTCACCGCGCTGTGTGGATACTGTCATACAGAATCACAGATTCACTTTTTGAAAGTTTGACCAACATAAGAATTTTCATAAGAAAATGTCTTCTGAACAAGTAAGTAACATCGATTTTTGTTCTGACCAACTAGGGGGGAAAAAGCATTCGACATGATAAGCTTCGTTAAATTTAATCTTCGTTAAATTTACAGCAACCGTGCAAATTATAGCCTACTTTGTTCTCAAATTGTTCATGTTAACAACATCAGCATTGCGTGACTAATGTTAAATTTAATGTGTTTTATGATTACCTGTGTAGTTCAGAATTCATATTCTCCATAATAGCAAAACGAGAAAGGCACAACAAAGGAAACTCCATAACTGTGTGAATTAAGAAAACGTACTGTTACACGATTGAACTATTGAAATGTCTTACTTGTTCAGCAGAAAAAAGCTCTTCTTCCGTTTTGAACCCCTTCAAAACACGGAGTTCACGCACTTTTCAAAAGCCCCGCCGATGTTTAAATCCTTGTGTTCGCATGAGACGGTTTCTTTCTCTTTCTCTAGCCACCTTAAATCCGAAGTACGAAGTCTTTTGGGTTTTATAACTGCTGAATCTCCAGTTGACACTGATGATTGTTGTTTGGATCTTTCTGGATGCCATAAGTTTAATTATGTAAAGTGCTGCGAGAAAAGCCTATCTCTATATCTCGTCACGCGCAGTATAGCCGGCTAGCCGAAACTCCTTCTTTATGTGTACAGATGTGACGTAATGACGCAAAGACATGCTCGAATTTCCCGCGGAAACCCACCAGTACCACTGGAATTAAAATCATTATTACAAGCTAACCGCTTTGAATCTAGCTATGGCAAGCAGATAGTTTTGACCACTGGCAGAATACGTTTTTTTTAATATAATTATTTTGGATTATTTTTAACTTAAAAAAGTTACGGACTGGAGCTTTAACTATTTAAGTAAAACGCTATTTAATGCATCACTAGTAGTGTAGAGTGACAATGCAAGAAAGCTCACCTCACTGTTTCTTGTTCTGGACATGTCTGCTTTGCACTGTTGAGGCAGAGCAGAGAACATACAACATTCAATTGTCTTATTAGAGTTTCTATTCATTTAATTTCTTCATTTTTACTTCTGTTTTGGGGAAGAGTAGAGTAGATGGGTGAATATAGATTCAAATATCAGCGTATTAATACCAAACAGTAGGCACATTCTTCTGACATCTGACAACATCATTCAATTTCAACTACGTCAATACTGATCTGTATTTATTCATTTGACCTGCCCATGCCAAGTCAGATGATGTCACATGACAATACTAGCCTATGTTTGACACAACCTCGCTGCGGAAATTTTATTAAGCTTTCTAACCACACAGGTCAAAAATGACGTAGCATTCAAACAGTGAAACAGTGTCATGCAACGTCAGTAATTATTGTGGTTAAATAATGGCCAAAAAACCTTCCCGCAGTGAATAATGTTGTGAGATGAAACAGTTTAGAAGGTTGGTTTAGAAGCTGTCATTTGATCACCGGTGCCCCTAAAATGTCATTCCTGACCTCCGACCAAAACCAATGGAATCATCCAAAAACAGGCTTTTTAAAAATGTTTTTGAAGTCTCTCGAACATATCTTTAGATCAAATGAAATCCACATATCAAAGGGTTTTTCAGAATGTTATCTCATGGAATAAAATCCAACTGTGTCAAATCTGATCAAAGCATTCGCACAGGCCCGTTTATAATCAGATTCACTTACTGCACAGAGGGGCCACTCTTACAGATCCCAGTGGAATCAGCACTGCTGCTGCTGCTGCAAAAAAAAAATTTAATCTGAATTAAAAATTACATTTATGACAATAATCACAACAAAGAACATGCTTATAATCGGCCTTAATAAAATGGGTCTTTTGTGTTGGATTAAATTGTTTAGTGAGTGAAATAGGTTAAAAAATAATTTTAAGATCAAATCCAGACTTGTAAAGCTTGTGTGAATTTGAAACAGACCAGTGATCATTCTGGTAAAGTCTCCAGTGCTCCAGGTCATGTTTGCCTTTCATTATCTAATAAATATGATGCATGGGTAGCTGATCCCTGGTTAGACACCTGTCTTTGCTGACAATTACAGTAAACCAAAATAATCAACTTCTCTCAAATACTTTTTGGATATCAGCAATAGTTATGACAAAATACATTTAAAATGTTCCATAAATTATGTTATAAAAAATAATAAATATATTATTTTGGGCCATTATGGATAGATGATATACAATAGACACGTGTTTATTAAGATTACATTTTAAAATACACAGTACCATCTGCTATATTTAAACTGTTATATTTAAACAAATGAGCCCATTTCTGAGAGTTAGTTGTGTGACTAGAAATTGTGCGTTTCTCACGCTTTTAGTTATTTTCAAGCAGGCAGCAAAAACGGTCAAATCAGAAACAGTTCTTACCTTTAAGATGATTGAGTCCTTTGAGATGGTAAAATGTAGAAATAAAAAAATATCTTTTATAGATATTTTTCACAAACCCACTACTTGCCCTTTCTATTAGGTCTCAGTCCTTGTCTGCAGTGTCTGAAATCAGGGTTTTGTTGGATGGTTTTGTCATTTTTCATGGTTGGTGCATGTGATGCCCCTCATTTAGGGTGCGGCCAGTCCACGCATGTCAAGATGTTTCTATGGTGTTGTTTGCCAGTTTATTGGTTTACCTAACAGTGACAAAGACATTCTTGTGTCACAGAGTGTGTTTCTCTGACATTCCTCACATCTGCTCTTTGATTTACTCACATTAATGCAGATGAAAAATAGTCTAGGACTTGTGTGGGGTATCATGTTTATACCAGAATTAACTTTGTTCCCTAAAACATGTGGAAGGACAAAGTATATCAGTTCGAATCATTATTGTAATCAACAGACAAGTAGAGTTGTATAAATGTATTAAATTAGGTTTCCTAAACTAGGTTGTGATGTATGAATATGTCTGCTGTGTACATAGAGTCTAGTCAGATATGTCTAGTCAGTTATGATTTTAATGTCACAGTCCAAAAGTTTAATGGGTGTTCAGCCCCCTTTATATCAGCATTCCTGTTCTGATTCAGAAATTGAATGACGAGGAATGGACTATACCAGAAGCTTGAGGTTTCTTCTGAGAAAATCAATCTTTCATTGGAGATGAGGTACATTAAGGTCATCTCACATTGCCATGTCATAATTGAAATCCTTCACAAAGGCTCTCTTTGGAGAGTAATGTATTCTAATATCCGTTTGTCTCAATTCCCAACTAAAAAAGTTACTCAGTAAACTGGACCTTTTAATAAGTGTAAACAATCGTTTGACAATTTCAGCCTGGGAATTTCTCCGACTTTCCATGAAGGTTTTGTAGCAAAAGAAGACACTATTATTTCATTTCCAAGGGGAAATAAACGTTTATTTAATTTCATTTTAATTGACGTCACTGCTCACGCCGCAGATATTTGCTTTGGTTTAGCTTTAATGCCATTCATTTTCTTTAAGATTCTTTAAAAGTAAAATCTGTATGAGTGTCCTTCTGTTGAACTAAAAAGAAGATATTTTGAAGAATGTTGATAACCAGACAATTGATGGGCCCCATTGACTTCCATAGTATTTTTTTTTTCCTACTATGGAAGTCAATGGGGCCCATCAACTGTTTGGTCGTCAACATTCTTCAAAATATCTTCTTTTTAGTTCAACGGAAGAAATAAACTCTTACAGGTTTGGAACAACTTGAGGGTGATGACAGAATTTTCATTTTTGAGTGAACTATCCCTTTAATATTGACATATTTTGATTTTCAAAAGGTCCTTGTTTAATTTTAAATCACCCATCTCAACCAAATATAGTGAAAAGAGTGAAAATATATTAGAGAGAGATATTCACTTGTGTATCACGTTTATTTTGCACATTCAGTGGGTGTTAAGAACACTAACATACAGGTGGGTGTGTAACATTAGCAGAGATCTCACAGCATTTTGTAGTACATTATACGTCAAATATTCACAAGATATATTTTTTTTAGTTTGCACTAATACAACATTTTTCACAGTTTCCTGCCAATTTATTTTTGAACACCAAAGCGATTGTTTAGGTCACAAATGACTTTGTCCTTTTGTTTTTTCCCCCTTCTTTTTTAAAAATTATTTTATTTAATGTTGTTTCTCACATGGGTTGATTCTTTTAATATCTTTCCATTTTGCCATACCAGTGATCTGACACAAAGAAGTGTCTTCTACATGAAATACATTACTGGGTGGATAGAGTGCACTTTTATACAGGGAGTGTGAATTTAGCATGTTAGAAGCTTGAATGGAAAGAAGCATTTTTTCCTTCTAGAATTACAGTTTAGAATCTAACACCTCTATGATAGAGAAACCATGTGCCATACGACCAGCTGACTGCTAGTGGCTAGTTTGTGGGGAATTAAGTGGGAATGTTTGCAATGTATTTTTGAGAAATGACATTGTGTTCTGAACCTCCCAGATCAGTGATGGTCCCTGCTCTGCTGGATCTGTTGAATCCTGGGCAGATTTCCTACTTGGCATGGGGATCAAGAATTTAAAGGATCTGGTTCCTGTTCTGATTGCTGAATGGTCAATTAACAGTTCTTTTTAAGTGTTTTTAAGGAATAAATATTTTAGAAAAAATGCATTGCCAAATTATCAAATAATTTAAGTAATAAATACATTTAAAACAATTCTTGTCATCTTTTTAAGAGGCAGCATAAATGCAGTCCAATAATTGTTCTTAAGTATATATACTAAAAAACAAACTGTTTAACTATTTATTTATTAATATTTATAAAATACTAATGAGAAAACACATAATATGTATTTTAACTACACATTGTCATATGAGCAACCAGTCAGTTACTACTCTGATCAGTATACTGTAGTTGAGTTGTTGGTTTGATACATTAAATAGACCTGACTTATTAGAGTCCTTTTGTTTTTAGAGATTGTACTAAACTGCATTGTACATTTTTTATTCATTAAAAAGAACCGAGTCCGACTCATTAGAGTCGTTCGTTCAGGAATCATACTACACTGGTTGCACTGTATGGTTTCAGTTCACTAAAAATAAATTGATCGTGAGTAATTTGTTCTGTAATTGGACTACACTGGGCTTGCTATCTGTTTAACGCTGTAGATTCAATAGTGTTTTGTGGCACTGCTGAATAAATTGTGCAGGAAACTGAGAAAAAAGGAAACAGTTTTTTAATACAATGTTTTGTCTGCATCAGCGAAAAAATGCATGTGCGAGAATTGTTAATGGAGTCGAACGTCATTTGGTTCCAGTAATTCTCTAATGGAATCATTTCTGATTCTCGATTCCCAACCTTAATTCTGCCTCCATGTGAAACACAGACAGATTTAGACCTCCGGCTTGTTAAATTAACTGTGAGGAGCACCAATCAGAGATAAAAGCCCAGGCTATCAGCAGGCACACATGCAATCCATCTAGATCTTGAGGGTAAGCCCACTCTAAATCAAATAAATGACTATACCAATTCTCATCATAAAAGAGAGATGTGGAAAAGTGGTATAAGACAAAAAGGGGAACTGAGGTGAACGAGGTATGCTAGAAGAATAGACTAAGACGTGTTGTTACTGATAGAATTACATGAATACATTCCCTCTTGACTTTATGAACTACAAATGATATACCGCTACATATCTTTCCATTTCCCAAACATAACACCAGAGGGCTCAGAATGCCCCCTTAATATGCCAAAGCTTTCCAGCTCTGAACTACGAACACACCTCTTTGTCTATCTCTATATCACACAGGATTTAAAATGACAGCGGATCCAATCCACCTTAAAAAAGAGCATCTGATGACATGGGCTAGTAAAGTCTACGAAACAGTGAACCTCTGTTTTATGGTGAATTGAAGCTCTGATGTATGAAATTCATACAGACAGTGACATTCAGAGATTGTTTGTAGCATAGCAGTGCAGATTAAGGTTTTCAGGGCCAGATTTATCCAAAGTGCGTGATGAAATTGTTGCACTAGCAATAAATCAGGCCCAGAGTGCTGCCAAAGGGGTTATTGTTGTACAATCACATGACTCAACTTGTAGCTGTGGAGAATGTGACACAGCAGGAATCTCTCCAGCCAAAGCGGAACAGAACAAATCATACTTTAGCCTAGATCATACAACCTATGCGTCACTTCGGTGCATTGCTCATACAGAGGAGAATTAGTACATATCAGAAGCCACTTATCACAAGCTCCCCTTGATGTAAGTTCCAAAAATCAGATGCCTAAAAAAAAGAGCTTGTTTAATGTGTGTCGGCATCACAAATCCACATAATGTCCCCTTCTGGAGTGAAACATGGAGTGTTAAGACATGCGATAAGTTTCATTATGACAATTACAGAATCCTAAACCTCATAAACTCCTAACAGTCTTTCAATATTTTGGTCTCGTTTATTATTTATCATGTATGTTTATGTTCTGGCCGTGTGTGTGTGTGTGTGTGAGCAACTGAGCGAGAAAGTAAGCGTGTACTTTTTTTTTTTTTTTTTTAAAAGATTCATTTCCGAGGCCCATCATCACATCAGCAATGATGTAAACGTTGGCTTAAGTCTTTTTTTTTAAGTCCTCCTGAAGATCAGTTACCTTCCATGTGACGGTAACAAAGGCATATTTTCCCAAACTCTCTCTGTCTCTTGTTATTAAACGTTTCCTGTGTGCCTGTGTTTGAGTGTGTGCAGGGAGAGAGTGTGGTGAAGCTCTAATATTCATTGAGTGTGTGCCACTTTGAGATTTGGCGCCGTGGGTTTTGGCAGACCTCCTGCCAGTGGGTGGCACCCGAGGGGCAGGGGCTGTTTGCGCCGAGCACCAGCCGTCCCAAGGCCTGGTTTTTAGTAGTGCGGTCGAAGTCCATGACCAGGAACTCGATAGAGATGTCTGGCAGCAACTCAGCCGGTACATCATAGATGAAGGATTCATTAAAGACGGGGTTGAGCGTGCTCTTCTTCACATGCGTTTTCTTTTTGGCGATGCGCTTGTGGCCATAGAACACGTTTAACTTCACATATGGATCTGGGACACAAGATAAGAGGCCATTTGATTAGATAGTTTGTAGAAAAAATACTTACATTTAATATTTAAAAAAATGTCATTTAATTATACACTATCTGTAAAAAGTTTAGGGTCTGTAAGATTACAAAAAATACTTTTATTCGGCAATTTAGCAAAATTGTCAATAAAGCCATTTATAATGTTAGAAAATAATTCTATTTCAATTGAATACTGTTCTTTTGAACTTTCCATTCATCAAAAAATCCTGAAATGTAGTATGGTTTCCACAAAAATATTAAGCTGTACAGCTGTTTTCAACAGCGATAATATAAGAAATGCTTCGTGTGCTCCAAATCAGCATATCAGAAAGGATCATGTGACACTGAAGACTGGAGTGATGATCCTGAAAATTCAGCTTTACCATCACAGGAATAAATTACATTTTAAAATATATTTAAATTGAAAATTGTAATAATATTTCACAATATTGCTGCCTTTTGATCAAATAAATGCAGCCTTGGTGGTCATTTAAGACTTACTGACTGATAAAATCTTACTGACCCCAAAACATTTGAACAGAAATTTACACACACACACACACAAATAAATAAATAAATAAATATATACTTACTTCCAGATTGCCCAGTGATGTCCAGTTTTGGAAGGTGTTTTGCCTTTAACACCACCACGCTGAGTCTGTGAGAAACAGGTTGATAGGACAGAGAGACCAGCAGCTCTCCACGGCTTACACACTGGAGAAATGCAAATACACAGACACAAAGGTCAAATAAATTGCTTCTCTCATGCATGCATACATTCATAATTGCAAGACAACCAGTTTTTTTTAAACTAGGTTTTAATATTGAAATCAGCTGTACATTTAAGAATAAGACCCTGGGTCCTCTATGCACCTCCAAAGCACTGGAAGAACTCCAGCATAAGCAGGTAAGATGATGTCATAGCAGCTCTTTTACGCATGGTGTATTAGCAAAGTAACAGATGAGTTAATGATAAGTACAAAATGACTGGGCTGATAACTCATTAATAACTTGTTTTCTGTTTATCTTGGCAGCTCAACGTCTTGAGTTTCGGTTCTGTGCGGAGGCACGAGGAGGCTTTCATGTATGTGCCAACAGGATTGTCTACGCATCATCTAAACCCACTCAGTGAGCAGGAGGATAAGCACATTTATCAATGACTACAAACTACAGTAGGAGGATGGGAGTGATGATTCAGTGCTGAGCTCATACAAGTATTAGATTTATAAAAAGAACCCAGATGAATTAGTCACACAGTGGGAGCATGAATAAAATGCATAAAATAGTGTAAATTAGTCAGATTAGTTATTGTTATTGATGGGTATAAACTAAATTTACAGCAATGTTCTACTGTGTGGTTGTTTTGATATTAGCTTGAAATATAATATATTATACATAATGTGAAAATATTATACATGTAATGTTACAATATTTCATTTAATAAAAATGTTAAATATTTTCTTTACCTAAATTTCACTTCATGTGGTTCTTTTTTCATGCAGTACAAATTAAATTCAGGAAAAACTGTTGAATTAAATAAAAACTGTTTAATTGAATCTGAAATGGGCTCTAAATAAAAACTTTCCTGTAGCTCAAACAGTAGAGCATGGCACTAGCAATGCCAAGGTCATGGTTTGATTCCCAGGGAAAGTAAAACTGATCAAATGTGTACCGTGAATGCAATGTCAGTCATTTTGGATAAAAACATCTGCAAAATGTAGCCTACCAATATTTCAAAATAATATTAATTTTAATAATACAAACAATTTAACTAAAAAACCTTAAAGGGATACTTCACCTCTGGAAAGATGAATGTGTATTTAAAATGGGTCATTTATGTAGAAGAAATGTGAAATTATTTTTGAATTTGGAGCTTTCTAGACTGAGAAAAGCCAGAAAATGTATTTTTGGCTTATGTGGATGAAAGACAACAACTCCCAGAATGCACTTGCTTCGCTGCCCTAGGAGGCCACGCCTACCGGTAACGGAGCGCAGTAGTTAAACAGCAAGTCTAGGGCAGGCTACTAGTGAGTCTCCGTGATGAGTCTGCCCGTCATTTCAAGATCGCCCAAAATGTCCGGGATTCAGCTTTTGCGTTCTACAGTCGCAATTCATTATGTTTACTGTGGCGAGCAGGACGAGGCCGAGGGCGTGATTACTGATGAGAGACACCTGTGAGACGCACCGGTCTCGTATCTCTCATGGAGGAGCGGGAATTTTCTTAGCAATGTTAAAACGAACATCAACCAATCACTTGTTTAGCGTTCATGTAAACACTACATTCAGATTCACCAATTGGAATGAATTCAGTTAGATTGAAACAAAAGGTGTGCATGTAAACAATGAATGGCGCCTGCAGAAAGCAAAAGCTGGATCCCGGACATTTTGTACGATCTCGACGGCCGGACATGTCCAGGAAAAAGAGGATGGTAACCCCTACTACTCAGCGTTCTCCTACTAAGTTACTCAGCTTTCTCCACAGAACAAGAGCCTGCTAGCTTAGCTTCCAAAAAAAGATGTCTGACACTATGTGTACATTCTGTGAGTGAGATCCCACCCTCTATGGGCGGGTTGAAAACATGCGGAACAGCTCCTTCTATTGGCTGTAGTCTTTAGCCTCTGGCCAAAAAATCCTCCGATGACGCAAAATGACGATTTTTGCGTCATCGGAGGATTTTTTCCAGACAAAAAATACATAAATCTCTCGTCTCAGGGGGATATGAGGGTGGAAAGCACGGTAATTTGAAAATACTACAGGGTTTTCTACTAATACAAAGCTTAATGCTAAATACTGAAGTATCCCTTTAAGAGGAATTAGACTTAAGTCAGCGTAGATACTGTTACTTTTTTTAATTTTAATATTAGCTTGAAATATTATGCTATATTTAGGGTCACTCATGTATGTATATATATATATATATATATATATACAATGACTATTCAATTATTTATATTATGGATTTTCTTTTATAAATATTCATTTTAAATAAAAATATAAACATATGTATTGTTTGTGTTATGCTCGCTCTCACCTGCATACTTCTCTTCGTGATCTGTTGCGTAATATGGACCCGGCCTGTACTCGGGTCCACACCTGCCAGTGGAACCATCGCCTCCCCAATCACATCGTCTCGTGAGAACCGGTCAAAGCTCAGCACCAGGAAGTGCAAAGTGAGATCCGACAGGGAGCTGTACGGCACACCATAAAATGTGAAGGTCTCATCGAAAGCAGGCTCCAGAGTCTTCCTCAGAACACGAGTCTTAACACGATGTTTCTTCTCTGGGAGAATGGTCATCTTTACATAGGGGTCTGCGCTGCCCACCTGGCCTTCCACTGCCGGTAGCCCCCGAGCTTCCAGGATGGTGACCACCAAGGCCTTCTTGGGGAAATTATAGTCGATTGCAATGCTGAGGTCCCCCCTGCTGGGCTCATCGGGAGGGGTGAAGGGTGTAGCCGTGCTGGAAACTGTAGTACTGGAGGTCTGACTGCTGCTTGCAGAGCTACTGTCCAGACAGCAGTAATCCGCACGCACGGGAAGCTCCCTCTCCAAGCTGGGAACCTCGTGGCCACTTTCCCCGAGCCTCATCTGCATTTGTTTTTCTCCCAGCAGGCCGCTTTCTGCTGCCGAATCCATATCTACCAGCACCACTGGGCGGCCCTTGCTGCCTTGAGCCCCATCAGTGGTCTGGGACCTTGCCTGGCGTGCCACCCTAATGATCCTCTTGCTGTTGGTCAGCGTGTCAGGGTAGATGCTCATTCCTTTCAGCATGTGAATAAACTTGTATGGCGGGTCTGTGAGAGGGTCACTGTGTTCCGATTGGATGCCATGGAGCTTGTAGTTCCTCCTGTTGTAATGTTTCTGACACCAAGTCCACACAAAGATTAACGCAAAGACTGCAACAACCAACACACCAGCACCGATAAACCCCGCCAGCACTGGGGACATATCTAAAAGAGAAAAATCAGACGGAAATGTAAACAGACTGAAAAACAACTTGATCACATACATTTTTCTACATTCACCAACAGTCTAAACATACCTGAAGATGTTCACAGGCTTAAATCGTAAAAAAATAAAACAACAGCCTTTCTCGTTCTAGAATCTAGATGGTTAAAGCACAACAGCTCTGAAAATGCAGAGACTGACAAACCCACGGAAGACTTACTCTAATATCTACTTCATGCCTACTCCACCCACATGATACAGAGGAACACCATAATCCCACACAGAGACAAACCACTCTATAACAATCTACTGCATCCGGTCTCACTCTGCAACATAGCTATGAAATATCATGAAATCCTATCATATCATTCTGTCTAGGTGTCTTTACGCTTCTGTTCAGTATAAATGTAATGCCGCATCAGAGCGTTCGTCAGTCACTGCCCTGTAAATGCATTTAATTGTGTGCTATGTTAAAATGTTGTTTAAAAGCACCTCATATGCTGTAAAGTTGGCCTTTAGAATAGGATAGAATAGAATGTCAGTTGATAGAATGTGTATATATACAGTATATATACACACACACACACACACATGTAATTTGAACCGTGGTGTAACATATATTAGCGGAACTCGTTCTGTCTGTTTTACACGTTATTTTCAACAAATAACGTGTAAAGAGCTAGTGAGCTTAGCATTGCTAAGGCTTGTGAGACTTTTTTTAAAGAAATGTATTTTTATCATAACATTTTTATCTGATCAAAAGTCAGTAAAAACTATTTTACAGAAAATTAGCTGTTCTATTTATCTTTCTATTCATAAAAAAAGGATCATGGATTCAACAAAAAATATTAAGAAGCTCAACTGTTTTCAACATTGATAAAAAATCTGAAGGACAGTTTATTTACTAGAGCTTTCTGTCCTTGTGTTGTCAGGACACAGTGACATAAATTAAGATGAAGATTGATGACAGCAGAACAGAAACACTCCCTGTGGGAGAGTGTGTTTGTGTATGTTGCTGATATATGGCGATTGTAAGATGAGCTGCTCAAACATGGTTTGATTAACAATGAATCTTTATGCTGAAATCCACGCTCTATCCACCCCACAATGCCATTTTATAAGGTCACAGTGACCAAACTTATGAGATCAGATGTGAGATCAGCAGATTTACTGGATGCCTTTTTTTATTTTTTGTGATGGAGGAAGACAAAGATTCAGAAGAGAATGTGAAGGCAACAAAAAATCAAATAAGAGAATAGGACAAAAAAAAAATAATAGCATGATGGAGCTACAGCCAAAATTAACAGCACAAGGCAGACAGAAAGAGATATTTGCCAGTGCTCCACCCAGTATGTTTTTCTTTGCTCTATTACTCTCTCACCCAACCTCAGACAAAGACCCTCACCCCACTTGCTAGATGATGCAAGACTTGGGTAGGCTCCAAAAAAACAGCTGCTCCAATTACCTGGAAAAGTCCCATGGGCCATAGATGCGCATGAACCAAAAAAACACGCGCAAACAAAGAGGATAGATAAATGAATGAATTACATATTTATATAGCGCATATCCTACTGTACACCCAAATTGCTTTACAATCAATGACAGGTTTCTCTCCTCAGCCACCACCAGTGTGCAGCATCCACTTGGATGATGCGATGGCGGACACAGTACAACGGCGCCAGGGCGCTCGCCACACACCAGCTATAGGTGGAGAGTGGTAGAGGAGAGAGAGTGATCGAGCCAATTCAGTTGATGGGGCTTTTTTTTAAGACGGCTTGATTGGCAAGGGCCAATAGAGGGAATTTTTACACCCCTACTCTTTACGAGAAGTGCCATGGGATTTTTAATGACCACAGAGAGTCAGGACCTCGGTTTAACGTCTCATCCGAAGGATGAGATACCCACCTCACGCACACGTAAACAGTTTTGTTAGAGTTTTTTAATCAATGCAGTGAGAGTAGCAACGTCTCTGACCTCCAAACCAAGACATCTCTATGATTAAATTTCTTGGTGTATTTCTCTGTATTTCTCAGGAAATAAATCAAAATAACATCCCTTTAGAGCCCTGACAGGTGTGTCTATAGACTGTGGACATGGAAGAATGATCAAATATCAAACATCAGAGATGATCTGTCGTGGGTGATGGTAGCTTAATGATTAACTCGTTGCTAGATAAAACATTGCAGATTGGATTGAAGGATGGGGGAGACTTGAGAGGATTGCTAAAAGAGCCCTATCAATGTTACAGCAATCATTGAACTGTAAGATCCTTCATATAAAAAGCATCCACTAAATGACAAACAAGCTGTCTGTGGGTGAAAATGACAGGTTCAATGTTATGTGCTCTGACTTTCCCACCAATTAATGGCCATACACATCTACAACAGCAATAGTGTCTACAGCAGTGGAATCAATTCAGGTCAATTTACCAACCCTGACTAAAATTAGTACTGCCAGTTATTCCAGCAGGACCAGCACTATGGTCTCAGTGTGGATGTCAAAGCAGAATGATGCAGCAAAACAGAAAAACCTCAATCTTGACCCATTTAAAGTCACAATGTAACAAGTAGCAACAGCTCTTTTTTTCTGTATTGTGATGTGTAATGGATTTTCGTAAAAGAAAAATTTGTAGGGTGGGAACTATCCATGGGTTCAATCCATTGGTTGTTGATTGGATGGAGGAAGATGTGAATGCGAGCTTGCAGTCGTTTGTAGGAAAGAGGCGGTGTTTAAGCAGACTAAATGATTGGAGAAGTCACCAGAGAGAAGTCTGGTTTTACTAGATCAAGTGATGACCGTCTAAATAAAATTACGATGTTAAAAAAATAAAACATGCATATAATTGTTCACAATAAAATCATTAAGATGCATTTAAAAAATAGGGTGAAATTCCAATTTTCATGGCGATTTTAATTAAAAAACAGGTTAACAGGTTGTATCCCATATAAGATAAGATCTATTATTGTAAAAGTTTTTATTTTATATGCACAATACTGTCTTACAAGATTCTAAAAGAGGTCCTTGTGTAAATCGTGCTAAGCCCACAGTGAGAGTGGTTGAAGAAACGGTGTCTGGAGCATAAATGTCTCTCGGAGACTGATGGCAGATGGAGGTGGGCACTGTGGTGCCAGCTGGTGCTGGCATCAGATCCGAGGACACTCCTTTCTGTCATGCTATCTCACACCCTCAGACACGACACACTTATAATATATATATATATATATATATATATATATATATATCTTAAAAGATAATACTTTATAAATCGGTTTTGTAATTCAAGTGAAAACATAAAATATAATATATAATCAAATTTGTCTTCATTCAGATTTAGAGAAAATCAATTCTGTATTATTTTGATTTATACTAAAATTACTGTATTTACAAATGCCCATAGGGGCATTAAAATAACCTAAACCAACTTAAGATTTTAATTCACTGCCTCAACAACTGTTTTTCTTTTTCTTTTTTCATTCTCTGTATGAATCAGGTTAATTTTAAAAGTGTAATTTCTAGACCTGGAATGTCATATTAGTAAAATCTTATAACTCCATGGGCATTTTTATAAAGAGTGTACATTTTCCAAGTTATGTCAAGCTCTAAAATATTTTATTGGGTAGAAATTTTAAGTAAAAAAATATTTATCCAGTAAATCACGAACGACAGGAAAAGTCATTGTGGCTTTGAATTTTGCGGATATTGGGGGGCCTTGGAGTAAAAAAAATGGTAGGCTACCAGTCAAAGAGCAGCTGAGCAAAAGATGTTTTGAAGAAAAAAAAGTCTGTCTTTTTTAATCCATACACATGAAAGTCTGGGACATGAGGGTGTGTAGGCCTAAATGATGACAGAAATTAGGAATTGTCCTATAAGAGGGTTTTGAACAAAATGACACACATTTGTATAATTGTACTTTTGACTCAGAATCTTTCAGTTACGGATATAGAGCCAGTATGCTCAATTCCAGGCCATATAGCTGGTGCTTTTGAGGACACATGGGTGGAGACTGTAATCTCAGCGGTGCGCGTTATTAACAAACAAAGAGCCCTCGGGTCCAGTCCGGAATAGACATCACGTCATTCCTGCTTCAATCTCACTGCGCAATGTGCGCATCATTCCATTAAAACACTTTAGCATCACGCATTCAACGTTCGCTATATAATAAATCACTACCTGAACAACATATAGCCTACTGATATCGGTTAAATAGTCTGACTTCCCTTTCTAGAAGCACTCTCCACAATAAAACCTGAAATTAATTATATCTTAACCAGGTCAGGTGTATCCATAATACGTAGTATTCATATCTCAGGCGTGTTGGGATGGCTCAGGCCTGCGCTATAGGCTAACGTTACTCACCGTACACTGCGCTTATTTCAGTGATTTCAGCCATTTTGAGGGTTGGGCGCGCTGCGATCCGGATAACAGCCGTGGAATAAACAATAGCTGCTAGATGTCGTCGGTCCTTCGTTTAGCTGATATAATGTGGATGTCTACATCTCTACAGTACGTGGGGTCCTCTTGTCTGGTCCGGTCCAGGCCGTTGTGGGATGCTGCGCCCTGAAGGATGCTGAGCGTCAGGATGCACTGCGTCAGATTAAGAGTCTGACCGTAAGTACCGCCCACCAGCAGCGAGCATCCAAGAATCGCAACGTCCCGTATTTTCCAGCGTTTTCATGAAGTTTTATTAACTAGTTCGGGAGGAGCACGTTCAGATAATTAACACGAGTGGACAGCAATCAATGATAAAAGGGTACATGTTGGCTGCGTCCCAATTCGCCTACTTATACTACGCCCTAAACGTATGTAGGCCTACTCTTTTTGTGAAGAAAAAGTACTTTTGAGTGTGTAGCAAAAGAGAGTAGGCAAGCTTTGGGACATAGTACTTCGTCATCTTTAACGGACAGCTCTGTCGCGTGCATCATGTCCCCGTAAACTGCCCTGTCAATCATCTCGTCACAGTTAAATTCCTCCATTCAATCTAATATAATTTCTTACCATTTCGAGAGAGAAATGTTGTCGCACGTTCATCTGCCAGTCGTGGGTCTTTAATGCGGAGACTCTCTCCTCATGTGTTTGCAATTTGAATGTATGTATTTACAAGTTAATGGCTATAAACGTATCTTTACAAAAGTTCACAATGATGCTGCAGATACAATATAATGTAGACAACATTGAATAAATAAATTTTCCTCAGGTTAGATACTGATAATTAATCACTTAACCCCCTTTATCTAAACGCAACCGCCGGTCTCGCGCGTCCTCCATGTCTGTAGTTTTTTTTAACACTTTTCATTCGTGTTTGTAGTTCTAACCGAATCCTCGTCCAACGCGCGATGGGTTGTGGGCAATATCAGCCGTTAGAGTGTGCATCGATCTGCACTTCGGATTCTGACAACAGTCTTACCTCGATCCATTGACAGTTTGCAACATCCACCCTCCTTTCTTCACACTCCTAGTTCAAAAATCACTTACATAGGGGGGAGTACTCTGGGTTCGGGCTGAATTCCGAGCTCGGAGCCCTCCCTCCGGACAGCACGCCAAATACGCATTAAATCTTATTTCCTCAAATTATAGCCTATGTAAGTCTGAACTCGTGAAATATCCGTAGAGAACTCGTGAAATATCCGTAGAGGTACATTTAAATAAAAACAAATCCTTAAGATCAATAGTTTTTTTTTTTTACTTTAAGACCAGCAGCTTGGTTTAACGTTGTAGTTATGGTTATGTACTTTGCAAAAATACGTTAAGATAATGTAATTTTTATGACATGAAATTAGAATACTAAAAACCCATGTTCGAATATCCATACTTCCTTGCAGTATGTTAAATGAGTCGGATGTGCAAAAATGGAGTTGACTTAAGGCAGATGGCCTGTGGAAGGGTTTCCCAAATGGGTTCACCAATAAGGGAACTTCAGGGGGTTTGTGATTGATGAAACAAAACGTAAAATTTAATAAAAGCAATCTAAATAAAATGCTTACTAAAAATTATTACATATTTTTTTGTTTATCTGCAGATCATCCATTGACTGTCTTTAGAGAACCACGAACATGCAAATGTGTTGAAATATTATCTTAAAGGGATACTCCACCCAAAAATTCTGTCATCATTTACTCACCCTCAAGTTGTTGCAAACTTGTATGAGTTTCTTTCTTCTGCTGAACACAAAGGAAGACATTTTGAAGAACGATTGGAACCAAACAGTTGATTGGAACCATTGACTTCCATAGTAGAACAAAAAAAATACTATGGAAGTCAATGGTGCCCCACAACTGTTTGGTTCCAATCGTTCTTCAAAATATCTTCCTTTGTGTTCAGCAGAAGAAAGAAACTCATACAGGTTTGCAACAACTTGTATCCCTTTAATATCTCACAAGGTACATCAAGTAAATATTTCAGATAGATTCAGATCAAATGGTTTGGGTGACAAAAAAAGTTTGGTAATCGGTGACCTTCTGCAACTGCTGAGATTGTGTTGCAACCCAGACCATGGGTTTCCTATCCCATGAGGCTAGAGGGGTGCTTTAAGTACCAAGGAAGTTGTTCTTTATGGTTGTTGTTAGTGCATTATGCCAGGTGTCATATATCTTCTAGCGGACAGATATTACCAGTTTACTTTTCTTAATATTTTTTATTATGTAGGGACCATTTTATGGAATAAGGCATAAGTGCGCATTGAGTGTGCGCTGTATTCTGAATATAGTCACGGCTGAAGTAGGGCTGAACCATGGTCCCGAAACACATGTTTGGAGGCCCCCCTCAGTGGCAGACTCCTTATATATTATCCTTGCGTATTGTAAGTGGGATTTGAAAAAAATAATTTAGCAAGCTCATATCTTGGAGGTGTTTTGCCATGAATATATTCACAATATAGCACAGCCTCTAGCTAAATCTTTTAATTAAATACAATTCGTAATATATAAAGCTTAAACAAGAGTCATGTAAGTTAACTCAAGTCTAATGCAGGGCTGTGTATGAAGGAATGTAATACTTTAAAAAATAACCACTAGGTGTCCTCACTCCTGTCTCAGTGTCATGGCTTATAATAAAGGCTTGAACATGTGTCAGACTGTTATGGCACATTGTTATGGCATCACTCATGTATAGCCCAGCAGACGAAAATCCTACTGTTAACAAAACTTTTATCTCTGTATTACTGAATTATAAACTATTATGGTATTCATAACAAGTTGATTGTCTTAAAAACTGCAGATTCTTTGATCTCACTTGATATCACTTGTTTTTGGTCTCATTTCAAGATTTGTCAGATTAAATAAACTGGTTTGTATACTACAGCAATTTTTTTCCTTTCTATTAGCTGGTTTTAAATGCATTTGTTCGTGGATGTCCTGCCTGCACTCAGCATTGAGGTCAGCTGCCACTTTAAGAACTATGATAAATCAGATTGAGTCAGAGCTTTAACCCTTAGAGACCTAGTGTAGCAAAATTGCAACATTTGTATAAAGCAATTAACTACCTAATTTTCACTAAATTTGTGCATAAAAACTACACGTGACTTAGCAGTAGAATAGATGACACTCATAAATTGATAAAAGAATGCAACACTGGGCATTAGGGGTAAAAAAAAATTCTATTGTTCTCACACAATGGAGGCTAATGAATGTTGAATAGTAAAAAATCTATATATGACATTTTTAATGAAGTGGTATTAAAATTACCGGTAATATATTTAAAATATTTACACTATTAAAATGATCAAATATTGGCATTTCTTAATTTTTTTAATGACTCTACTTACTGGTTGTATATATTATTTTTGAAATACATTTGTGTTATGAATTCAAAACTTTTATTTAGTGTTCTGAAAAATAGTAGGGACATTTTGTAACCCTAAATGCCCAGCCCTGCAATTTTTCAAATTCAAGACAAAAAAGGGACCAGGCCTGGCTGAGCTGCATTAAAGAAGACATTGTTGTCGCTATGTCAAAGAGACACTGTTTCAACAACATTTGTTCCAAAACTCATTTGTTTGACCTTCCTAAGGCTGATGAACTTAGAGTAGTTAAAATTTATTTTAAACACAGTTCCTGAACATTAAAACCCAAACGTTTATCTGTGCGCTGCACATTTGTTTTCTGTAAGCTCTCGCTTTTGTAAGATGGTTCACCGCTCCTTAGTAAAATTAGCCGGTTCCACCTGACCAAGTGTCGAGGTGTCCATGAGCAAGACACCTAACCCCAGCTGCTCCCGACGAGCTGGATGGCGCCTTGCATGGCTGACACCACCGTCGGTGTATGAATGAGTGAGTGAATGGGTGAATGTGAGGCAATATGTAAAGCGCTTTGGTGGCCATTGGGTCTGTGAAAGCGCTATATAAATGCAGTCCATTTACCATTTAGCCATGATTTTGTGATCGATTACTGTTTGTAGTACCTTAGTTTTCCGACAAATATCACTATTAAATGGTGGATAACATCTATAATGTATAAGAAAATTACAAACATACCACTCTGAAATGTCCTGTGAATTCCGTGCTTGCAAAATCTGTGCATGAAATCCATTCTGCACTGTCCCCTTGTTCGTTAACATTGTCAGGGTCTGAATCGGGCTTGACGCCATCCTTATTCATATTTACACTAGAGAAGAACTCGCAGTTATGGAGGGGCGGGACATTTGCTAATCACAACACACTGGGCCAGCTAACCAATCATAGGACATTTTGTATTTCGTAAGGAGGGGCTTCATCGAAATCGGCGTGTTCTAGCCAGACTGGGGAGAGAGGAGCTGTAATAATGTAAAATATGTGACAAATTTTTTGAACAATCAAGCATGAAAACATATTTTAGTACACCCCAAAAACAAAATCCAGACTTTGTAAAAGGGCATAATAGGACCCCTTTAAAGGGTAAAATATAAATATAAAATCCAAGGGTTAGTTTTACCAAAAATGAAAAAATTGTCATCAGTGACTCAATCTCATGTTGTTCATCTTTGGAACACAAATTAATATTTTAATGAAATCTGAGAGATTTCTGTCCCTGCATTGACAGTCTCCGCAACTACCACTTTGACGCTTCAAAAAGTTCATAAAGAGATTGTCACTAATCCATATGACTTAAGCAGTTTAATAAAAAAAATTCTGGAGAGAAACAATCGCTTTATATGACAAACATATTGAATTTAGGATTTTATTCACATATAAACATTGATCAGCAAACATAAACAGAAGCTCAACTGTACTTGCTTGACGCGTGAGAACAAACCTCATTGGTTCTTGAGGAAGTTCAAACATGCCGTGTAACACACAAGTATGAACCTCATTGGTTTTCGCACGTCAAGTAAGCAGGCTTGAGCTTCCGTTTACCATATCTGATATGTGCATTGATTAATGTTTATGTGAATAAAAGCCTAAATTCAATTTGTTCATTATATAAAGCGATCGAGTCTCTTCAGAAAATTTGGACTAAATTCATATGGATTAGTTACATTCTCTTTATAAACTTTTCGAAACGTCAAAGTGGTAGTTGCGTAGCTGTCAATGAAGGGACAGAAATCTCTCAGATTTCGATAAAATATCTTCATTTGTGTTTCGAAGATGAACGAAAGTCTTACGGGTTCAGAAAGACATAAGGGAGCGAAAATGATGACAGAATTTTACATTTTAGGTGAACTATCCCTTTAAAGGTGCAATGTGAAATAATTTTGAGTATCTATTAACAGAAATGCAATATGACATCTATAACTATGTTTTCAGAGGTGTATAAAGAACTTACTTAATAAACCGTAATGTTTTTATTACCTTAGAATGAGACATTTTATATCTACATAACCGCGGGCACCCCCTTCTATGAAGGTCGACATATTGTGACGTCATGTTTCTACAGTAGCCGAACGCGAACAAACAGCGCTACAGAGCGCGTTTCGTCACTGCCTTGAAAGAGAAGCCGCAGAAATCTAGAAGCTAGCCATAGACACCGTGAGTAGTGACTTTTCCCTTGTCAGTGGTGTAAAATATGTAGTTGGACTGTTTCATGTAACTTAGTTCTTCTCCCTCGCTGTGTTATGGCTTTGCTATGTGGGGATAAATGTGCTGGTTACGTTCGTGAGACAGCTGATTAGTACTCTTGTCATTGACCGTAAAACAGTATGTTACAGGAATCACCAACCCGTCAATCGCGGTCGACAAGTCGATCTTGGAAGCATTTTAAGTCGATCGCGAAGAGTTTTCAAAATCAGAGAAAAAAGCCTATTGTGTGTAGTAAATGGTGTCTAGGGGATGCGGAGGCGCGCGCGCTGTTACAATCATGTCATGTCTCCAGACCACAATATGTTTGTCCCGTTTTAGCCACCGTAGCTTCTTCGGAAGGGAGGGGTGAGCAGTGGGCTGAGCCCTTAGTGCAAACTCGCAACCAAACCGCTAGATGTCGCTAAAAATCACACACTGCACCTTTAAGTATATTAACCGTGTCATCGTATGTTCAGCTATATGGATCTTTCTCTCCCTCTTTACCTCATCTACAGTACTTTCACTTCTTTTAGTGTGAACTCATCATTGGGGCATTTGGTCTGTGTTACCATGACAACCGAGTCAACAGAACCCAAGAGTGGACTAAACACTGGTCAGTTCAGAGGCACTATGCTGGCCAAGGCTGTGGAAAAACTGTGTGTGTGTGTGTGTGTGTGTGTGTGTGAAGGCATGTCGGCCGGCTTATGCGTGTATGTGGTACTATGAGTCACTGTTTGCTTGTGCAGGTGTGTGTGCCTCTCTGTCAGTCATCTTTCCTGTTTTTGTGACAGGACTTGTATATTTTGCAGTCTGTGGGTCAGTTGGCAGGTCCGGGGTCAGCGAGGGGCATGGTGTGCAGGACCTCGTCCAGCAGCTGCAGGGCACGGTGTAGATGAACTTCCACCCAGCATGGTGTCTGTTTGATGGTCTGTCGAGGGTAGTCAGGTCCCCAACCCTTTACAAAACTCAGACGAAGGATACACAAACGACGCAGGTCATCAACACCTATTCCAGCTGCCGCTGACAGACCTACGAAAATGTATAAGGGAGAGTGTGTATTACAGAAAGTAAGCAAATTTTTTGAATGGCATAATTTCAAAATTAGGGCAGGACATGTGTCGTGATTTGATTCTGATTTACTAGCTCATGGTTCGATTCTGATTCATTTGGGAATATTACAGTTAGTGCCCATTTTGCTGACATCTACAGGAAATTCTCTCTCAGCTATAAAGCTTGGTAGATTACAAAAATAATAATTTTAAGAATTAACAACCGGGTCCAAACTAAGCATTTCTATTGCTCTTTATTTAATAGAGGATAATAGGATAATAGAGTCTTTTTTAAAGATTCATTAATAGGACTATCTCAAAAGAGTCATTTGTTCTTGAACTGGACTACGCTCGTGAATCAGACTACATTGGTTGCACTGTTTGTTTTTGATTTACTAAAAAGAATGGGTTCATTAGAGTTATTTACTTGTGAATCAGACTACACTGGTCACTTGGTCACGCTGTATGTTTTCGATTCACTAAAAACAACCAGTTCATAGGAGTCATTTGTTTGCGAATTGGGCTAAACTTGTCATGCTGTAAGTTATTGCATGCAGCTTGTGATGACAACTCAATAGAAAGCTGTATTTTCATGGCATTATTTTGCTGTACACATGCTTTTTCGTCACATGACGTTCAAATCAGTCCGCAAACTTAAAGGGGTCATATAATGGTACATGCACTTTTACAAGTTGATTGTACTGAAATCTGTGTTGGCAGTGCCTGTACACAACCATCATAAAATGATAAAAATCCATCCAGTGTTTTTGTTTTAATCTCCCTATATGTTTTCCCCTGCCTCAATTTGAGTCGTTCGAGCCTGTGACGTCACACGCTCGGAAGCCCCTCCCACGATTGTTTATTGACAGCAGCGCTTCAACACAGACCCGCCCTCGCTCGTGAGCGAGCTGTCAATCATAGTCTGCGCGGAACGGCGCGGTCATTGTTGATATGTTGGAGCACTGTCTATGAGCAGAATGGCGTCTAAGCGATTGTGGTGTTCTGTTCTTGGGTGTAATAACGAACACAGCAGTCATTTTAATGTTCCTAAATCCGAACCGCTGAAGACGCAGTGGCTGAGTTTGTTTTCGGAGGGAATATTCCCCACGAGCAACGTCAATGCTCTCATGTTTGCGTGAATCATTTCTCAGCAGACTGCTTTATAAGGAGGGTCAGTATAAAGCTGGTTTTGCTAAGAAGCTGCTCATGAAAAAAGGATCGGTACCAGCTATTCGTGTTCCTGCTGAACCTCTAGAACAACTGAAGTGAGTGTAACGTTTTATTAAACTTTATATTAATATTTATATTAATCTTTGCAAATCGCTAGCTGCACGCTTCACAATGAATGCGTCTAAGGTTTACACTTAGGGTACATTACGGCATGTTTTCTATGTATGATGTTCTCAATATAATTCATAATCCCACGTTTATACTGAACAACGCGTTATGGTTATTGTGTTATTGTGTTACAAACGGTGTACGCACAGAACAGAGGGGCGGGGTGAGCAAAGCTCATTATCATTTAAAGTCATATGCACTGAAACGGCGTGCTGAAAACAGAGCTGTTTTTGACCAAGTAAATTAAGTGTTTTCTTACAATACTAATGAGAATTTGTAATTAAAGTATATTACAAACTTTTAATTTAGACCCTAAAGAATCATACTAGCTTGTACAAAAATGGCATTATATGACCCCTTTAAAATATTACTTCTTTTGCTATGGGGCTGTAGATTCAACACACTACTGATGAAAAGCGGTTCAGGCATTTGGGGTTTTAAAAATCGTTACCGAGATTGTTCAGAACTGGAAAATCGATATTTGACTCACTGATGGCAGGAGCAATTCCTCCAACACTGCCAGGCCCAGGGATGTTTCCAGCTACCGCTGCAGCCTGCGCAGCTGCAGCTGCCTGTGCAGTCGCCGCTTGCTGCTGCATCTGCCTGTGACACTGACGAAGATCAAACACCTGGAGGAACAAAATGGAATTAGTTCACCAGCACTTGGGACAATTGATCCAAATATTTCAGTCCTTGTTCACACATTTATGCTTAATTTGACTGATTTATGCTTGTTTCATGGAAAAAAACAGATTTACAATGCCAAAAACATCTATAGTATTCGTCTATAGTACTCTTGACATAAGGCTGTACCCTTTTCTGGTTTTGATGTCTGATTGGATTTAATTGCAAAGAATAAAGCATTGCAAAGGTGTGATGTCATTAAAGGTGAACCTTAATGAGGGCTCCTGGGTAGATCTTGTGAACAGCATCCCCTGGTGCTCTCCCTGCCTCCCTGTCCAGGTAGTAACTTTGCACGAAGACAGCATGGTCACTAAGGCAACGCATCCACACATCCCCCTCCCCACGGCACTCCAGCTGAATACCTTTACCAATGTGAAGCCTGTTGGGTGGATGTCAGGTGTTCATAAGTTTGCATCTTTGTCGATTGCATATATGAATGAATTTGTATATCTATTATGTTGAATGATCGCTGACCGTGCCCTCTCACTGGTATCAGTTCGGTGAACATTGCTAAGCTGACCCAGACAAAAGCGGTCCCCACCCGAAGGGTCCACATATCCATCCACCGTCACCACAGGACAGTTTGCTAGAACCTTAAACATCTCCCCGACCTGCACATCCATCTCGAAATAAGAGATTGAGCACCAGAACTCTGGGCCTGTAGTGTACACACAATGACAAACAGTCTCATTACAGTGTTCATGTAGATTTAAGTAAGTGTGTGTGTGTGTGTGTGGGGGTGGGGTTGGCATGTTGTACCTGGATGATTAGAGACCGGTTGAGGGTATGAGGCTGGTGTGTGATGTTGAGACCCTGATAACAGTATAAATTTTTTTTAGGAAACACAATTAAGAATACAATGATACAATGATGATAAGATGATAGAGAGAAGTATACAGTATATATATATATATAATTTATTGTATATGAGATTGTTAAATTATTTTACAGTTATCATTATTTATATTTTACAGAAACTGTTGACATGATCAGTATTTACATACAGAAGTGGCTCGTATGAGGGGGAGGGGCTTGCTGATGACTCCGCCCATTTTGCTGTGGTCCAGTAGGAGTATAAGAGGCTGTGCTGGTCCCTGTCCAGGTTGTTGCTGAGACATAATAAACAGATTTAACACGACTTGATACTGATTTCATATATGAGTATTTCACTGATAATATCACACAAATTAACTGCCTTACAAACATATACAGTACAACTTCTAAAGTCTCAATGATAAAATTCAACACAGTCAATGGCGAACAAGACTGTACATGATTTCTGCATGCACTTACTGTGGTAAGAGCCCTGTGTGTGTTTGGAGGTGCTGTATTCACTCTGACTGATAGAGGGCTGCTGGGACGAGGGCTGGCTGTGTGTGGGTATGTGACTGTGTGTTGGGGTGGAAGGTGGAGAGCTGGAGGTTAATGCCCGTCCCGCTGGGGAGGTGATCTGCAACAGTCCCTCAGGTCGTTCTACCTGCATGGACAACCTGGAAGCACTCGCTTTAAAAAGAGTTAGACAGAGAGAATGAGAATTGTGTTAAAGGGTTAGTTCACCCAAAAATGAAAATTCTGTCAGTAATTAAGATTTCACATAGTGAAACTGCGCAAAGCTTCTAGGTTGTACGTCACACGCATCACACACATGACCAGCGTCGGCCTATTGTGAGCCTATGTGTGACGTGCAACACAGAAGCTTTGCGCAGTTTCACTACGTGAAATCTCAAGGCCCACAGGGAAGGAAATGTATAGTTGAATAAAGTCGTTATTTTTTTTTTTTTTTTTGCGCACAAAAAGTATACTCGTCGCTTAATAAACTTAAGATTGAGCCACTGTAGTCACTCGGACTATTTTAACGATATCTTTCATAACTTTTGGGCCGGCCAGTTTCGATCCCTTAAAGGCACACTGTGGAATTTTTGGCCACTAGGGTGCGCTCGACCTGTAATTTTCACGCCTAGTGCCCCTAGAGGCCACAAGCGCCGCAGCATTGTCGCAAAAGTCAACAGTCAACCGGTCAACCTCCCGTGTCTTTATGTGTGTGCAGACGGCATTTGATTTGTATGTTGGAGAAAGTTAATCGATTCACTACTGACCAAAATAATAATATAAATATAAGATTAATAATATAAATCCTATAAAGAAAACAAATTGAATAAAAGTAGCATACGCAGAAAACAATGTCTGATCAGGTAAGTCGCATTGACAAGGGTTGCCCAATCCTGCTCCTGCCGATCGTCTGTCCTGCACAGTTCATCTCCAACCCTAATCAAACACACCTGAAGCAAACAATTAGCAGCTAACGTCTTCAGGATCTCTTTGCAATGGGTTGGAGATGAAATCGAGTAGTCGGGAAATCGTGTAACAAAACTGATATAACTCACTACATATTTCCGTTATTTGTAGTCTTCAGTTTGTTTTTCCTTTTACACAAATACAAACATATATGAGCTGAAAGGAAAAAAAAAATTTACATTTGTATACGGCAGTATGTTGTGACTTATATCAGTTTTGTTACACGAATTCGCAGTAAATATTACAGTATATATACACTTATGCCGATGTTTATTTTAAACTCTCCCTTTTTCTTTTTTTGGTCTCCTCTGACAAAATCTTTGCTTTCTTCGCTTTCTTCCGAGTAGCTGTTGATTCAGCCATGACGACAACATACAGACGCCTGCAATCTAACGCGAGTTGAGCTCTTTGAGCTCTCACGTTAGATTTTGAGGAAGTTGGGGTGGTGGGGGAAGTGACGTATGCCGTAAAGCGGTCGAATTTTGTAGTTCTTTTTGTGCTCGGGTTCCTACCCGAAACCCGAAGTTACATAGTGCTAGTAAAAGCGATACAGACACCTTCAGGCTTCGGCAGACGTGTCATTCAACCTATTGTAAGTCGATGTACCATCTCAATGGGTTTTGGTAATATATTATAAAGGTTGAAAAGTTCCACAGTGTGCCTTTAAGAAGCCTATGGAGGAGTGATCCAGCTCTCAGATTTAATCACAAATATCTTAATTTGTGTTCGCGAAGATGAACGAAAGTCTTACGGGGTTGGAACAACATGAGGGTGAGTAATTACTGACAGAATTTTCATTTTTGGGTGAACTAACCCTTTAATACAACAAAGAGGCCATGATTCCACAGGTAGTCACAGCTAGTAAGGTGCAACCACCAATGTGACAGCTAAAGCATGAACTGTCACACAAAACAAGAAAATTCATTTTACTATCGATTTTCAACTGTTCCAAAACCACATTTTATGTATTTTTAAATTATATACACTAGCAGTCAAAAGTTTGGAATTTTTTTTTAAAATGTTTTGGAAAGAAGTCTCTTATGCCAGTGTATAAAATATTATTCATATTATACGGTAACACTTTACAATAAGGTTTCATTAGTTGACATAAACTACGAATGTCTACAGCATTTATTGATCTCAGTTAACTCTCTGGGGTCGGCGGTCTCGCCGGCGATACCAGCTCACTTTTTTCCTTATCAGTGCAAAAGAGACTCAAATTACTCTGTTAATTTTGATCTTACATATAAGTGTTGTACATCATTCGATCCTGTTAAGTTTGTATTTTTTTTGTGGAACCTCACAATAAAAACAAAGTGTTGTGCTTTTCGCCTAATAAAGAAAAATAAACATGATGCGCGTTCTGCGTTCTCTCTGTCAGTGAAGTCCATTCTGAAACGCGTCCGAAAAATCATCTGTAACTCTGCAAATACTCAGTCAAACAGGTATACAGGCACACAGGCATGAAGCCTGAATTATCTTCTTTTAAATGAAGTAATTTATATTAAAAAAAAATTTTCTCATTTTATGTAATCTGTACGAAAAGAGAGAGATGATAGTCGTTCTCGTCTCAGCTCATTAAAGTTAATTTGACCACGCCCACGGAGCGCGCGCTCTATTCAAACACAAATGCTCTGAGGCGATCCACGCCCACACCAGCTGGATAACCACCGAAAGAGACACATATTACGATGCTGTGAGGAATAATAGTACTATCTTAATAATAATCCTGGAAAAAATTACCTCAGAAGTAGGCTACAGGTAGTTTCATTTGGAGGAGCAACGGATCCAGCCGAGGAAATAGGTAGGCTACATTCTTTATTTTCAAGTGCTTTGTTCTAATCGCGATATGGAATAGTGTCGGTAAACAAAAAGACTGTTTGGATCGCGTTTTTGTGTGTGAATGAATGAACAGCTTTTACCTAAGTATATTCCAATACTGAGATGAGTAAAAATCGACTGAAATATGTTGAAATAAAATATTTTTGTATAAGCAACGTATTAAACTGCAAATTAACATTTATATGTCCTAATCATAAAAACGATATGTTACATATGAAAGACAAGATGTCGTTTTTACTGTAAAATACTGCCACATCAAATAAGCTTGTTGCTAAGATGTTATTATAGTGTTTGTTCGATTGTAAGCTATATTCAAACTAATTAATCCGCAACTGTGAAATATGTATGATAAAATGTATACTTTAGTATATAATACAAAGAAAGATTACATTTGAAATATAGTTAAAATTTTTATTGTTGTTGTAATTGTAACCTTTTTATTAAAATAGCAAAAATATATGTAGGCTACATATAAATAAATCTTAGGTACATCTTAAAAGCTCAATATAAGCCTCCTCTTTAAATTATTTGTATTGTGTTTTATTAGTGACACATTTGGGATACATTCCCAAACTTTCTGTAAAAACAGTATGATAATTAACTGCACAATTACTAGAAATTTTTACATTTGATATTATACAATTTGCAAGCACAATTTGAAAAATAAATAAATAATTGGAACTGTGAACCAATTTTGTATTATATAGGCATATATATATATATATATATATTGTCATTGCATTCTTGTGGATCAGTGACACACCTGAATGAAAGGCTCATTAGTATGCAGCCCCATTATGCGCTCATTATGCGGGCCCATTGTCTTCTCAGGTGTGAATCACAGCAGGTCACACCCCTGCGCATATTGCCTTTCCAAACAAAAAGTGTCATTTTTAAATTTAAACCAATCTATTGTTTTATGTGAATGATAAGACAGGATGATTTTCAGATCATTTTGAAGAAAAAACTCTAGGCCACAACATCCATTAGTCAAAAGTCTTGTGGACACATATTTAGTATGTGTTTTGTGGCCTTATTTCAGAAACTTTAAGTTTTAGTTTTTTCAATAACCACGCATAAACAATATTCTCTCAAAAATACAAAAATGTACATACATGTTGATAACACATTATGGTAGCCCTGTGTGTGCTAAATAGAGTGTAATTACACCTTTGCCAGTAATATGTTTATAAGCAACTGAAAAAAGCACAAATGTCAGAGTATGTCGAAACATCTCAAGGACCCCAAAAACACCTTGGACCCCAGAGGGTTAATGTTCAAAATTTACTAGTAAATATTTAAAAACAAAACTTATTTGTTAACATTAGTTAATGCACTATGAACTAACATGAACAGACAATGAACAGCTGTAGTTTTATTAACTAATGTTAACAAAGATTAATAAATACTGTAATAAAATGTATTGCTCATTGTTGGTTCATGTTAATTAATACATTAATTAATGTTAATAAAAACCTTATTGAAAGTGTTACCTAATATATTTATAGAGTCAAGTTAAAAATAGTCTTGTTTGGTCTTATGGAAATACCTTCTAAAACCAATCAGGGTCAGGTGAACCTAAAATCACCCTCACATCCCTATTATAATCAATCTATCAATAAAAATAATAAATAAAATAAATTAAAATTAAGCTAAATAAATAAACTTCATAAATAAATTTAAAAAAAGTAAAATAAACTTTGCTATACTTACAGGGTGGAGAGAGGGGCAGGCTGGGGTAGAGAGTGACAGAGGAAGTGGTTCGCTGGGGCGGCTCTGGGGACATCAGTCTCAGTTGCTGTGGGCTGTAGTGATCTGGAGGATGATGGTCTTGATGTAAGGTCATACTCGACGGACCCTCCATCTGGATGCAGTCATGTATGTGCTCTTCTTTTATCAGCCTGCCTGAGGGATGAGAACGAGTGTCAAAACATCTCCTTTCTATACTCCTGTTCATTTGTCTATCTCACTGCAAGGCGAGTCCTTGCATGTCTTGATCTGACACATTTTATGGCAGTCTCTGTCTGATTAAAGGCTGGCTGCCAGCAGCATAGCGATCAGGGCCGTCAGCGATTAGCCCAAATGATTGTTTGAGACATTCTTTCACATGTGGAGAAGAAATACAAGCGCTAATAGCCACCACTATTCTGTCAGAGCTCCGCTCACCTGTGTTTGGCAAACTGAATCCCACTGCAAGAAAGAAAAAAGAAAGAAAAAGTGACATAGAACACTGCGTTATATAACAAAATCACTTAAAATATCAACACTGGATCACGTTCAAGTATACTGCATGTTCCTTAACGAAATATTTCCCTGCTAAAAACTTTGTGTTCGTTTCATTGCAGTTTGTGTTTTTAGAAACATACGCACCGATCCCAGGGGACACCACTCGCTCATAGTGGTAAGGGTTCACACACACGTTATCGTACTTCAGATCGAATGCATACTGACAGAACTTGACATGCTTGAGTTCATTCTTGTGAAGGTCCGGCCATCGCCACAGACGAGCGTATATGACATGAGGGAAACCCTTCCGCCCAGCCACCTGAGGAGCAATGACAACACTTGATGTCAACAGTACAGTATTATAACAGGGTTTAATTCACACTCTCACAGCTATGACTTTTTTTTTTACTTTTAGTGTGATATTAATAATACATTTTGAAGAATTATGTATTTTACTCAAATCATTTTTACAGAGATTTATTGCCTAATATTAAAGGTTAAAAGTTACATAGAATTGAGTTACGAAGTACGAACATTTAGCAAAGAGAAGGATTCTGTTCTACCTTTTTGTTGATCATTTTGTTTTTCTTATATCTATTTAGTATTATTTATTATGCGCTAACTGAAAAATTCTCTGGACTGCATGTATCCTCAGTATCATATTCATTCTCCACCCTGTCCCGAGTCTTAACACCGTTCAAAAGAACTATTCAGTTCTCAGAGAAAAATGAATTTGATGATTTTGGCTCACGAGAAAGACATAACTAATGGCTTAGACATAGATGAGTTTGTTACATTTTTTGCCAAATGAAATAGAAGACTGTAGCTGTAATGTGATGTAAAACACGACTGGAAAATTTGACAATCATGGTCTCTCATCTTTGTTTAACAGACCTTAATTATGAGACTTTACGTGAATATTAGGGCTCAAAAATAATGAATTGCTTTTAATCTCATGATTTATTCTCAGAATGGCAGGTTTTTAATTTAGTCAAATTTGCTTCATATTCACTACCGTTCAAAAGTTTGGGGATGGTAAGATATATTTTTTTATGTTTTTGAAAGAAGTATCTTAAGTTTGCCAAGGCTGCATTTATTTGATCAAAAATACAGTAAAATTGAGAATAAGTGATATTGAGAAATTGTATTACAATTAAATAATAAATGTTTTTTATTTTAATATATTTTACCATGTAATATATTTCTGGTATTGAAAAGCTTAATTTTCACCATCATTACTCCAGTCTTCAGCGTCACATGATTCTTCAGAAATCAGTCTAATATGCTGATTTGTTGCTCAAGAAACATTTCTTCATATCAATGTTGAAAACAGTTGTTTCCTAATATTTTTGTGAAAACTGGTTAAAAAAAATTCACAATTTTTTTTAATCAATAGAAAGTTCTGAAATGTAAAAAAAATAAGTCTTTACTGTCACTTTTGATCAATTTAATGCATAATCACTATGTATTTTTTTACTGTATTAAAATCTTAATGACCCCTAACTTTCAAATTGCAGTGTATATTTGTATAAAATTTTTTTTCAAAATGTAGTGTATTTGGTTTTAAAGAAAACTAAATGTTTTAGTGCTTTATTCATTTTAAATTATAATAATACTATACATATATTTATATAATATTACACCAAAGTTTGGGGATGGTAAGATATTTTTTTTAATGTTTTTGAAAGGAGTATCTTAAAGGTGCAGTGTGTAGATTTCAGCGGCATCTAGCGGTTCGGTTGCGAGTTGCACTAATGGCTCAGCCCACTGCTCACCCCTCCCTTTCGAAGAAGCTACGGTTGCTAAAACGGGACAAACATATCGTCGTCTGAGACAGCAGAGAATAGCCAAAGTAAGCCAAGTTTCTGTACCACAGTCCATTATAAACCACATCATGGATAAAGTTTACAAAGCCATAGTCAGGTGAGGATCAAGGGTCTTAATATATAATATAATAATAGTAATCAGCTGATTGTCTCACGAACGTAACCAGCACATTTCTCCGCACATAGCAAACCCATAATACAGCGAGGGAGAAGAACCACATGAAACTTTTCTAACAGGGTAGCAAAAGTTTAGCTGGCTAATATGAGCTGTTACTGTGGCTGAGCTGGTAAAAGCGTAAAGCATTGTTTATACTCGATGTGTCCGCATGATATGAGCCCAAAGGTGCGCGCGGCAAAAATTACGTGATTGTAACAGCGTGCGCGCCTCCGCATCCCCTAGACACCATTTACTACACACAAATTAACAAATAATAATGAATAAAAATATTGTTTTTTTTCTCTGGTTTTAAAAACTCTTCGCGATCGACTTAAAATGCTTCTAAGATCGACTTGTCGACCGCGATCGACGGGTTGGTGACTCCTGTAACGTTACTGTTTTACGGTCAATAGTACTAATCAGCTGATTGTCAAAGCCATAACACAGCGAGGGAGAAGAACTAAGTTACATGAAACAATCCAACTACAAATTTGACACCACTGACAAGGGAAAAGTCACTGCTCACGGTGTCTATGGCTAGCTTCTAGGTTTCTGCGGCTTCTCTTTCAAGGTAGTGACGAAACGCGCTCTGTAGAGCTGTTTTGTTCGCTGTCGGCTACTGTAGAAACATGACGTCACAATATGTCGACCTTTATAGAAGGGGGTGCCCGCGGTTATGTAGATATAAATGTCTCATTCTAAGGTAATAAAAACATAACGGTTCATTGAGTAATGTCTTTATACACCACTGAACACATAGTTATGGATCTTATATTGCATTTCTGTCAATAGATCCTCAGAAATATTACACATTGCACCTTTAAGTTTGCCAAGGCTGCATATTTATATAATATTACCCCCGAGGAGGACTGGTTCTTGACTGAAGTCCAACCCTACATGTTTTCTTGTTCGAGATGCCGTCTCACTTTGATATAAAGTACGTCACAATAGGGAAGAAAAACTATCGCAACTTACATTTCATGAAAATTGTAAAGATTTTAAGAAATGTTGTTACTGTTTCACAGCACATCCAATCATTACACTAAATATCAACTGGACATGAGTAACGGTCAAACTCTTTTGGATGGATAGTGTTTTGATGATTGGAAAGGACTGTATAATTTGACTGGTATTTAAAGGGTTGTGGCCACCAGGGGGCATCGATTAGAATGCAGACAAGATGTTCCGTTTAGGTGTTTTATTAAAATAAAAGTTTAATGTGTGTGGTTCTGAAAAACAGAGATACAGGCATAAATCAGTAAATGTAGACTCTCTATATAAATGTCAAAAAGTTATTACATGCATAGCAGGTATATAATAAACAAAAAACGATCAAGATATTAAATTATAGTTTTGTTATGTAAGACTTAAATGCAGTGTTATAATAAATGCTTATCACTAAGCAAATACAAACTTAGAAATGCCATAATACACTATATCCCTGGTCAAAGATTAATTTGCTGCACATTAACTGCAACAATATACAACAGGCTAAATTCAGCTGAATATAATAATTATGAACTGCAGAGTTATTCCTTCAAATAAACAATGTTACACATTGAGCAAGAACAACAGACGTTATTTTCAATAGAGACACGTAAGGCTTGTAGAGCAACAGCGTTCTCAACAATTAAACACACAGACGGAGAAGCCCCGCCATTATACAAAAACAAGCACTAACGTACCACGACATTATTATGAGGTAAAACTAACAACAAACATCAGTATACTTACTGGTAGTTGCACGCACACAATTCTAGGAACTTATAATAAGTACAGCAACACTATTATATTTTCTATATCAATCAATATAGACTACACAGTCTTTCAACATCAGCGCTCTTTCAAACTTTCCCGAAACTGAATGAAACTGAAAGCTGTCTTCTTCCGCGGACCGCAGAGCGCAGTGCCGCTCCTGATTGGCTGATTCCCAAGCAGCCAGTTTTATCTACCTGAAGAAGTCATTCTTCGTCACAGCCGCCCCCAAATTTGTTATATTAAATTTGCCTCTTTAAGAAGGACCGACCGTATCAGTATCTGGTATGGCAGGCAGAGCTACAAGGCGAGCGACAGGCCTCGTGTAGAATTTGTCCTTGACCTTGACTACTGCAGTCCTGACTCTTCCATCAGTTCCTGGAATAACCTCAGTGACATGACCTAAAGGCCACTGCGCTCTTGGCAGCTGCGGGTCCACCACCATCACTATGGTTCCAGTTTGCAACTGTGCAGGGTCCTTATGCCACTTGGAGCGAGTCTGAAGAGTTGGGAGGTAGTGTCGGACAAAGTAGGACCAAAACTGGTCAGCCAGCACCTGAGTATGTCTCCAGCGGCGACGACTCAGGAGCTCAGACTCAGCATAGACCGCCTGTGGTAAAGAGGGGTCGAGCCGCCCCATGAGGAGCAAGTTGGGGGTCACTGGGTCAGCATCAGCCACGTCTGTTGACACGTAACCCAGTGGTTTGGAGTTTAAAATCCCCTCCACTTCAATAAGTACTGTCCGTAGGACCTCTTCAGGGACAGTCTGTGACTGGATGGTGGCATACAGTGCAGCTTTAACAGACCTCACTTCCCTTTCCCAGACTCCTCCAAAGTGTGGGGCGCTTGGGGGGTTAAACTGAAACTTAATCTGGTGTTTAGCCAGATGCGCCTGGAGTATGGGGTGTAGTGACCTGAAAGCCTCCTGGAGTTCTCTTTCACCTCCCTTAAAATTAGTGCCCTGGTCGGACCGGAGCTCTGCTGGCTTACCCCTTCGTGCAATGAAACGTCGGAGGGCCATCAGAAAGGAATCCGAGTCCATACTGGACAGAACATCCACGTGCACAGCGCGCGTCGTCAGGCATTTAAATAGTATTCCCCATCTCTTCTCGTGGCGACGGCCAACCTTCACTGTGAAAGGCCCGAAGCAGTCCATGCCCGTAGAGAAGAATGGGGGCTTCATCAGCCGTAGTCTGGACTGTGGGAGGTCTGCCATCTTGGGCACAACTGGAGAGGCTCTCCATCTCTGGCAATCCGGACAGGAGTGCTGGTGGCGCTTAACAGCTTCACGGCCATGCAAAATCCAGTATTTTCGCCGCAGCTCTGCAAAAAGGCGTTCTGATCCTGGATGGCGAAGGCTCTTGTCCATGTCCTGGATGATGAGCTGGGTCACTTTGTGCCGATGGTCCAGGACCACTGGATGAATAGAATCTGGCTCTAGCTGGTCGCTGCGGCGGAGCCTTCCTCCAACTCGGATAAGTCTCACAGTCTTATCATACTCTGGTGCTAGGGAGATCAGCCTACTGGTGGCAGCTACTGGCTTACCGGTGCTCAAGAGGCTGAGCTCCTCAGCGAAGCTTT